GTTTGTCAAGGTAATTTCAAAGGAGTTGACTGTTCTCAATGTAAATCAGGATGGAAAGGAGCTAATTGTGATGAACCAATTTGTGATTCAAAATGTAGAAAATGCTATTCACCAAACCAGTGCGCGCTATGTGACGGAAACTATTCTGGTGATAGGTGTGATAGTTGTACATCTGGATGGACTGGATCTGATTGTAATACTCCTGTTTGTGATTCAAAATGCACAACATGTGATTCACCAAATCAATGTTCAGTTTGTAAAGGAAACTTTGAAGGATCTGACTGCTCCACATGCAAATCTGGATGGTCTGAATCTGATTGTAACACACCAGTTTGTGATTTGAAATGCAAACAATGTGATTCTCCAAATCAATGCTCATCCTGTAATGGAAACTTTGCTGGATCAGACTGTTCAAGCTGTAAGTCTGGATGGACTGGATCTCTCTGTGATATTCCAATTTGTGATTCCAAATGTACTAATTGTTCTGCCCCATCCAAATGCTCAAAATGTCAAGGAAACTTCCAAGGTTTCGAATGTGATTCTTGTACAGATGGATGGAAAGGAACTGACTGTGACCAACCAATTTGTGATTCCAAATGTTCAGTTTGTGATTCTCCAAATCAGTGTAGAGTATGTAATGGTAATTTTGAGGGATCTGACTGTTCCATTTGTACTACTGGCTGGAAAGGAGCTAATTGTGTAGTACCTATTTGTGACAGTAAGTGCACAACTTGTGATTCTCCAAATCAATGTTCTGTTTGTCAAGGTAACTACAAAGGTGCTCAATGTGACAATTGTCAAGATGGTTGGACTGGCACTGATTGCAATAAGCCAATTTGTGACAGTAAGTGTACTACTTGTGATTCACCTGCTAAATGCTCAAAATGTCAAGGAAACTTCCAGGGATCTGATTGCTCCTCATGCAAATCAGGATGGAAGGGAGCTAATTGTGATGAACCAATTTGTGATTCAAAATGTTCTGAGTGCTCTGCTCCAAATCAATGTTCGACCTGTAGTGATAATTATGATGGTAACGACTGCTCTGGTTGTAAATCAGGATATAGTGGAACCAATTGCTCATTGAGTATTTGTTATGGGCTGACCAACCAAGATGCCAATGTTTGTTCTGGACACGGTTCTTGTGTATTGCCAAGTGTTTGTAAATGTAATTCCAAATGGTTTGGAGATAATTGTGAATTAACTTCATGCTATGGTATTATGAAGAATGACACTGGTGTTTGTAGCAAACAAGGTTCTTGTATTGGCCCTGACGTTTGTTCATGTAAGACTGGTTACAAATCCAGTGCTGATTGTTCGGTTGTCTCATGTGAAAATTTGAATAGTTGTAGTTCTCATGGTTCTTGTGTTGGACCTAACTCTTGTACATGTAGTGCTGGTTGGAAATCATCTGGTGATTGTAGCTCTCCTTCATGTGAATTGGTTTCAAACTGTAATGCACGAGGATCATGTTCTGGACCTAATGTTTGTACATGTTCAGGTGGATTCTTTGGTAAAAAGTGTGAATTGGCAACATGCTTTGGAGTTGCTGGCGATTTGAATACAGGTTGTAGTGGAAATGGAGAGTGTTTTACAACCGATACTTGTTCTTGCAATGCTGGTTATTATGGAGCTAGGTGCGATTTTAAGGTTAACCTGGAAGCAACCAAGAAGGTTACAAACTTTAAGCAATTTTTCATTGAACCAACTGTTTACAATCCATCTGGGTTATCTATTGGCTATAAATGGTCTCAAGTTGGAGGACCATCAATTAATTTAGAATCAATTAGTGAGAATACAATTTCCAACCCCAAACTTGTGATTAGATCTGAAAATGGATTGACCAAGGGACAATCCTATACCTTGCTGTTAACTACCACTAGGTCTGATAATGTTATTATTACAAATAGTATAGTTTTGAATGTTAACATCGATCCAGTAATCGATTGGTTCAGCACTGTCAACCCATCAACTGGACAATCTGTAGGTATTGCTGGTGTTACTTCATTCAATGCAAGCATTGCTTCTGCAACTGATCCAGATGGTGATTCCGATTCTTTGCAATATTCATTTGGTTATATAGTGGATGGAAAGAGATTTGTTTCAAAGGAATTTTCTTATTCAACCTCAACAATCTTCCGACTTCCTCTTCCAAGCAATAACTTGGCTGAAGTTTTCTACATTGCTAAAGATGATATGGGAGCAACAACCGAAGTTCAATCTGTAGTTGTTGTGAATAATCCATCTTCAAGTATGAATTCTTCTCAAATAGCCAAATTGGTTGACTCAATGTTGGAAAAACCATCAATTGACCAACTTTATTTCGCCACCTCATTGATCAAATCATCAAGTGATTCAGAATCTAGTATTGTCAAAAATAAGATTATTGATGCCCTCTACAATCAAACTGAGTCCAATCCTGAACTTGCTGTCGCAATTTTAAGTGAATTGTCAAATAAGACTCTGGACAACTCGCACGGAAGCAAGGCTCTTAGAATGCTTGAAATTTTGTCAAATATTTCAGACAGTTATGAAACTATTTTACAAACATCTTCCAAATTGATTAGTTACACCCAGTCAACTTCCGAAAATAGACAAGTTATGAATGCAATTTTGGAAAATATTTCATCATCTTTGGCTAAGAATATGGCAACAGGTAGTATTATTAAGACTATTTCTAATAATTTGTTAAACATTATTATTAAGAACAATGTAGATCTCTTGAATATCACCTTGCCAAGTTCAATTGGTGTTAATGGATTGACTATTCCAACATCAAATCTCAAGAATGTGGTTTCAAATCACACAATTGCATTCAGTATTACTATTTTGCCATCCTCATCTTTAAGTTTCCTCTCTATTCCTGTTTCATCCTCAGTATATAAGATCAAGCTCTTCTGGGATAGTGGAGTAATGATAAATATTACTAAATTGAACACTCCATTTGAATTTGAAATGACTGTTGTTGGTACCTCTAGTGGTGTCGAACCAGAATGTAGATATTTTGATGAAAGAACTAATACTTTGACAAAGGATGGTGTTGAAACCATTGTTATTTCTCCGACTCGTGTTAAGTGCAGAGTTTATCAATTAGGAGATTTCACTACAACCTTAATTTCAAAGGCTACAAGCTCGCCTGCTCCAGAAAAATCAAAGGTACAACCAAAGATTTCTCAAAGAGCAAATACTGCATCCACTACTAGTCAATTTTCATTTATGATGATGTTGCTTTTTGTGATTGTTGTTGTTTTCATGTTGTAAATAAATTATTCTTTTAATTTAGCTATTAAAGTGAAGAAATTTCTTTAATCCGAGATGGCGACGGTTTGCTTGTGTTTTTTTAAAGGCTGATTCTTTCTAAAATGCCATTCTTTTGGCGCCAAATGTAACGGCAAATAAAGCCTATTACAATATCTTTCCTTTTGAATACCATTTCATCACTACCAAGAGTTGTTTTACAAGGATCTTCGTGTTTACATGTACGTAATAAGTGCTGAATTTGATTGAAAACTTTGATAAAGTTACTCCTATTCACAAAATTCAAGATAAAAAATATGAACAAATTGTAAAAGGTACCTGGAAGGATGTTCTTCCTCTAATTCCTTTTTGAAAAGCAATATCTGCCATAAATGTCAGATTGACCACATAAACAATAACAAAAAGAAAAGGTCAAGCCATTATGACTCTCATCTCAAAACCTCGTTCTCCAGATGTCAACAAACAACGCTACAAGCCCACCATCTTCAACATGTATGGCGAGTAATAATGAAGAGTCAAGTCCAGGAAATACATCCTAACCAAAGATGAAACAATGTGGAAGAATTACTGGTTGGATAATTTATTGGCTGTTGGTGCTCTTTGGATGGCTAGTAATAACTGTTCGTGGATTATGAGAGCTTCACCTGTTAATCCAAATAATCCAGAAGATTATAGAAAGGATCTCTTTCTTGGAAGTAATCACACTGTGCATAAGGGATATCCTGCTATCATTATGGACTACATGGTTCGCTGTTGCTGCTAATTTGATTCTCTGTGAAATTTACATTAATATGGTGGTAAGAAAGAAGGATGAAAAGAAAGTCCCAACAATTCATACTTTTCATGTAACTTCAGCTTCTCTTTGACAATAGGTTAACAAAACGAATAATAAAAGGGTTAAAAAGACTACAGCACCACAGGTTCCCAAGTTGTCTCCAACCTCAGTACTGATGTGGCTCGACGATGCTTAACTTCTCAAATCGGACGGGATGAGGTGCATTCATCGTGATATGGCCGTAGCCATTCAATTCCTTAATCTTTCCATTTTCAATCATATCAGAAATCAGTTGATTGAAAAATCTTGAGATTGGTTTCTTAGATTATTGAGCTCAATGATTTTGGCAAAAGATGGAATATATTATTTATTGTTAAAACAGTTTGTAGATTATTTACAATTCATCCTTTGAACATGTTGAAATACCAGTCAAATCAATATTTCCAATAAATTCTACATCAAGATGGCATTTGACAAGTCTTTCCTCTACCTTACTCCAATCAATAACTTTCCAATAATCATTGACATAATTCAAACGTCTATTTTGGTGCTTCAAATAATAAGCATGCTCCCAAACATCAAGTGATAAGATTGGCTCCTCAATAGTCAGTTGCTTTGAATCAGCAGAATTTTCATTCAAATAAGCATTATCTTGATTGGCAAAACTCTTGATAACCAAATCAAATTGAGTTGGATTAGCAGTATTAACTCTCTTCAATAAAAAGACCCAACCAGATCCAAAAACTTTCATAGAAGCATCATTGAATTGAGCAATAAACTTTTCAACAGATCCAAAATGTTTAACCAAAGCTTGTTCAACTCTTGGAGTTGGCTTATTCTCACCAGAGGAAGGCTTCTTCAAAGAAGCAAAGAATAAATTATGATTCACAACACCACCTCCATTATTTCTAACTTGTTTTCTGGTAGCTTCATCACTTGTGGTGAGTAAATGTAAATTGGCAAGGAGAGTTTCAACTCTGCTACTCTTTTCAACGATCGGATCAGCCTTTAAAACTCCAAGAGCAGCATTAATATTATTTACATAGGCTTGATGATGTCCGGAATGATGTACTTTCATGGTGGCTTCATCAATAACAGGTTCTAATTCATTGTATGGATAGGACAAGGTTTGGAGGCTTACTTTGGTCAATTCAGAGTTGACACTGTAAATCAAGCCAATTACAATGCACAATACAACGAGCAGTGATTGTTTAATCATTTTTTTTAAATTGATTTTTTAAATATTAAATATATTTAAAATGATCATTACAATTTTATTAAAAAAGAATATTGCTCTTTGAATTTTAATATTAATCTCAATAAAATTAATACTCAAATTGTGCAAATATTTTAAATAATAATAATATTTAAAAAAAATGTCTCGACCAATTGTGTTTATGGAATTCAATGTCGCCAACAAGAAAGTTGGACGTGTAGAAATTGAATTGTTCTCCGATATTGTGCCAAAAACTGCTGAAAATTTCCGAGCATTGTGTACAGGTAGGTTGTGAGGATGATTGCTCAGAACTTTACTCATGCTTGTATAACAATTTTGATACACTTTCCGATATTGCATTACATTGTGTGGATTCTCTTCTAATATTATTTGATAATTTTAAAGGCGAAAAGGGACAAAAAGGAGGAAAGGCATTGCATTATAAAAATTGTAAAGTGCACAGAATTGAACCAGGATTTTGCATTCAATCAGGAGATATTTTGAAAGGAAATGGAACTGGAGGAAAATCAATCTATGATTCTGGTAAATTGGAAGATGAAAACTTCACTGTAAAACATAGTGGACCAGGAATTGTTTCAATGGCTAATAGTGGACCAAATACAGCTTCAAGTCAATTCTTTTTCACAATGTCAGATGAAGCTTTACCTCAATTGGATGGAAAGCATGTTGCTTTTGGTAAAGTTATTTCAGGATATGATGTTTTGAAGAGTTTGGAACAATACGGAAACAGATTAGGAAATGTGGACAAGAAAGTTGTCATTTGTGATTGTGGTCAAGTTCAATAAAATCTCCATTTCAGAAATTCCATTCAATTAATTGTAGTAATTTCTTAATCCTTTGGTGGAGAACCACTGGAACTTGATGAATCAGCAATATATTGCAGCAAATTCTCTGAAGATGATACAGAAAGTGAATCCTCTTCCTCTCCCGAACTACTACTACTTGTCATTAAATTTATCATATCCAAGTCTTCATCCGAATCATCAAAATTTGGTTTGGCTGCTTTTGGTGGACTTTTTTTTGTTGGACCCTTTCTTCTTGTTCTCTTCTTTGGTTTTTCATCACTTTCATATTCAGGCTCCTCTGGTTCTTGTTCGGATGACTCGTCGGAAAAGTCCTCTTCCTCTTCTTGCTCATCTTCATAATCCTCATCATCTTCACTATCATGAAATCCTCTCTTTTTCCTCTTTTTTGGAGCACTTGAAGAATTGGAACCATTCTTCTTAGAGGTTTGTTTTTTAGGTTTTTGATCCAACGAAGTGGTTTCATAGGAATTGTCTTCCTCTTCATCTGAGAATTTATATTCCTCCTCTTCTTCCTCTCCAAATAGTGCATCTTCCGAATAGTCAACTATAGCTCTACTTCTTCCACCACTTGATGCTGCAGCTGCAGCTCTTCTACTTCCTCTCATATTTAAACATCGTTCCAGATGAGGAGCATAGCCTGAATGGCCAATTTCTCTCTTACAATTTGCACAAACAACGTGAGTCCGAGTAATAGGTAGATGGTTTGTATCAATTTCTGGAAAGACGGAAACTTGTTCCTGCAGTGAAAATTGTTTTTTAGCTACAGAAGGTTTTTCTGTTGTTCTGTTGTTGGAGAAGTACTCGTTTCCTTCTCTCCTCTCCAACCATTTTAATACATTGTTCCACCAGTATTTCTTTCACCAGTAAATCCAAAATATGTTCTTGTATTCTTGTTGTATGATTAAATGTTTTCTTGATGTTGTTTTTTGTTACTTGTTCCGAAGAGGAATTTTCCATAACATTCTGTTCATCAACATCTTCATGATCAATTACTATTACATCATCATCGTCTACTACATTTACTACATTTGAATAATTTTGTTGTTCTTCTTTCGCGAAACTTCTGAGTTTTTGTTGCATTTTTTGATGTAAAATTTTACAACAACCATATTGAATTTAATTTCCTCAAAGACCAAGAAGTGCAATCATAAAACAGGTAACACTTTTAATTCTTCTTGCCTTAATTACTAGGTAAAAGACTGTGCATCACTCTATCCTCATTCCTCAACGAAATACTGTAACGCTCTTAATCACATACATCCTCATTTCGTTTAGAAATTAAGCAACATTTGAGTGAAAAAGACTGGTTTGAAAAGTCGTGCCAATGATTCAAATTTGGAATTGCAATATACAGTTAGATATCCAAATCCAAAGTGGCTATTGTTATGTTTGAATTAGCAGGTGTCTGCCTCAACATTTTGAAGTGCACACTTCAAAGATTCTAATACTGTACACAAAAAGTTTCCCTTAGTAGATCTTGTTACCTTTCTTTTTTTGCAAAAACCTTTCTTCTTTAGTTGTCTTCCTTTTTGTAAAATGGTAAAAAATTAGATCCAACCAATCAAACGAATGGTTTAGAAATTACAATCAAATGAGCTCGCATAAAAAACTTGATTCTGACTTGGTGATGGAACAATGTACGATTTACAAGTTAAGGCTGCATGTTACCATCTTGATGATGAGGTGCTGACATTCTTACCAGATCCATTTTGTGAGGGTATTCGTTAGGGGGAATGACCCAATCATACTTCATCTTGTTCTGAATTGTTCATGATCTTCCCTGCTTTTTTCCGTATGGTCCACAACCAAGTTGAATATCTTTTAATTGACAGCTGTCTACTATTACGAAAGCATTCCATCTTGTTGAATGGATGCAAATATTAATCTTTCCAATTTATATTAAAAAATCAGAAGAGTTTGTCAAAGGGCCAACCTGCTCAACTTGCAACCATTCAGTAACTCATTGTATTAAATTTGAACAATTTCTAGTATTGTAGGGCTCATTTCTTTCAATACAGTTGAAAAATCCCCTACTGCTTTAGATTTGCTATTAAACGACATGTTCATGATGCAACCTATGCCTGCTCATGCCACTGCGAGTGTGAGTACAATGAATGCTACACCAACCATTCTGGTCTCTTCACCTTTGGCTATTAAGAATATGAAGAGAGACAGGTCCACTTCACATATGCAAACTTGCTGTATGAAACAACCACATGCTACTCTTCTCCAACCATCTACCTCTACCCCTGTGAAAACCTTCACTCACATCACTCACCAAACTTGCAATCATTCTGATGGCAATATGATTGCACCAGAAATCTCAATCTCTTCATGCTCTAGTATCAATGATCATACATCCACAAGTACATTGAGTATTTCTTCAGCTTCCTTATCTGGCAGTGAGTCAAGATCTGTAAATAACAAATCACCAACCTCTCCATCCCTTCTCCAAAGAACAACATCCAAGGGAAAGAGCAGATCACCAACTAGTCAGAATGATAATGAATCAAGCTCATCAGAAGATTATCCTTCAAATGATGATCGAATTATACGTTCATTCAATTCTTGCAAAATGAAATCTAGCGACCTTAAAAACAAGTTTACCACCTCAAAGAAGGACCAAGTTATCAGATGTAACAGAACATCTGGAAATCAGAGGAGTTTCATTGGCTATCAGGATATTAAAGGGTATTTCTTCCTTCCAGAAAATGAAGCAGCCAAACGTCTTGGATGCTCCAAGAGTAAACTGAAACGTATTAAGACTCGATTAAATATTGAACGTTGGCCATACAGAAGAATTCAATCGTTACTGAACCAAAAACAGAATGCGCTCTCAAAGAATGAAAATGTTGAAGATATCGAAATGGCCATTCAATTTGTGATTGATTATCCAAATCTCATTACTAAATATTCTAACGAGGATATTGCATTAACTGCCTCCCGTTTCGATCGCATCAGGATCAGTAACCTCCTGTAACATTACAATATCATAGTTAAACAATTTTGAAAATAATTCCACCAATCAAACTCATGATAGCAACAACTGAGTCACTATCAACAATCTCCAACAATAAATTTTAACAAAAAGCTAAATTGCTAAAATTCTTCAAATTGTTATAATACATTTACTCGTAATTTCATATAAATATTGCAAAAAACATTCCTAGAATTAAAAAGTATTATTGCTTTTGAGCTAGTTGCTGTTTTCTAAGCTCTCTCATCTCTTTGGCTCTTTTTGCTTGTTGATATTCATCGGCTGCAGCATTGTCAGATGTTGATACACTCACAAAACTGAATATAGAAGAAATGCTCTTTCTTCTATCGATGGCGTTATCATCCAAAGAACCCATTGATGATCGAACTAAAATTCTTCGTTTCTCTTCGCGAGTCCTATCAATTCTCTTTATAAGCTCTATAAATGCTGTATCAATTCCTTTCTTTTTAAAGGTTGCTGATGTTTCAATAAATGGACAACCAAGTTTGTCGCCCAATTGTAAACCTTCTTTGGTTTCAACTTCTCTTTCTTCATCAGGAATATCACACTTATTTCCAATAATAACAACAGGTAGAATTGTTTGAGAAGTTGAAGATGAAACGCTACTTGTTGTGCTAGATGTTGTTGTTGGAGATGATGCTATAGATGATGAAATTGAACCGGTTTCTCTTCCTGGTGAGCTAGGGCTCACAATAGTTGTTGGATTATTTGAGGTATCTGTAACATTCAATGTTGGAGTGGAAACATTACTACTATTTGTGCTGGTTGTAGTTACAGTATTGGTAGAAGAAGAAGATGAAGAAGCATTATTTTCAGTAGCCTTTCTCTTCTTCTTGTAGGCATTTTGCCAAGAGTTCTTATTCATTTCAGCCAAGATTGGAGAAGTAGGATCGTGAAGTTGCAAAATTAATTTCATATGAGTTTTCACCTTTTCAAGAGAGAATTTGTTCTTTACATCAAACATTAACAGGTAACCATCAATGTGTGATTTCAACTCTTCCTTCTCTTCAGTTGTAAATCCTGTATCAAAGAGAGTAATCATGGACAACTCGTATTTACAGTTTTGGAACTCTACAGAGAAAATATCTAATGTGTTTAAACACATTCAAATAACAAGTAAATATGTGATGCAAATTAAATAATATTATAGATATTCAAAATAAAACAATTCATCATCAAAGAGTAAGGGAATGACCATTCAATAAGCAATGCCATCACATCAGCACCAAGTTCATCACATCAAACACATGAACCAGTCGCAAACAAGGTAGTGAAAGGAGACATGATCCAATGAAGCGTTTTCAATGAAATTTTTTTGATAAAAGGGCGCCAAAATTATTCATTAGGTTTGATTATCAGTAGGAATTGAATCATAGCAGAAATTGAATATGAATGATTGATTGTTTAGATAATGATATATACTATTATGAAATTAATAAATTTAACGTACACTTATTGGCTCCAGGTCTAACCTGAACAATTTTACCATCATATAATTCAGTGGCTGCTTTTGCAAATTCTTGTTTCCCGACAGAAGCTCCTCCCCTATGATGATGATTAAAGAGTTTTTTGTGATTATGAATGTTTTTTAATTATATTGTCATCATATTCGATATAATAATGGAAAATGGAATTTGAAGAAATCATTAAAGATAATAGCAGTGATGATTTGGTTTAATTATGAAAGAATTCATACATACATTACACAAATACTATATTTAACCGTTTTCATGATGATGATATCGTGATTTTGATGTTATTGCTGATGAAAGAACACGATACGAAAGGTTTCTCAGAGAAGAAAATGAAGCGATTCGTATTGAATTTTTTTTTCGAATGTGTCAACCTTCAAGAGCAATTTTGGATCAGTTTAGATTTATTTTGGCTTTATGAATCGTTGCATAGTATGAACAATTATCTCTCCTAAAGAACTATCGAATAAAAATTTACTTTCAGATGCTATTATTTCATATCCATTGAACAATACAGTATTAATATTGAAATTTTGAAATTCCTTGCTCACAGTTTAATTGTTGTAACGACATTTAAATTGCATGTTGTATGCAACATTCGAATATGAAGGAAAGAAAAAATACTTTTTATGGTTCATTACCCTTCTTTCTGAAATATGACATTAGGACTTTGTAACAACAAATAACATACATTTGATGTTTCGATAAAGTAGGATGCCTATTGACTTATGTGTAATATGGTGGATAAATTTCATTATTTACATTCTTATTTCCATAACTATTCGAATCAGCATGTTCTTCAACCTAATTACAACAATATTGCTAGTATTGTATCTCATTGTAAAAGATGGTTAATAATGAAGTAAAACTTAAAAAAAATGGAACCAGTAAATATCTTGCTAATTGATTTCAATGAAGTACCCAAAAACTTCTCATCCTCTTCATCGTCATCATTAATCGGAATGTTGTTTGCAAAATTTCAAAATCAAAGCAAAGGTTTTCGTAAGTGGCTTCTGAAACGAGAGGATTTTCTGATGGAAATTGCACTCCATGAGAAATGTTATCTAGATTCCCATCGGGTTGGATTTACCTACATAGATCCTGTCTATTTGAATTTATCACTTGAATTTATTCACGATTGGGAAATAATAGAACAATTAATTGATTATGTTCCGAGTCAATATTTACCTGCTTCTTGTGCTACGAGACAGTTTTGGAAGAAATTATTGGGGAAAAGAGGATGTTGGTTTTCTAGCCTTCCACAGGAGTTGAAACAAGATAGGGAATTGATTATGAGTGCTGTTGGAGCTGGAGATTGTGAAATATTTTCATCGCTTCCTATTGAATTGGTGAATGATTTGGAATTTATGAGGGAATGCATTAAAATTGAGGGATCTAGTTTATTATTTTGTAGAGATGAGGAGGTTAAGAGGGAATTGAATTTTGAGGCTGTTTGTATGGGTTTAGGAATAGAATTTCTCAAACGAGATGAAAATGGAAAGGTAATTGATTTTGGAGATCAGTTTAATGATGATAGGGAAGTAGTGTTGGAAAATTTGAAAAGGAATGGATCTCTTTTCCAAAAAGTTTCGAACAGGCTCAAGGATGACAAGATATTAATTATTGAGGCAATGAAAACAAGTAGGTCAATTCTCACTTGTCTATCAAATGAAATGAAACAAGATGAGGAAATAATCAATGCTGCAATTCAATATAATCAATTCCAAACTCTAAAATGCTACTTTGAAAGTAAGAATTATGTGAAAGATTATGAGAAGGATGTGGAGATGATATGTAAAGTATTGGCAGAAAATGGCTCTGATTACGGTTACCTTCCTTCAGATTATAAGCAAGACAAGGATTTACATTTGAGAATTTTCAAAATCCACACAAGTTTTATTGAAAGATTCCCAAAAGAAATGTTGCAAGACAAGGAAATTATATTAGAGGCAGTCAAAAATCCTCCTACAGGATTTTTACCCTTCAGTTCAGCCTCGTATTCATTGAAACAAGATGAAGAGTTTGTGAAGCAAGTTATCGAACTTTCTCCTAGCTCTATAGTAGTCGTCCATAACAATTTGAAGAAAAATAGAAGTTTAGTAATGCAAGCTGTAAAACAACAAGGTGGTTTACTCCAATTTTGCAGCCATTTTCGAAAAGATAGAGAAATGCTCTCCATTGCTCTCACACAAGTAACTCAAAACAAGTTAACCCAAGATGAGTTTGATTTTCTTTTTGAGGAATCGATAATATCAAAAGAAATGATACCAACTCATTCCAAGCAATTGCTTGAAATAGTTGCCAAATTTGATCCTCACTTGCTCATGTATAATTCTAATGCAGATGCTGACATTTGGGCAATTGCTGCGAAATATACTGGAACTATCCCACCAAGCATGACTATTGAGGAAATGCCAATGCTATTTGAACAACGATTGGAATATGAATATTGTGGATTTTACCTTCCTCCACGTTACAAATCTCATCAATTTGATTGAGATTTCAATTAAATTAACCTTAGCCTTGCATTTCTTGCATCATCAAGTTGGTTACACACTTACGGAAGGATTGATTGCAAAGGAATTGTGCCAAATTTGGTATTCCTTTCTCACAGCTCCTTAATTAACCGTGTGACCTCTGATAACTTTCGCAAATAATTCAAAACCAACTTGCGAAAAAAATGGCTCACTACCAACCTGTCATTGATCCAGCCACCACCACCTTTACTATCAATCATTTACCTCCAGATTGCTTGATCGAAATATTCCAATATTTGCCATTTCTTCCCTCCGTATTGAATTTACAATTAGTCTCTTCGGCATGGAGAAATACTGTTCAACACTTTATTGCTAGAGGAGGATTTGATTTGAATTTAGGATTTCTTCCGAGCCATGTAACACTCTCCAAGTTTATAATGATCATTGGTCGTTTCTATAATGCTAAACAAATTACATTGTGTAATTTACAGTTGACTGTTGATTTGATGAAGGTGTTGAGCTTTACAGCTATTGAAACATTGGTCTTGTGTAATTGCTCAACAGAGGCTGCCGTTTCATTCTCTCCAGATTTGGTTAGTTCAGGATTCAAGCAATTCAAAGATTTTCAGAGAGAAATGAATGAGAAATTGGAAGATTCTGGAAGATTGCCTTTTTATAATTTGAAAAGAGTGATTGTAATTGACTCTTCTACCTGTTTGAATTTCGTTTGGAAGGAAGATTTTATTGAGGATAATAGGGATGAATCTTGTCAAGCATCATTGAAATCATTTTACAATTTGGAAAGTGGATTTGATAATTGTTGGAATTTCAAATCAATTTCTATGAACTCTAACAAGAGAGTTTCATTTCTTGCTTTAGAACTTTACAATGGTGGAGATGCCAAGAGTAGAGATTCAAAAAAGTTTGTAACCCTAAAGAGTGGAAAAACCCTTGTCAACATTCCAATTCAACCAATCGAATATGTTGAAGATAAGAAGGCGCTAATGTTTAAATATGGTCTTAAAAGTAATTACAGAAAAGTCAAATTTAATAGCAAAACCCTTCAGCAAGCAATAGATAATTTCCTTATTGGAATTTATTCTTACACAGCTCTGGAAGATTTCTTGACACTTGTGGTAAATTCGCCAACACGACCAATGAATTTTGTGACTGACAAAGGATTCTATTCAGAATTGATTTATTTCCTCCACAAATATCAGATTTTGAGAGAAAATTCAAACATTCCACTTAGAATAGTTCAGCTAGCTGAAACATTGGATTACCACTGGGCAAGTTTCTCACAAACTGAACCAGTTTCAACCAAGACAGAAAATATCAGTGAGGAAATTCCAGTTCCATTCTCTTGGGTGCACCTTTTGAAGAAGGGTCAATACATTCACCTTCCACCTGCTCAACCAGAACCAGAGAAGAAGGAAAGTACTGAAACTAAACCAGTTCGTAAAAGTTATCGTGGCCTATTGACAAGAGGATCCTCTTCAAACAATCAAGATTGAGATGGTAGTGCCACTTATTCCATTAATCATCACTTATTGCACATTCTTCCATTGTTGAATTCGTTGGTGAAATTTCGTCGTTCGTGAATAAAGGAACCAACAAGATGCAACATGTTCTGTAACCCTGTAAATTAAGCATGATGTGCAATTTTTGAATTGATTTTTCTGTCGTAAACAATGATTTTCATGTTCCTTTCATAAAAAAATGTTAAACACTTCCACTTCATCAACAGCAGTGATTGATCAAGCAGCAAAGGCAATTGCATCTGCCACTCACTTGTATTTTACAGCCGGAGCTGGTATGGGAGTTGATTCTGGGCTTCCTGATTTTAGGTGAGTTTAAATTTTTTTGTAAAGTTATAATAATTATTAATAATATATTTAAATATAATTAAATATAATTAAACAATACTTGAAAAAATTAATGATTTTAGAGGAAAGAATGGATTTTGGAAAGCCTATCCACCAATGCAAAAATTGGGCCTCGAATTTCACCAAATGAGTAATCCAAAATGGTTTGAGAGGGTAACTATACTATTTAACTATTATTTAAATATTATTGTAAACTAACATTAGGATCCAACATTTGCACATGGATTTTTCGCTCATCGTTACAATCTGTACACTAGTAAATTACCCCACCATGGCTATCACATCCTAAAAGAATTGTCCGAAATGCCCAACATACAGGACTATTTCATTTTCACATCGAATGTAGATGGACACTTTGCACAAGTTTTCCCACAGGAAAAGATTGCCGAATGTCATGGCTGTATTTTATATTTGCAATGCACAAATTCTTCCACCTGTGAGGATATTTATAGTGTGAAGAAACATAATGAGTTTTATGCGGAAACACATCCAGAGACTTGCTATCCATTGCCTGTTGATATGGAATCGTTTAGAGTACCAGAGAAATCACTTCCTAAATGTATTCATTGTGGATCTCTTGCCAGACCTAATATTATGATGTTTGGAGATTATGGATTTGTTGGTGATAGATCTAATGAACAGGAGGATAGATTGAGAGAATCATTTATCAAGTGGAGAGAGGGAATTGATAAAACTAAAAATGTGGAAAATCAAATACATTTGGTCACTATTGAAATTGGTGCTGGTGTTGATGTGAATACTGTAAGATGTGAAAGTGAGGAAAAGACAAGAAAATATGCAAATATTGACCATGTTAAAACAACCTTAATTAGAATTAATCCAACTGATCATCAAATTCAGCAATTCTCTATTGGAAAGGGAGTCGGTATTGAAATTCCTCTTGGTGGATTAGATGCTCTCACTCAAATCAAGCAAAGAATTGCAGAATTGAAATAACAATTGGAAACCAAAGAACAAATTAAGATTTTATTGAATGATTAAAATGGATTACCTTTTAATAGCACGTCTGTTCAACGTTTTTAATAGAGGGAAGGCATCCTTAAACTTGGATTCAGGGACACTGTCTGGTGAGAAGTCAATATCAGTCAGATTTCTGATATTTCCATTCGCAAAGTTTAGCATTGAACTTTCAGAAAGTGAATTTCTACACAATTTGAGCACTTTCAATTTGACAAGATTACTATCGCTCAAGAGTTTCAAACCAGCAGAGCCAATGTCATTTCCACAAAGATTAAGCAATGTCAAATTTTGTAAATATGGAGAGTTGACTATATCTTTAACACTCACACTAGTCAACAGAGATTTGTGAGGAATACAAGTTATAGATCTCAAAGTGGAAGAATATTCAGAAAGGCATATACGAAATATTCCCAAATCTGAAATATCATTCTCTGAAATATCCAAAATGGCAATCTTTGTAAGCAAGCCGTTGAATAATTTTTCCAAATGGTCATTATTAATGCCACACTTGGTCAGATTGAGTGATGTTAAATTGTGCATTGGTTTTAAGGCATCAACAGAGACAGAATTTTTTGACATGTCCAATACTGTTAAATTGGGGAAAATAGTTTCAGCAAACTGTTTCCAAGGTTTTTCATGTTGAACTCTTCCACATTCCATTTTCAAAGTTTGCAATTTCGTCAATTTACAAATATCTGGAACAGCTTCTGAAATGTGAAATCCAGAAATGTTCAAAAAAGTTAGATTAGGCATATTCCACTTCGTAAAGGGTTTCAATTCTTCCCAACTCTCATACCTTCCAACATTCAACGATTCCAATGATGAAATCGATCCAACAAGATTCAAACCATACCAAGTGAGCTGGCAATTCGATAAATCAACAATTTTCAAATCAGGTTTACGAGTTGCTAGAAAGTTAAACCACCAATCTGTACTTGGTCCTTGAAACCCACATCCTATCAATTTTAAAACTCTCAACTTGTCGAATTGAGATATACGCCTATAACTGGTCCAATCATTACCAGCCCTATTCAAAGAAAATGTTTCAAAATCTTTGAATTTGTAAAGAGAATCAAAGTCAGAACAATTCAAATCACAACACAAAGCTAACCATTCCTGAGCATGATTCTCAAATAATTTCTTCAATTTGAACTCACAATTCTTCATAATGACCTTCTCAACCTTTCGGAAAGCTCCCAACCTAGCACATTCATATATAACATCCTCGCTATTATCTTTAAAATCAAGTGTTGCTACCTTTACATTAGCCAGTACCCACTGATGAAAATTCCTGCAAGCCATTCCGATCGTTCGCCTTAATACCTTACTCCATAAATCTAAAGATGTGATGATGAAAAATCTCTGCCGGCAATATGGCCACTAATTCAGCACCTTCATCTTGTTGGTTGCTTTCTACTAACGGTGAAGATACAGTAGTGATATGTTCGGACATTTTTTTGGATTTGATTTTTGAAGATTCATTGTAATAGTCAATTTTAATTGATTTCAACATGTTGTTTTATTGATGAAAAACAAAGATGAGCAATACAATAAGAAACCACCATGCAGAAGAGGAAGGTCTTAAATTATTAGAGCTATTAACTCGTCCACCACTGCTTGATGGTTTTCTGCTTGAACTTGTTGGAGTAATCAATGTTGATTGACCAGTTGGTGCTGAGCTAGTGCTTGGTTTAGTAGTGCTTTGCAATGGTTTAGTGCTTGACAATGGTTTAGTAGTGCTTGGCAATGGAGTGACAGCATTACAATTACTCTCAAAAGCTCCAATATCTGGAGCAATGTCATTATTAGCAAGTGCTACACCCTTACCAATCAATGTAATGTTTTGATTGCAACGAAGTTTAAAATCCAAGTTAGTTGCATTATTAAAGTAGTATGTCAAATTAGATGCAACTATTTCATTAATAATATGAGAACCAAGATTAGCATAGGACCAATCAATAAATTGCCAATTATACATTTTGGCTTTTTCTTGCATAATGTAATTGTAATCAATATCCCAATAACGAGCCAGTAAGTATAATGGAGAATTGGTTTGGAAGGTTGGTTTCTGGAGTGGAGTATTGATGAAGGCATTGTTTTTCATCTCGACAGTTCTTGGATAATAAGTATTTGTGGATATGGAAATAATGGATGACAATGCTAATTCCTCAAGAATAGCTCTATTCAAGCCAATGACTTCATTGAGAGCTCGTTTGTCAGAGAATGAGGCAGGATTAATGACAGATCCGTCACTGTTCAAAACTCCCTTAGTTGAAAGAGCTACCCAATATGGATAAGCTGCTCCTCCTGTAACATTCAAAGAACCAACTACATCATTCTTGTGTGTGTACATGAAAGAGGTGTCATTGACAATAGTGTTGAGGAAAGTTACAATCTCTGTTTGTAAAGATGAGCCAATTTGTCCATAATTATCCAGAGCTTGAATCTTTGAAACCAAAGTTGGATTCTTATTCCAAATCAAAGTTTGTGCCATTGCATTGTTCATGGTTTTGACTTGTGTGAACAAATTGCTAAAGCCAGTCGTACCAATTGAGAGAATAAGAGGAGTGTCATCCTTCAACAAGGAATCTCAACCAAACATTGTAGAATACATTGTTGTACATTCTAATTTCAGAACTCCAGTTAATTCCCATTGGACCACCTATAATGACATTGCCAGTAAAGGTAATCTTACCACAATTTTCATTCCACATATTTTGAGGATTGTGAGTTAGGGCGCCATCATAGGTTCCGTCGTTGATTAAGTAATTATCCTTAATGAGAATGTTGTGAACCTTTGAAAATTGAATATTGTCTGCATGTTGAAGTTCACTTGAATGAGGACCAATTCTATTCGAAATGATTTGAATATTAAAAGTATCGAATAGAGCATTGGTGTTTCCTGCCCAAATACCATTATTCAAATTGTGATGAATGTAGGTATTTTTAACAGTACAATCACGACTTCCCCTTGCAAAAAAGTCAATTCCATTGTTCCAGTTATAGGCATATTCACCTCCGTCAATGATAATATTATCACCCATTTGGATACCAAGTCCATCAAAGAAATTTTCATTTGAAGTAATATTCAAGTATGAGGTCTTACTGCAATAATTACAAAAAACACCAGTTCCTTCAAATCTTCTGACAAACAAACTGTCAAAAACGAGATATTCTGTAAATTGCATCCAAAGTCCATATTTGATGACAGAAACTTCAATAGATTTAGGAAGAGTATCAGCAGAAACATAAACTTGATTATTATCGAGAGCATACTGTCCAGGTTTTGAAATCAAACCAACGTGATTTCCCAGGGCATACTTATCATTCTTAATGAAGGAAAATCCTGAATATGCTGTACCATCAAGAGGAGAAATAGCTACATTAGTGAAACCAGCAGTATTGGTTTTACTGTCATATGATAAAACAGTTCTGTAAAAGGTAACTTTGGCCAAGGTACCGGCTGGATTGTTTCCATCCCCAATGAAATGATACAGTTTAGCACCAACCCAGTAACCATCTGGAACACTTGTACCATCGGCTTTCTTTCTGAATCTATCGTCAAGTTGCAAATAAACTATATTAGAAACTGTGGTAACATTAGTAGCAGCAGTAATGGTGATATAATTAGTTGACAAGAATGGATCAAGATCTGAATATGGCAAAGGTATCATGGCAGGTACCAATTTCTTGGTCTCAGAATAAAGAAAAAGAGGAGTTCTTTGAATAGTAGTTGTGTAAATATTAACTGGAGCGGATGCAAACAATTTAACCTTACTCATGTCAACTGGAATAGATCCATCAATAATCACATTCTTTGAATCAGTTCCCTTGAAAGTAATTGGATGTCCAGGGAGTGCTGAATATTGAATCTTTAAGGTTTCTCTATAAATTCCAGGTCCAATTATTAAGGTATCGTCTGGCTGTAACATGTATTGAGCTCTTGAAATGGTTTTCCAAGGAGATGATTTAGTTTTACCATTATTAGAATCTGATCCAGTACTTTGATCAACGTAGAATGTTTGAGGAGATGCAGAGTGGAGCAATTTACCTTTCCAGACCTTGACTCCCAAGATCTTGTATCTGCTAGTAGTTGGACTGTCAGTTGTCTTATCATAGAATCCAATCTTTCCATTAACTGAATAGAATACCTTCATTGCATCAGCATCAGAATCAGAAATATTGATTAGATAGTCGCCACTGGCAATACCAACTTGTCCAATGGAAATAGAAATGGAATTACTCGATTTCTTAATATAGAACTTGTGATCGGTATAAACTGAATTTCCAGCACCACCAACCAAAAGGGAAGAACTATGAATTAAGGTTCTAACCCCATTCAATACTCTTGTAATAGTTTGAAATTGGTCTGGTTTGTACAAAGCTGGAATTGACGAAAAGGTGATCAATATGTTTACAATTTATGTAATTTACATGTTTTTAGTTCTAGAACTGGTTGTATACACAATGAAATAATGAAAAATCAAAAAATCTATTTATTTTCGCAAGGTTCAATTGCTGGCTTTTGCTTCTTTTTTAACTTTTGCTCATGTTTGTATTCGATGAGTAATTTTTGATAATCGTGAGGGAAGAATCCAAATCTAATAAATTTGATAAGCAGATCAGGAAGTAAGGCAACCACACTTAGCAACATTGTCACGAGAATGGCCTTTACACTCATGAAGGTATGATAATACACAAAGTGGAAAGTTCCCTTTCCGAAAAATACTGGAATTGGAGTATAAATTACCACAAATACAAAATAGCTCAAGTAACTACCCCAAATCGATAAAATGATTGGAAGGCTCCACGATTTGACTGACAGAGCAAATTTGAAAGTAATAATAGTTACTGTTGTTGTGAGAACAACTGTTCCAAAGTGGAAAACATCTGATGGTCCATTCTCCAAAATATCTTCATATCCATAACAAATTAAAACTCCAAAGAAAACAATCAAAGAATGATAGGTGGCATCCAATGTCCAGAAAAGTAAGCTTCTGATATTGAATAAATTACCATGAGTTCCACTCTTTTTCAAAGTAGAGTAAATTTCTGGATGTTGTAAAATAACTTCCTCTGGTAAATCCTTCTCAAATACTCCTGAAACAATTGGTTGGAAGAAACAGTAGATAGTATTGAACATTGTAAGAAGCCATGATTCAAAAAATATTGTGCATGTAAATCCTGTATAAATACAGTAAAGTATCTGAGGAACCACAATCATGACATTCTTGTAAAAGTTGAAGAGTAAAAAGTCAGCATTTCTAACACAGCAATATCTTCCATGAAGAGCAATCAATCTGACTAAATTCTTAAATCTAGGGAGAGCATAGTCAGCAGAACGAGAGGCCTGAGAACCTTCTTTTCCTTTGATACCTACACCTACAGTTGCTGCTTGAATCATTGCCACGTCATTTACACCGTCTCCAACAGCAAGAGCTTTCTTTTTCAATTTGGATTCAATGAGCTTGACTATTCTTGCCTTTTGGAGTGGCTTTAATCTGGAACAAACTGCACAACTAATATGTTGAACAATCTTTAGGAATTGTTTTTCATACTTTTCCAGAGCAAAATCCAATGATTTAGAATCAATCACTAATCCATACTCAAAGTGTTTGTTCTTGTGACGCTCAAGAAATTCTAAAGCAACTTTCATCTTCTTTTTGACATGTTTAGTATTGCAAGAGTCTCGTATTCTTATTTCTATTGTTTCATCTTTGTGTAAGATATTTGTAGAGTAGGCAACATTGATGGCAGTCTCTGTCTTGTCTCCTGTTAAGACCCAAATTTGAAAGCCGGCTTTGGATAAATAGGTAATAGTCTCTACTGCATTTTCTTGAAGCTTGTCCTCAATGGCTGTACATCCAATTAATTGTAAATCAATTTCCATATCAGCAGCACTGTGAATTAAAAGCTTTTCTCTATTCTTTGTTGAGAGGGTTGCCTTTGTATATGCTTCAATCCATACTTGAAATTCTTCTTCTGAAATTTCCTTTCTAGCACATACAAGAGTTCTCAAACCCTTAATTGAAAATGTTTCAAGAGCAAGTTTCAAGTCGGTGACATAATGCTTTCTAGCTCTACATCTTTTGATCATGACGCTATCAGCCCCTTTTACATAACAAATATATCTTCCTTCTGGGCTTTTAACAATTACACACATTCTCTTTCTGTCTGATGTAAATTCAATGGTTGCAACAATGTCATAAAACTTCTTTTCTCCCATCTCATCAATTAGAACACCTGCGTTTGTTCTTTGTAACAACACAAATCCATTATTTCTGGCTGCTTCTAATAGAGCTATTTCATCTGAAGAAGGTCCATCATAAACAATACGCTCTGGGTTCTTTGGATCACGTTCAGGAATGACATTGTTATTCAATGCTAGACATAAGAGGAACTCTCTCAAAAGGTAGGCATGGTAACCAGCTGTATCAGATACAGGTGGCTCTTCCAAGCTTGGTTTGTGTTCAGTCATGTAATTCTTCATTAAACCTGGATTACGTATTTCCGAGTAGTACAACCCACCAACCCATGAATCAGAGTATTTCATTTCATTTTGAGTGAGAGTACCTGTCTTGTCTGAAAATATCACATCCAAATTAGAAAGAGCTTGATTCATATTAGATGATTTGACTTCTGCTTTAAAGTCTCCATGCCACATTTCCTTGTCACTCTCTATCATTTTGGATTGGAAAGTTTTAATAATTTCCAAACCAACAACCAATGACATTGGAATCATAAGATTTAACAAAATGAAACAAGTAACCCATGTGGACATGACAGATGTAAAGGAAGCAGGTGCGGAACTAACTGGTCTTAAATAGAATGCTTTGATTTGATAATTATCTTGGAATAATCCATAAAATGCAGCCACAATAGCGCAAATAATTTGCTGTAAGATTAAAAGGAATACTAAAATTTTGTTCAATGTAATGTCCAAGTCGTTTCTCTTTTGTTTGTTCTCTTTCAAGTTCTTTAAAATCTTGGTGTGATTACCCACATAAATAGCAATACCATAAATATGTTTTGTGTTCTTCAGCACACATCCTCTGAGAAGTAGATTATCCATAGTCATAGCTTCCTTTTGAGTTAATTTTTGATCCCCTACTTTTGCTTTCAGTTTGATGTTGCCTTCAAAAGTATCCAAGTTGCTGTTAGGAAGTTCAACCTTCAGTTGACCATCCAAATCACTCAAACTTTTGTGAATGGTATGTTCTGGAATATCGTGCAAGAATTTTCCAGCTTTAAGAGATCGTCTCGTTTTCAGATTTGTTTCGCCGTCCAGATTCGCCGTCTCTACATAGCACATATCATCCTCTCTTGAGGAGTGTATACACAACAAATCGGAAGGGAATGTTTCTTCCTTGCTTACAAGTACAATTTCTCCTATTTCTACATCCTTGACTCTAATTTCAACCACCTGACCACCTCTAATTACTCTACACTTTTCATTGTTAGCTTTTCTGTCTTGTCTATAACGTTGAAGATCTTCAATGGCGTCCTTAAACATTTGAATCATTACAATTACAATAAGTGGAATAATGGAGGTAGCTGGTGATACTGGAGAAATATCAGGAAGTAATACTGCAATAACTGATATTAAAAAATAAATATTGGTAACCTTTTTGAATTGTTCAAAAAGGTTTTTTGGAATAAAGGTTAACAAAGTATACTTTGTTGTTCTGACATAGTTTGTAGGCCATGACTTTCTATTATTTTTGTTTTCTTCTCGGTTGTTTACATAAATTCTCTCAAATTGCTTTTTAGAATCTTCAGTTTTGGTGGTAGTTTCAGTTATTGTTGGAGGTGCTGTGACAACAGATTCGTCCTCGTCATCACTAAATCCCTCTTCTTCTGCTTTTCGCAATTGTTTAACAATATTCTTATTAACAATATCTTTTACAGGTTTCATGCTCAAATAATCATTGACATTGTACGAGTCGACTTGTCTTGGCCTTTCTTTGGAATTTTCAATCATGGCCATATCAGTTTTCTTAACCACAAAATCATCCTCAGCTTCTTGAGCATCTTCAACATAGAGTGATTCCTCTCTGATGTGATTAACATATCTTGGTTTTCGTTTTGGAGGCTCCATTACAGATGGTAAATCGATACTTGAACCTGGTAAGCTCATTGGTGAGGAATAAACAACTGGTTGTGGAACAATTCCAGTTTCAAAAACTGAATCTGTAGTATTGATTTTCAAAGGACTTCGTTTTTCAACAAGTGGAGACTCGTGGAGTTCCAAAGTCTTCTTGGAATTGCCTTTTCTAAATGTCTTTTTCTTTGCAGCTTTTAATTCTCTATCTTCCTCATCACTACTGCTAAATCCAAGTTCCTTGGATGTCATGTGAAGAGGTGTCTTTGACTCCTTTCCATTGCTATCCAAATTAGAAACTCCTTCAATTTCTGTGACATGAATATTCTTATTGTCAGAAGAAACGATAATTTTGCTTTGTTTGAGACGACCAATTTGAGAAGTAACTTCCACATCTTCATCTTTAGAAAAGTAACGAGAAGGAATCCTCTTCCATCTTTCGGAAAGTAGTGAAGGATCATTTCCATAAATTAATGCCATATCATCCTGAGTCTTGCTGTTGTAAATAGATCCAACTCTACTGTTTCTTCTATTATAGGATTTTCTCCAAGCTTCAAGCAATTGATCATCATCAAACTTGAAATTTGATTGACCACTTCTCGATGTTGTAGTGGTTGTTGTTGTGGTAAAGGTAGAAGTTTCGTCGGTATTTGTATCTACTCTGAATACAGGAGGATAAATAGGAATGTGATTGTTGGTGGTATTGTTATTTGTACTGTTTGTGTTAATAATAGTAGAAGGCTGTTTAGTTGATGTTTTCTCAACAGAAGATACCAAATTTAAGTTTGGTGAAGCAATCTTTTCTTCATCTGTAATAATTCTACTAATTCTGTGCAGTTGACTATTGTCTAAACTCACTCTGTTTAATTGTTTCGATGGAGTCAATGAAGCAGAGGGTGGATTCGCACTTGATTGCTTTCTTGGAGGAGTTGTTGATAAATTGTCTTGTCGTGGTGGAAACTGGTACGTTTCCTCTTTATATGCAAATGATGAAGAAGGAATTGAGACAACAGTGTCGTTAAATGTTATTCTGGGTGATGGATTGATAATGTGATTGGGTATTGTTGTGGAAGTAGGATTCTCAGTAGCAACTGTTATTGATGCTGCAGAGTTGTTGGTAGTAGGTACTGATGAAAGTAAATTATTATCATGATGAATATTAGAAAAGGATGTAGTTGTTGTGGAAGGTTTGGACTGTTGATGTAATATTACATCTTGGTCCTCATCTTCATCTACTAAATTTACATTGGTTCCAACAATAATTGATGAAGTATTATGATTATATTGTTGATTATTTACATGTTCTCCATCCATTGATTCAACTTCGATATGAATTACATCCACATCCTCAGCCACAATATTAGAATCCTCTTGATGATGATTATTAGTATCACCACTCGTATTTAGCATATTGATGATGATAATGAATATTAAAGAATAAATAAATTATTAAATAGTAATATATATATAAATATAATAGTTCAAAATTGATGCATCCCGTGTAAACACTTTCACAATATTCTTCTTGTTGAAATATATATTATACAAAAGAGTTTTCCAAACCCCGAAAGTAGTAGCAACAACAAATAATCGCAGCGAAATTTTTCGAGTATGTGTTCTTGAGAGTTGTTGGTTACCCTTGTTCTTCGTTCTACTTTTCTATTAATAAAAATAATATCAGAAATTTGTGTTGCTGTTGGTTTTTGGATCTTTTGCAAAACACCAAATGGAAGGACACTACAAGTCTGGTCAATACAATTTCTTGAGTTTGTTTTGATGGCAATATAGCCGAAGAAAGTATGAAGGCTTCAATGACTGTTTGTCTTTTTATTTCGGAAAGATTTGTGTTTTTTACTGTAATATGAAGAATTCATCATCCACTACAAGAGGAAACAGTAAGTGCATGCAACACTTGAACGACAAGGACGCTAAGCAATTAATTGCTGGTGGTGGACATTGGAGGACTACAACAAATTTACGCGATTAAACAATCGAACGAATAGGCTCTGTTGTGTTTTGTGTTACTCATTCCATTCTAGGTAATCTTGATAATTCAAAGGAATTCTTTTACTTTTTCGTATGTGGCAAATACAGCTGCATTTACAATGACGGCTCTGAGAATGGCTGATTTATATCCTTGATAGAAACCTGACAATCCCATTTCATTGTAGATTCGCTTAGTCATTCCCCAACTGGAAATGAAATTTGTTTCAATTGGTTGTTTTTGAGTAGGAGCTTTGAGAATGGATTCAATCTGTATTCTGGTTTTTATCAAATCAATAGGAAACATGATTGTCCAGAATGCAAAACCACCAACTCCACCTCCAATCAAGGAATGAATGGTTTGAGGATGATTCATTGAGGATTTCTCGAGGAAACGTAAAGTAGCTTCGTAGGCAGCAAAATAGATTGCCAATCCAGATTCTCTGAAGGTAGTAATGGCAAAACCTCTATTGATGGATTTATAGAAACTAAGAGAGGACTGAATTTGACCGAAGAGTGAATTACTGTATTTGTAATTCGTTTGGTGTTGCCTAAAAAGGTGTTGTGTTAAATCTTTAAGACCCCTGAACCTGTGTGAAGCATCTGCTTGTAAATTACATTTGAGGAACTCTGTTGGTGTTGTCACAAATGAACCGACAATACCAGACAATGCTCCAGCAGCTGCAATTTTCCATAGGGGAAGCACTTCAACACTATTTCCTTTGAGATATTGTTTAGTTTCATTGTATACTCCAAATTCTACAGAGTTTAAAATACATGCTCCAATTAATGGACTTGTCTATTTATCAAATTTGATCAATCCTTAATCAATTAAGAACAATGTCACTCTACTCACCCATCCTTTGTATAATCCACCAATTCCTTTTGTTTTAACAATATTCCTAAATACTTGTGAAATTGAAAAGTGTGAATTTCCTGCTGTTGCAGTGGTTGACATGGTTTGCAATTTAACTTTGATGGTATCTAATGGATGACCAGATAACACCTGGGTAACACCACCAAAACAACCTGCAACCCATTCCTTTGTGTGGAATCTAGTACTACTTCCGGTAACACCACCAACAGATGATGAATTGATAGTTGTTGATTCAGACATTTTATTTGAGTAATTTTCCATATTGCAAACTCACAATTCAATCAAATTTACAAAAATAACTTCAATCATTTTGGAAGCAATCTACTGAAATCATTTCATCCAAATTCCTTTTTCATATTGATCAATATGACAGAACATACTTTGTATTGTTGAGGACGAAATTATTTGTTTTGATTTGTGGTTAGTTGCTTGGTGAAGAACAACATACCAACATCAAACATTTCTAAAAAAAAACAGCCAGAATGAATACTGATAATCAAGGAGAGTATTATAGGAGGAGAGTTTCTATTAAACAAAGGGATCAACTTGTAAAAAGAATACGTTCCGAATCTAGTTGTTGTCATTTCCATAGTAGAGCAACAACTAGAAAAAGAGCTTTTTACAATTTTCAAAACAATATTGAATATTATGTTAACTGCATGGACATACGTTATAATGAAGATATACACTCCCTGCTTGATGCTATCAAGCTGTTTCGAGAGTATGTTCTTACTGGGTTTCCAGTAGAGTTGTTCGAGCTGTCTGGCAAGTGGTTAAACACCACAAAGGTGGCAAGATATTTCAACATCACTGGTCTTGATGGACAGAACTATGTAGAAGGGTTTCCAGAATTAAAATTGACTGATTTGAGAAATTTGCAGACCAATGTTTGTAATCTAATGTTGCAAGCTTTAAAAGATGGTGTGAAATTTTCATTTGGAACAATTTCTGCAAGTCTAGTCGATTTATTCCATGAGATCAAGGAGAGTTTTGAACTCTTCATGAATATTAATAATTCCTGCATGCAGGTCGATCAACTAGCCCCAAAGATATCAACTATTATGGCTCATGCAAAAAAAAGAAATTCAGAATCTTTCCATTTAAAAAGTAAGTTGTGATGGATTCCTTTTGATTTACCTGGGCTAATGTCATTTTTCAAGTATTGGACTTATTTTGTAATAACATTGATATTTTCAATGGTTTACCAACTGAATATCTCAAGAATTTGATACCATACACCTTTGATGTTAATTATTTTTTTTTCGTAAAATTATGGTGGTATTGCATTAATTCATCTGAAGTCCAACAAGAAAGAATAGAATTTTTATTCAATATGAAAGCTCTTCATTGATGTATTATCACATTTGATAGAAAAAAAGAATGGTATCCAACTGGTTATTGAAACTGAATGTTTTCCCAATTATTTTCAATCCCTTTTTGAAGGACAAATTACTTCAAGTTACGAAAGCAAATTTAATCTGATTTTAGGTAAAATAATTGGAAAAGGAAAAAGGCAACACCTTATTAAAATACTCAATTATAGAAACAAAATGGGAGAGAGCTATATCCTTCACTACATTAGAAAGAAATCCACGAATGAGTCTTTTCCAACGTTTAACCAGGTATTCACTAAAGCTTTTCAAGATATTCACAAATTGGATTTGGCTGATTTTGATGCACCAAAAGAAAAGCAAATTGTTGCTAGCTCGAATGAGGTTAATTGTGGTCGTTATCAATAAACAAAAATATATAAAGCTACTTGATGTATCTTCCTTTTAAATTGGACCATTTCCACACTCCTATTCCATTGTAAAATCAAGTAATTTTCCATTCTTGAACAAGAAAGTTTGTGTTTGACGCGATTGACAAAAAATTTGGCGGTTTAAAGTTCGAAAAAATTCAAACACACAAAAAAAATGAGCAACAACAAACGCTGGATACAATATACTCCCGATAATACTTCTAGTAGATCCCTTTCATTGCCTACTAATCCCTTGCAGATTTCTGTTAATAACAGCAGGAAGGTTAAAAAAGAGCAGAAACAAACAATTTTAAATTGTTCTTCATCATCAAACAATTTTATAATGCAGCCAAGCCTCGATAAGGTTTTAATTTCCATGTTAACGTACAAGGATGGTTCGTGGAAGCCGACAACACACAAATGGGAGTATCATCCTTCCGAATGTAAAGAAGTGATTCATTGCTGTATTGATGAGCTGGGGACAAATAATAATCAAATTGTGAAAATTGGATTTGATTTGTGGAATTTTTATGATGTGGATGTAATTGCCTTCTTTAATATTGATGGACAAGAAATGAAAAAATCATTGTGTCCAATAGTACGTGCTAATGGACAGACTTTCAGGGCAACAGCTTTTTTTGAAGAAACAGATTGGCATTCAATTTGTATAAAACAAAGCGATTTGGCTGAAGATCCTGACGATATTGATTTTGAAAAGTTAAATTCAGCAGGAAAAATTATAGTTAAGGTCTTTAAATTTGCATTTGAAACAGTACTATCGGATTCGAATATAGAGTATGACCAAACCAATACGAAATTGAATGGAGTGAAATGTAAATTAAATAGTGATAAGGGTGAAATATCTGTTACTAAAGGAGAGAAAATTGAAAATGCCAATGTAACAGTACGAGGATATCCTGACTGTTCACAATTATTGAAAGTTTTTGAGATTAATTATCATACTCCAGGAAAATATCAAATGTTAACATCAAATAAGAAGTTAAATGAAAACAGGAGCATGCCAACACCTGGTGGAAATAACATGTTTAGTTTGGCAACCACAAGAACTGCTCAGCAATCCAACCCAGGTACTCCAGGCTCAGGATCTCAGGCTGGCAGTTCCACTTCACATACTCCACAACCAGTTGTTTCAGAACAACCAACCATCACACCTCTCATCGCCACTAATACAGTCACACAAGCAACTACCTCAACCATTCCTTCTACTCCTCTCACAGTAGCTACTGCTGCAATTACATCACCAACACTTCAAACCTCCAATAGTCCAACACCAAGCAAGGATACTCCCTCAATGAAACAGGCTACACTTGACAAACTACAACCAAAGAGAAAAGAGATTGAGGTAATTGTACTTGACTCAGATGATGAAGATGATTTGGACAATTCAGAACAATCTGGTTGTGATTCGAAAGTTATTGAACCAGAACCAAAGAAGTTAAAACCCTCAACTAGCCAAACTCAAACTGTTCCAAGTCTCTTTAAACCACTGAAAAAGGATGTATCTATGGAAGAAGTTTGTGCCAAATACAGTTTGGTGGAAGTACAAACTATGACATGTGAACAACTAGAAGAATTTATTTCCAAGGCTTTAGGATCTAAAAAATACCAATTTGATCTTAGTATTTTTGAGATGAATGGAATTGATGGAAATGTGTACATTACAAATTTTTCAGAACTTTCAGAGATGGGACTAGAAAAAGAATTGATACAAGAAATGGAGAAAATATTAAATATTCTGAAATAATTTCATGTTGTGGTCTAATTGGTCTAACATTATATCAAAATGATAAAAGAAAATGATCTATTCTTAAAAATTCTGAATAATTTATCGTTCATAAGTCATCATTTCATATCCATATTGTGGGAATTTAGCATCCTTTCCTACTGATCTATGAGAAATATTTCCCTGTCTTGTTTGTGGGGCAGAATATGTCTTTGTTTTAGGTTGATTAAAATCGGATGGCTTTTTGACAGTTCCTGTAGTTTGTTTTTCCCAAGCTTGATCTTGAAGCAATTCTTCTTGTGCCTTCCTTGAATTCCAATCATTCATTTCCAAATAAACTTTAGCTTCATCGATTGTAATATTATGATTTTTGGAGAAGGTTGTAACCATCAACTGACGTTGTCTTTCAGTTTGAATTCTTGTTTCTTCCAAATCATAATTCTTTTTAATTAAACTTGGATCACATTTTGGAATGAGAAGAGTTGTTCCTTCATATAAATCCAAATCATCACACAATAAAGTATTCAGCATTTTGATATCCTCTTCGTGACAGTGATAACGTAATGCTAACTTCATCAATGTATCAGTGTGTCTATTCAATTGATGGACAAAATATGGCTTTTCTTCTTCAACTGTTGTTTGTGCATTTTGTTGTTGTGGTTGTTGAGGAATTTGTTGTTGAGCAGTTGTTTGATTCTGATAATAGTACATTTGTTGTTGTTGAGGAGTAACATACATTACATTTCCATGAGCTGATACAGGATACATGACATTCGTATGTTGTGGCATGATATAAATTGGTGTAATATTGGATTGTTGGCGTGGGCCATTCGTTAAATTAATAATAGGCTGTTGAATATATTGTGGTTGAATTGATGATGATGATGAGATTAAATACTCTGGAATGGTCGGATACATTGAATCCGTTTGATAGTTATTATGCTCGGCAAGTGGTGGTGCGCTAGCTGGTTTGCTTCCGTGTTGATCAACATTGGTGGTTTGTACCTTGACCATTTTTCAAAGGTTTGTTTTGTTTGTTATTTACAAGAGAGGTTTGGAGAGTTTTTTTTTATTTTTAAAATTTAAAAGTTGATGGAGAATTTAAGCTAAGTCTCAATTTGTAATGACTTCTAAATACCTTCGATTTGAAAACTCCAAATTGGAGTTGAAACAGAATGATTCCGAATGAATTTTGTTAATGTTGCTGGATTGGTGAATTTAAATTTTGAAAGATTAAAAAAAATGAAATGCATTACATGTACTTGGTGTATAAAGAGTTGTTGTTTGAAAGTAATGGTTTCGAATACAATTTAAAATTAAACGAAAGTTGCGATTGACGAAACTCAAAAAATGGAAATGGAAAGAAAAAAATGTCTCAACTCAATAAGAAGAGAAAACAAGAAGATTTATCATCCACTGATGGAAATGATGAAAATATTCAAGAAATTTTATTTAATGAAATGACATCTGTCACTGATCAATTAATTTCTCTTTGTAAAAAAGTGAAATTGGCTGATCATCGCTGTTTTTTCAATAATGGTGTAATGGTTAATGAATTTTTTGGAAAAGTTTATTCATTGCTTGAGGAGATGAATATTCATAGAAGAAAGGTTTCTTCAGATCAATTCAATTCGGATACTTTATTTCACATTTACCAATTCTTAGATTTTACAGATCTATTGCAAAACTGTCAACCTGTTTCAAAACTGTGGAAAGAATCATTAAATAGAGTCAAATTTCATGTTAGTTTGGGTTCAACAAATAGAAATGGAAAATTCAATAATGAAAATCTCATCCACTTACTAAATGGACCATTTATCCAAAATGTTACTTCATTAAGATTGGGTAAAGCTCAACTTGATGCTTTTAAAACTCTTTCAACTTGTAAGAATTTGGATAATTTGATCAAATTGGATTTGAGATTTAATAACATGGCAAGTCAACGTGTGACATATTTAACGAAATGCTCAATGAAGAATTTGACAGAATTGAGCTTGCATGATGTGCAAAATTTTACAGAAAATGAAGCAAAAGAGTTGTTCAATAGTACCTTCATGTCTAATGTTAAAAAATTCAACATTGTTCAAGAAAGTTATTCAGATGAATTGTTTGAAGCCATGTCAAATTCAAAGCATTTTAGTCAACTCACTCATTTAGAATTGCGGCAAATAGCTCAAGGTACTAAATCTGAACTGAAACTATTGTTGAAAGATATGAGTAATTTGGAATATTTGGGACTTAGAAATCATAGATTGACCAATTTTTCAAATTTATTCACTAGTGGGAATTTATATAATATTACACATCTGGATCTCAGCTATTGCAGAATGTTGAATAGTGAATTTGCGAATTTGATTGTTTCTCCAAAATTACCAAAGCTCATTAAGCTAAAAGCTCAGGACTTTAATTGGGGAAATTTGGAGTTTTTTGACAAGAAGAATGAAAACTCCCAAGTTGCTCATTGTCCTCCAAATTCACAGAGTTCCCTCACTGACTTGGATTTTCAATCTTGTTTTATTACACCATTTCCAACACTCACCCATCATTGTCCAAATTTAAACAGACTTTCACTGCGTAATTCAAGAAAATGCCCAAATAAGGAGCTATTAAGGAGTTCTTATATTACATTTTTGAGTGCTCCTTCCTTGTGTAATTTGGAATTTTTGGATATTTCTGGATTGGAATGTTTGGAATCTTTGTTTGAAATTATTTTCACATTACCATTCTATCCGAATTTGAGGGAATTGAAATGCTCACCTAGTAGAGAAGGTGGAGAAACATTGCAAGCTAATCTCATTTCAAATTGCAGTCACCTGAAGAATTTGAGGATATTGGATGCTTATGGAGTTTTTGCATCAAACGAATGTCTGAAATCTTTGCAAACTAATCCAACTTTTTCCAATTTGAGTATTGTTGTTTTACATGGAAATTTAGACCTATTACGTTATTGGGAAAATAACAAATATGCTGAAGAGTTAGAGGAGGATTGATTTGGATGAGTAATGAAGATGATGATGCTGAATAAAACATTCATAGGTTTGTCCATTAAGGTTTCTTTCCAACTTTTAAAACCCAAGATTACAATTTAATTTTCACTCCGTCCATCCATCATGAAAATTAATTCTTCTGCTTTTATTAAACATCAAATCTCTCTTCCGATCCCATCATGACAGATTGTGTTCAACACCATCCATCATTTCATTAATTGGTTCAACACCATCCATCATTTCAATGACAACACATCATCACATGGTTCAAATTACTTTCAAAACACATCAAAAAAATGGGAAATAACAAGACAAGGGAAAATGCACAAATATCGAAAATAACTTCCAATTCTACTTCTTCTTCTGGTGGAGTTGGACGTTTCGGTAGTCAATCGGCAGCAGCATCATCATCTGCATCGAATGGATTTTTGCGAAATGAAAGTGCTTCATCTTCGTTTATAGTTTCGAATAGAGAATTGAATAGTGTAATAGTCGGTTCGAAAATGGATTCAGAAATTTATTTGTACGGTTATACGAGTACTTTATATTATGATGGTATCAATCCTGGGTGTGGTGTGACAAAGATCATTGATAATATCAATTCGGATGATGTTATTCGTTCTAGGGATTTGTGTGTTCAATCAGAAAATAATGGATTGAGTGCTGTTAAATTAATTCTAAAGCATACTTTGGTTTATAAGGTCATTTCTGGAAGATTACATTCACATATTATTACAGCTGATGGCAGAATACTGAGTTTTGGGTCGAATAATCATGGTCAATTAGGTAGGTTAACAATAGCTTTGAAATTCATTTAAATTTCGTTGAAACTGATTGGCAATGCAGGTTGTGGAGTTGTTGGAAGTTTGAAAGCATCATATGGTATAGTGAGGGCAACTGGAGAAATTACCAATCATTTCATTATTGATGGAGCAGCAGGTGGTTATCATTCTCTATTTATCACATCTGAAAATAAGGTGTTTTCTGTTGGAGGAAACTCTAGTAGACAATTGGGTGTAATAACAACTGATTCGACAGCAACTGCCACTGCTATTGAAATTCCAGAGCAATCATTTGATGGAAGAAAGGTTGTGGCATGTTCAGCTGGTGATTCTCACAGTTGTTTCTTAACTAGTTGTGGAAATATCTATTTTGCTGGATCTAATTCTAATGGTGCATGTGCAGGGAATTCTGGAAATAATAGACCAATATTATTGGTGAATGAAATTCTTGCAAATGAATTTCCAATTCAAATATCATGTGGCTATGACAATACAATGATTTTGTGTCAGAGTGGAAATATATATGGTGTTGGATGTAATAGTTGTGGACAATTGGCAAGTAAGTAATTGTAATGATTCAATAATTATTGAATGAGTTATTCCAGCTGATGATGGTGATCATACCAACTTTGGAGATATTCGAAAGATTTATAACGGAGTTAAAGGAATTGTGTGGATTGGATCTGGATACTTTTGCTCTGCTGTTTGTGCAGAGGATGAATGTTATTTTGCTCCCTCACAAACTACCTATTCTAAACTGAGTAAGATTAATCCAAATGCTATTGCAGTCGGTGTTGGTGATTCTATCATTTTTGCAACTAATGAGATTAATCAAAATGGAAAATTTGGTAAATTGTACGTCATGAGTTCAGGTAAGGCCACAGATATTACAGGAGATTTCTCAATTGATTCAGTCTCATCAAAAATTGAGTTTAGTGGTCAAAGAGATGTCTATATTGCATATGTCTCAAAATTTGATCCTGCCTTTATGATTTCTCATCATTTCCTTCATTTGGAGAAGATTTTGGATTTTGTCAAGGGAAATTCCTCACAATATTCTGGCTCAACTGTATTTTCTGATATTCAAATTCAATAGATTCATTTAAGAATGTTGAAATACAAATATTATCTATTAATTCGCTTTGATGGCTATTTCTTAATTTTCTTGGATTTAATTTTTGAAATAGTTTCTGTAAAATATCCGCCAATAGCAATTTGATATGGTTCTGCAAGCTTTGAGGTTGTAAAACTGGAAAATGATTCGAAGGATATCAAATTCTGTTCAAATAAATTACTAATGACCAGTTCAAAGAAAGATGGTCCAAACTTAATAGTTCTTTCATAAATTTGTTCGAGGGATGAATTGGACAAGTTTGCAATGAGGGAACATACTCTATTGATGACTGTTTTGTCTTTTGTTAAATCTAAAATTCTCTTACTGTGTGAAACAACTTCTTGTTTGTCTGTGTCTGTTATATTTGTTTGTCTTCCAATCATGTTGCATACGTCAATCAACATGCCAATAAATATAGATATATCCTCATCTTGAATTAAAAACACTGTGGAATCCTTTTCAATAATACCAATTCTCAATCGTTTGAGTGTTAACTCTTGTGATGAATTTGGCCTGAGGGTGAGAGAAAACTTGACTAGCTCCAAGAGATTAATAGAGGTAAATTGTGGATAACTCTCAGGTTGTTTCATAATTTCAATAACTTGATCAACTTGTTTTCCAATCAAATCTTGACACTTGGCGTTAATGTACTTTACACTCATAAAATTTAAGTGTTGGAAAGGTAAATTTGTAATAGGACTCTTCTTTCCATTCTTTTCTATCCAATCATCAATCGCCTTCTTGTCATAAATATTACCGTCAGGAGCAAGCACTGCATGTTTAAATACTTGCTTTGAGAGAGGGCATACGCAATGATTTTCATGAAATATTTGAATGGATGTGAGAGATTCCATATCTAACACTGGATCAACAGTTGAGGATTTCCTTTTTTTCAAACAATTAGAGAAATCAGTCTTTCCTAATAATCCCATCATGTTGGCCTCTTTTAAAAGAGCATCTTCATCCATCTCCTCAATTGCTCTCTTTTTTGCCAATTTTTCCTCTCTATCCATGTTAATCACCACATCAAACTCTTTACTATCAAATTCCTTTGGCTGAATACCAATCCACTCTTCCTTCTGATCATCTCTGCTGATTGTAAAACGGTCCACTACTATATTTCTAATTTCCGTATTCTTCCTCTCCAAACATTCTTCCACAATGAATTTGATTAAAAGTTTGCAATTAATTAATTTAAAATCATTCAAGAGCTGATGATAATTTTCCATCTTTTTAATCAATTCATTCCTACAATTAAATTCGGATAATATAGCAGCCTCCCTTCCGATCAAACTAGCATCATCATGAACATTTAATTGAGTGTCCAAATAATAACAATAACACTTTAAAAGATTAGGAAACATTTCCTCCACCATCAAGTCTACAAAATAATATTCACTATTTTCCATCCATCATTAATATCATAATTCTCCATTTGCAAAACATACCCATCGAGTAGCAAAACAACAGGAAGTGAAGTAATTCCTTTCATTTTTTTAAAGAATAAAACAATAAAGATGTGTCCCCAATTTTCAGAAGGTCAAGTAAAAAGTACAGTAGAGTACGGTTTTGGGACCTCAATATTCTGCTTGTTGAGAAGTGTAATTTTGAAATTCCAAACTTTTTTCATCTCTCTCATACAAGAAACTTCCACCATTATTTGATAGTGACCATCAAGGACAAGATGATGACAATTACTAATGAAACTGAACCTCGTGCGCAACAAAAATAAATCTCATTCCTTCCTCATGAATGGAACTTTTAATAAGTGACAGAGAGAAACTTCAAGGTTTAGGACTGATTCTCGTCATCGGATGAGTACAGTAAATACGCGCGCTCCAGCAATTGTTTTTATCTAGATTTCCTATAAAAGGAAGTTCCCTGTGAAACAAACTTCCACAATCAAAAAACACAAAAAAAAATGGCCATCCTTTCAAACAGAAGAATTTTATTTGTTGCTCGTCCTGAAAACACACCAAAATCTGCTCATTTCACATTGAGTGAACCAGTTGAGGAAATCAATTCTGAAACTTGCTTAAACGAAGGTGAAATTCTTGTGAAAACCTTATTCCTCTCAGTTGATCCGTATTTGATTATACCAATGGGAAGAAAGGGAGTGCACCCTGATGTGGTTCCTAATCAAACTCCATATCCATTGAAACAATTCAAGAATGCAGCAACTATTGCAAATGTTGGAGATGTTTTTGGAGGAAGAGGTGTTGGACACGTGGTTGCATCCAAACATGATGATTACAAGGTTGGAGATTTGGTTGCTGCTGATTATAAATGGCAAGAATATGCAATCATTAATGTGAAATCAGAGTTGACTTTTGAAAAATTGGAAAATGAAATATTTAGTCAAGTTTCTCCATCAACTGCTTTGGGTGTTTTGGGTGTGAGTGGTTCTAATGCATTGTGGGGTTTCAATTTCGTCCTTCCAAAAGATGAGAAACCAATCGAAGGAAAGACAATTGTTGTAAGTGCTGCAGCTGGTTGCATTGGACTTACTGTTGCTCAATTGGCCAAAAACAAGGGTTTCCGTGTGGTTGGTATTGCAGGAGGTGAGGAAAAGGGTGAGAAATTGCTTTCTGAATTTAAATTGGATGCCGTAGTTGATTACAAAAAGGCAAATGGTGACTTGACCTTATTTAGTCAACTGTTGAAGGAAGCAGCTCCAAATGGAGTAGATGCATTTTTTGATAATGTAGGAGGATTGGTTGCTGATGCAGTGTATGAAAATCTCAATTTGAATGCAAGAGTTTATTTTTGTGGAGCTATTTCACAATATGGAGATGGAAAATCAATTTCAACTCCTGAGAAATACACAAACAATCCAAATGTTACAAGTATTACATGTTTTCAAGCTGATTACATTGATACTATTCCACAAGCAAGAAGAGAACTCTTTGAATTGATTCAAAAAGGTCAATTGAAACCAGTTGAGTGGATTACAAATGGCATTGAACAAACTCCAAGAGTTTTTGAGGAGATGTATGCTGGAAGAAACTTTGGTAAAACACTTATTCAAATTTAAACTCTGAATTTCTACATCAATTATATAAATAATAAATCGAATCTATCAACTATAATACCTTCGAACAAGTAAAATTATTTGGAAGAATCTCTTTAATAAAGCAGACGAAAAGAATAAACCAATATTTCGTAAGCTTCATTACTACTTTTGTTCAAGGAAACTTTCAAGTTGTTTGGAATATCTTCTTCAAACAAAACATCCCCAACATCATTGTCCAATAGTCTATAGTTAGTAATATTCCTGTTGTTCTTTGAGGTTTTGTGGATACATTACAGACTTTCGAACTGAATCCCTATGCTTCATTTTTCTTTTTCAACAAATTATTTATTATTTACATATTTACAATGAAGTATTTAAGGATGATTATTGGTGAATGAGATCAGAGATGGCTCTTTGAATATCTCCTTCATACTTATTCAATAAGGTAATATTGAGAATGTGATTGGTGAAACCCATTTGATTCAATAATTTCAATTCTTTTTGATATTTGTGTGGAATGGTTGTTTTCACAACTGGTTCTTCTTCTTCTTCAGGAATTGATTCAATAATTGGATCTTGATTTTCAAGAAGTTGATTGGAAACTTGTTGAGCTTGTTGATTGACTGATTCTGTTTCTTCTTGAGCAGCAACTGTTTCTTGTTGAACTTGTTCAGAAACTGATTCAGTTGGTTGATCTTCAATTAAATTGGAGAGAAGCAATGAAGTTGTAATATTTGGAGTATTTTCGGCAACAATTTCTTGTTCCTTCAATTGTTCTTGAATTGATTCTTCTTCTTTTGGTTGAGAAACAACAGCTGCAATTGGAGAGGTTTCAATTGGTTTCTCCTCTTGTTTCTTTTCCTGAGTTTATGATGGTTGACTCTTTTGTTCTTCTTCTCTCATTTCCTTCATTCTTTGAAGTAATAATTCTCTGAATGATTGAGGTGTAGAAGTAGTTTCTTTCTTTTCTTTCTTTGGTTCCTCTTTCTTTGGTTGTTGTTGAGCTTCATTACTTGTTGGAATTCCCAAAAGATCAGCAAGATTAATTTCAATTCTTCTCACTTTTGGTTTTGTTTGAGGAGTGGAAGCAGAAACTTGTGGGAAGAATGATTGTTTTGGTTGAGTTGACTTGTCATTTGAAAATGCAGATCTAAAAGCATTTTCAATCATATTTTCCCAAGATTGTTCTGATTGTTGTTGAGGAACTTGTTTCTTTTGAGATTCAACTCTTGGTTGTTGTAATTGAGCAAATAAACATGATGGTTGTGAAATTCTATTGAAAGTAGTATGTTGAGCTGGTTTGATTGATTTCTTTTCGCAAATAATCTTAGTCAATTTGCCCTTCATTAATTTCAACAAGAAATGGAAATCTCTTAAATTGGTCAATGAAACCAAATCATCTTCATCATCAACATAATGTAATTCATATTGTCTCATATCGATGGAATGTTCTCTCAATACTCTATCAAATAATTCGAAACTTCCCTCATGATTAGAATCAATTTCAAATCTCAATACATTTGAAGCACTATTCAAATTGTGATTGAACTTTCCTTCAAAAATATAAACCTTGAATGGAACATTTCTTTCAACTTGTCTTGTTTGTGGAGAAATCATATATGAAAGTGGAATTTTTTGTACATTATTTGCGAAATGTTGAGTTGGGATATATTGATAATCATTGAATGATGAAGTTTCTCTCAAATTTGGATAAGAAACTTGTCTTGGAATAGTTTGTTGAGGTTGGAAAGCAGCTGCAGTAGAAACTGGAATGTGAAAGAAACTCATTTTGATGTTTAGTTATGTTAGTATAGTTACACTTCTTAATAAGATTTTGTACAAAATTTGACAAGTAGCTTAAAAGACAAGTTGTTGTTAATTTTTTTTTTCTTGTTGTTTTTCTTTCCCTCCTCTTTTAGATCTATTTATAGTTTTCATAAGGAAATTAATTTTGCACGTGCTCAATACATTGTCCTCACAAGCACAAATTGTTAATGTGATTGAACTCTCGGAATTTTGCACGGAATGATATTTTTATCCTCGGAAGCAGAAAATTCCTTCCTATTAAACTCAAGAAATTAAGTTCTAATGTTCAAGTATGAAAGAATGGCAGTTGAAGATATCCCATTATTATTGACATTCAGCAAGTTGTTGGTGTCTTTAAGAAGCTGCTTTAATGGTGGACCAGCAACTAATTCATTTCACTTTAAGAATTTGGCTCTTTCATCTCCAATTTCACTTATTTGACTTCTTCACCAATTTCATTTTCACAAATATTAAGTGAGTTCTGTATGATGAAATCCTGATGATAATCAAGCCCAGATATTGATAGTATTTTCGACAAATTTATATCGTAACACATCTTAACGAATACATTGTTACAAAAACCATTATCAATCTCCAAAACTCCCAACACTGTAAAGTTGGTCACTTTCTATTTTTAAAATTCACAAAAAAAAATATTTTCAAAGCAAAAAACCTGAAAGTTTGATTTTGATCAAAATTCATCGGCTTTAAATTCACACTTGTACATATATCATATAATATTAGATTCAGCCATCAATTTGGGATGAGCAGTTCTTCCTCAACGACGACGACGACAACTTTGTTCTTTTCGGGATGTAATTTGGGTCATCAATTCTTTGGGAAAAATCAAGAATCAGAGAAGAGAAATGGTTTGTATGAGAAGGGTTGTTATTCGGCTCCTGCTCCTTCGATTTCTTCTTCTTATACACCTACATTTGCGTTCGGAGCTGCAGCAACTATGAATTTCTTGAATAATAATAATATGGGCCTGGCAGCTTCTTCTCGTGATGGCGTTTCTAAAAGTAATGAAAATGATGCTGCGAGAAGAGCCTTGCCTGATATGACACCTGTTAGATTGGAGGATTTAGGAGTGGATATTTCATTTTCTAGAAGAAGAAGAAATGAATTGGACGAAAGTGTCTATGTAAAGAAAGTGAGCTGTGGAAAGGATTTTATTTATATATTATTGTCTGATAATAGAGTTATTTCTAGAGGAGGAAATCGTTATGGTCAACTGGGATTAGGTCACAGACAAGAAATTTGTGATAGTGTTAATGATTTTCTTCCAGTAACTGTGAGTCATAACGAAACAATTGAGGATATTCAATGTGGAGCTGATTTTGCCTATTTTCTTACAAAGAGCTCTAATATCTACAGCGTAGGAAATGGTTCTTATGGTAAATTGGCAACAGGAAATTTTAATAATGTTCTCATTCCAACGAGAGTGAAAAGCTCATTATTTAATTTTAGAATTATAGAACATGTTGCTTGCGGGCATAATCATGTAGTTTTCATTAACGAAGATGGTGAAGTGTATGGATGTGGAGCTAACTTCTCCGGCCAACTTGGTCTAACCCACAGCAAAGATATGTATATTCCAGAAAATTGTGAATTCTTCTCAAAGAAAAATAATAGGGTTGCCGTAGCAGGCAGTTGTGGAGAATGTCACACAGCTGTATTGACCTCAGCTGGCGAAATTTATGTGTCAGGAGATTCCAAGAGAACTCACACTAATTATTTTACATTCTTTGCCTCGGATGCCATTGGAGTATTTTGTGGACGTTTTCACACAATTATTCAAATCACTGAAAGAATGCTCAGGGTTTCTGGAAATAACAAGTACAAACAGTTGAGCATTCCACACAAGTCAACAGAAGAATCCTTTGCAAAAGTAATGATTGGAGAGCAAAAAGACAAAATTACAAACATTTCAACAAGTGAATATCACACCATATTCATTTTAAATGATTGTGAGGTGCATTCATGTGGTACAAACAGATCCTACGTTTTAGGAACCAACATATTTAGCAATGACACTACATGTGATCGTGTCGTTCCAATCAAATCCTTTCCTCCAAAGAAGGGTTACTCTCTCAAATGCTCCTCCAATGTAGAAAGCAATGTATTTTATTGGACGAAGGAATTTTCCAATATTCAAAAACATTTTGTATTCAGTTTTGATAGATTAATCTCATTTGCTGACATAACAATTTCTTAAATTTGAAATTGATTACTACATTCAAGTCTAACTCCATTTAATCAAACTTGTATTGAGAAATACCCAACTATTTAATATTAATTGATTTATAACATTCACCAATTGTATTTCATAAATCTGAAGTGATTTTTGGTGTTGCCATATTACAACGAATTACAAAGTTCATTACCAAACCAAAAAAATGCCAATAAGTTCATTATCAATCCTGCCCTGAATTGTGGAGTATTGTCTACACGTTTCTAGAACCATCGGATCGATCACTATTTGAAAGAGTGAATCTCTTATTTCGAAGTATGTCTCGATGTGGAAAGGAGAGAAATCAGAGAAATATTTCAACTCCACAACAAGTATCTGTTGCATCCATTACACGAAGAACCTGTAGCAGAGGAAAAAATTCAACTTGTTGAAGGGAAGCTTGGACAAAAGATACCTTTTTATTTGAGAGAGTTTATTAAATTATCGGATGGTAGAACTAATGATGACGGAAATGGTGACACTTCAAATGATATTTCTTCATTACATTGGAATAATTTCTTGAATAGATTTGATGAATGGAAAATAGGGGAGAGAGGATTGATACTTGCTTCTAAGCAATATGCAAACTTGTGGATTGACTGGGAAAATGGAAAATTGAGTCTTGATTCTGCAAATTCATGGAATGAAGGACCATTTACTATTATGAACTGGTTAAAGATGCCATCTGATACGATTAATCCATTTGATATGAACAATTTATGTAATGAATCGAATAGAATGGATTTGAAAACAATTTTAAGAGGTTACGGCTCTCTATTTGAATTATTACCAGAAAATCTTCGAAATGACAGAGATATTGTTAAATCTGCTTTGGTTTCTTCTGGTTTAGCCTTTAATTTTGTGAGCAAAGAGATTGCAGAGGACCGTGAGATGGTAGAATGGTATTTCGAAAATGGAAACACTGATTTTAGATATATTTCTGATAAATTTAGAAAGGACAAGGGAATGATAATGAAATATTCCACTAAGTGGTCAGATGCTGATATATCCCTTTTACAAGACAAGGAAGTGGCAATGCATTACTGTAGAAAGAATCAAATTCCAAATTAAATTATATGTGAGGACCTGATTATTGAAGCTGCCAAATACGGACAAGAAAATTACTTTACAAAAGATCTATTTAGTAATGAACTTGTTTTCAAGCTACTCGATTATATAATCCCAAAAGAAAGAGGAAACTTTTCGAGAGTTATTAAGGAAAATGAGCAAAAACTAGACGAAAAAGTATTGAAAAGAATTGCAGAATTGAATCCAATCTTTGCCCTGCACAATCTGTCCCACGATGATGATGACGATGATATAATTCTAACAAAAGATCGTGTACTGACCTATATTAATGAAATTGAGGATGAAACTGTAAAAATTGACAGCTTACCATACAAATGGAGAAGAGACAGAGACGTGGCAAAAGCAGCCCTTTTACGAAACTTTGGAAATTATAATTATCTCGATCAAGAATTAATGACAGATGCAGAGTTTTTAAACCCAATACTCGAGATTTCAAAAGTCCCAATTTACCTTCTATTCACGCGCGATAGTCAATTTGCAAAGTTTATCTGTTCCAATAAGGAATGTTTAAGGAAAATGTTAAAACGAAACCCTTCATTGCTCTGTTATGTTCCATGTGAGTTGGATGAGGAATTTGTTAATTCATTGGATTTTTATTCGTGTAATAGTACCATTGCTGAAATACTTTACAATTCCAAGTATGAAATTTATTGTAAAGTAGTGAAAAGGTTAAACTGTGCGAGAACGAATCTTGACGAAAGGGGTTTAAATTAATGGAAACTAAACAAGGACAATTCGAAACACAACATGTTATTATCATGTATTATAAATACATCAGCGTGCTACATCCAGATCAAGGGAGATTATACCTTCCATCTAATGACTTACCATAAAAGAAACAAATTAAATTTCGTTTAGGATAACAAAGTTTCCTTAAAAAATGTCATCTTTACACCATCAATCCCCAGCTCAAGACGATAACTCTGCTCATAATCGAATAAATGTCTTGTTTGACACTTCTCTCGTAGTGTTTAATCACAACGAAGATACAGTAGACGAAACATCGGAAGAAATTAATATTTTCTTATGGATAAAGACGAAACTTCTCTCCACCATCCGAATGATAGTTTTCGACTATCAAGACAAGGAAAGATTAGAATTATTCAATAACAGACAAGAAATGCTCTCCAAACGTTTACCACTTTCAGGAATTTTTCATTTAATAATTCTCATTCTCCTGTCAATGATAATCGAAAGGTCTGAAGGAGAAGAATCCATTTACTTGTTTCTTATATTGACTGTCATTGAATTCTTTGGAAATATTGGAGTAATTGTCTTGATTTTGAAAATGGAATTGCCAATTCTTAATACGGAAATTTGTAATTATTGTAGATTAGTTGCAACTTGTATGATTCGATTGATTTTACAGATTTATTATGGACCATTGTTTCCTGTGTGGATTTTACAGGTTTATTCAATGATTATTGTGTTGAATGCTTATTATTTCAATAGGGGACCAGCTGTGATTAATTGTTTGATTGTTATTGTGTTGGGAGCTGTTTCGACTGTACTGAGTCATGTTATTCATTTCGAATATTTTGGAGATAGTTCAATAGAATTTGGACATGAAAGAGTTTGTCATCCGTGTCGACATTTTGAATATATTCATGAGAGCCAAGTTTCCAATCTTATTAAGGTCATTACATTGCAATCAGTTCTTTGTGGAATAGGTCTCTTATTTTCAGATGTTTCCATGGAACAGGATGAGAGAAATATTTCACAACAAGTAGAAATTGTCAAGGGAAGAATTTTGAATGAGGAAAAGACCAAATTTATTGGCCATTTGAGTCATGAAACAAGAAATCCACTCATGGGAAGTATGTTTTTAAATTGAATCGAATATATTTAATTAGCAATAATGATTAGTTATGGGAGCTGCTCAAATTCTGAAATTTGATTTGGAACAGCAAATGAAACGGAAGAATGTTGCTCTGCAGCATAAATCAATTGTTGAGAAAGTGGATGATATTTACAATAGCTCTGTATTGTTGTTGCAAATATTGTCAACTTCATTGCAGATTAGTTCTTCAGAGATGGGTGGAGTTCACTTGCAGGGAAGTGAATTTAACATGTTGGAGCTGGTAGAAACGATTTGCTCAGTGTTTAGTTCAATTGCTGTGGATAGAGGCATTTCTTTGCAATCTTTTATTGATATTGTGAATATTCCAGATATGATTTATGGAGATAATACAAGAGTTTCACAAATATTGATGAATTTTGTTTCGAATAGTTTGAAATATACTCCTAATAAGGGGTCAGTTACTGTAAAATGCACTGTTTCAACTCAAGAAGAGTTGAACGAGTTTAGAATTGATAAGAAGAAAACTAGTGAACTCATGATGTGTTATCCTGCCGAAAAGTTAGATGTGAATGATTTGATATTTATAACCTTTACATGTGCTGATAGTGGATGTGGAATGAATTCCAATCAAATTATCAACCTTTTTTCGAGTAATCAACAGGCCAATCCTTCCATGAGGCCTACTTCTAGGGCTAGACGAACAGGAAATGATCAATTTATTGAGAGTCATGGGTTTGGATTGAAAATCTCAAAGCATTTGATTGATTTAATGAATGGTAAGATTCATATTAGTAGTGAAATCGGAAAGGGGACAACTATTAAGATTATCATTCCTTTCTTCAAACAGGATAAGAAAGGTATGATTCTCGAGGAACAAATTGAACAATTGAGAAATATTTCAAAAGAGAAGGAACTATCCCAAGTTACTGTATCTTTGCTGGATCAAAATAGGATATTAATTAAATATTTGGAATATCTACTTCCAAATAATGTAATGATAATCGAGTCAGATGTTGAAAGGGAAGAATCTATGCAAGTGAAAACGATTGATAGAAATTGCTCAGTTTCTCTATTGTCAAAAGGTGACACTACCTCATTGAATTATGAAACTCTATTCCTAGCAAGACCTTTCAAGGTGAAAGATATAATTTCAGTATTGATTGAAAGCATGGCTGGAGATTTTGAAATCAACAGTTCAGAAACAGGTTCAGAAATTACAAAGATTCGATCGAGTCGTTCTCTTGACTCATTCACATGCAATATTCTTGTGGTGGATGATAATTCAATTAATAGAAAGGTTGTGCACAGATTGTTACAAATTATTGGATATGAGAACATTGATTTTGCTGTGGATGGTCTGCAAGCATTCGAGAAGTTCAAATTGTCCAACTTCCAGTTTGTATTGATGGATCTAGAAATGCCCAACATGAATGGAAAGGAATCTTGCGAATTAATGAGAAAGTTTGAAATGGAAACCAAACGAAATAGGGCTGAAATTTTTGCAGTAACTGGAGACATGACACAATCTATGGCAACTTGTGCTGATTTTGATAATATTCTATTCAAGCCAATTTCCAAAGATTCCCTCAGTTTGACTCTCAATAAGAACACTGACTAATTTATGTACATATTGAGGTTTATTCATCGTGATGGAAAAAGTCATCATCAAATTCGGTGGCGCCAAAAACGTCTCTATCAGAATCTGGGAACTCGAAAACATTATCAATATTTGGAGTTTCTGATAATTGGTTTTGGGTATTGCTGTTACTATTTGTAACACTTGGTGTATTGGAATCGAGAATTGTTGGTGTTGAAGTTCCTGTTGCTGAATTATTGGTAACTGGAGTACTATTTGAGATTTGTCTATTCATGTCAGTATTATTAACGTTCATACTATTTGATGTGGTTGATTGCTCATCGTTCAATAAAGATCGTAACTTTTCTTCCACATCTCTACCAACTTTAACTAGAGGGGATTTCAGGAAATTTTGAATGGTTTGTTTGGCTTGAGGGGTGGTTGTGGAAACTGGTGCTGGAGAACTCAGCAAATGAGTTATCATTTGAGAAATTTCAGTTCCAGCAGGTCCATTAGTGTTAAACATGTTAGGCATATTGGAGTTTGAATCAGTTTCATTTCCAAGTCCAAGATTAACATTCATTTGTTGTTGCTTTTGTGGAGAGAGTGTATTAGTACTGTTAAAGTTTGTTTGTTGTGGGTTTGTTGGTTGTTGTTGTTGTTGTCTGTACATGTTTTGTTGTTGTTGAGCAAAATTCAACACTGCATTATTATTCATATTTTGTGGAATCATACCATTATTGGTTTGTTGAAAATTATTGATTCCAAGTACTGCTGCATTTTGAAGGTTAATACCAAAATTACCAGCGCCATTAACGCCTGGATACACAAATGCTCCATTGTTTGTACTCATACCATTATTGACTTGAATGGTATTTGGTTGATTTGGAATCATTGTGAATGCATTTTGACTGGTAACTGGTGAAGATGCAGAATTGTAAGGTGATTGAATATTTCCAGACATAATGCCAATACCTCCCATTGGTTGTTGTACACTAATCATTGAACCACCTGTTGGTGTGGATGGCATTTGATTAACAGTGTTATTTTGAACAAGTAAACCTTGTTGTTGCATCATGCTTGCTTGTTCTTTAACCAGTTGATTGAATTGTGAAATTTGTTCCTTGATCAATAACCTAGTATTGTAAGCTTTGAAAAATTCAGGATTTTGTTGTTCTAATTTGCACCACATCAAGTTAATAAAGGCTCGTTCAATATTCTCGTATTTCTTACATAAAAAATCCATTGTCTCTTCTTTTGAAAGATAAAGCTTTAGGCATTGCTCAATCAATTGTTGTACCAATTTGATTTGCTCAACAGAGAATCTTCTCATTCCGTTGGCAGACATACCTGATTGTGTATTTGTTGTTGTATTGGTATTTGATGACAAAACTCCTCCACTATTATTACTAAGAGGTGTAGTTGATCGTTGCTGTGCTGACATGGTAATTGTATTTGGAACAGTACCACCAGTCATTTGACTCATAGGAGTTGATGGATTTCCCATGTTTGTCATATTATTCATGTTATTCATAGCATTTACATTGGACATATTCATATTGGCCATGTTTGTCATATTCATGTTATTAATATTCATCGTGTTGGCATCCATACCATTGGTAAAACCTCCCATCATTTGTTGTTCGTTGCTAATCATACCATTACCATTAGTTTGTTGCACAATGGTTGTATTATTTGGCATTACTTGCTTTCCAGGATTTCTTAGATTATTATTGTTGTTTGGGGTGGTTAGTTGTTGTTGTAGGAATTGTAATAAATAGTTACTAGGGTCATTATTATTGTTCATGTTTTGCATTGGTATATTATTGTTTTGTACGTTCATGTTCATATTCATATTCATAGCTTGGCCATTGGCATTGTTGAGAGGTGTTTGTCCGTTCATCAAGTTATTATTATTATTTTGATTCATAGGTTGCTATTGTTATTTTGTTGTTTTACAGTGGTTGGATGATGACATAGTCCACCAAGGAGATGAAATAGATTAATAAATGTTAAATAACACTATTACTATTTGAAATACTTACTTGAAGAGCCCTGAACGTGTTGAAGAGTTGTTGGTTGTTTGCCATATTGTTCATGTTATTTGGCATTGGATTTGCAACAACTGCTGGATTCATACCCATTTGCATATTTCTATTAACATTGTTGTTATTATTCATGAATGCATTGAAAAGGTGTTGTTGTTGTGGATTGAGAACATTGACAATATCGTTGATTGCTTGTGGTGGAATATTACTCATTGTGTGTTGATCGTAGATTGTTGAGGGAAAGGAAGTGTCGAATTCAGCTATATATGAATAGTCGTTGTAGCAGTATGGGAGTTAATAATTGGATGAATTATTAGAGTAGTGGCAAGGGAATAAAGTGATGATGGAAGTTAATGGTATTTAAAAACTAATGGAACTGCACTGTCAAAAGGAATAATAATTATTACTAATCAATTTGTTGTTGATGTTGTATGTATAACAGGTAGATGGAAGAGAAAAAGAGCTGTTTGGTGATGACTTGTATTTGTCAGTTTAAAACAGCAGGGTAATTTTACTACTACAACAAAGGCGAAAGGGATGACGATATCAAATATATATCTATTGCTACTGCTTCTACAAAACACTAATGATGACAATGTTCACTCTAGATTCTCTGAATACAGTCCAAATCAACTATGATAACGGCGCGGTGAGTAGTTTACTTGTTGTGATGACGAATGGTTGGTTGCTTTTCGCTGCCTTTCACCCGCTGCTGTTGTTGAAGTGGGGTAGTGTGATTTTTTTTTGTAACCTTGTTGGAACAAGTTTATCATCTTGCTTCAAAAAGGCAACATAAATAGTATTAAAAATTGCTTACTTGATATTGAAAATATCATCATCTTTCATAGGCTTAGAGAGATTTTCAAGCTATTTGTCTAAGAGAACTTTTCATCTAGTATTTGTGTCTGATGAGGATTTTGGCCTTATTCGTTTGCTGATAGTTTTTTTGGCGCACTTCAGATTGTATTAAAATAGGTAAAGACAACAATCATCATCAGCTGGAACAATTGAAAAAACGCTGCAACTTCTTCTTGAGCCTTAGCTGTTCGCGAGTTTGTTGTTTCAAAGCACGATCTTGTGGCGAGGATTATTAGATGAACAGTTTCTTGGAGCGAAGAAGTTGTGATAAGATCGGAAATGATGAGAATGGGGCAAAATAAACTATTGATTGGTTTGATTGGTAATTAATCATTTAAGGTGAGTGAATATGTAGGAGTTGTACCTAAGAAATATTATAATGTTATCTTGATTTTTGTTTTAAAAAGATGATTTATTAATTACACAAGTTGTTGAATTATGTTCAACTTTATTGAAGGGGTTGTTCGAAAAGCATACACGTTGCACTCCAGTTCTTTAATCTACTCCCATGTGCCAAATCTCAACCTGTTTGCTCATCCTCAAATAATCTCTCTTTAGTACAATTAAGGAGTTAAACAATTAATCCAGAATACTAATTTACTGTGTGCCTAAACTTTACACAACAAACATCACTTTAAAATCCATTAGATTTTATCAAGATCTCCTTGAGTGTGTAACCATTTACACAACCAAATTCAAACCAAAGTGCTTTACTGCTCCTATTTCTTTGAAATTGTTTCCAAACGAGCTTAGGTTTCTTGCAGAATCCTTAACCGGAGTTCAAGCTCCATCTCCGCATTAGCACGGCTCGCTAATTTCACTTGTTTAGATTTTGCTTTAAAACTGTTTGATTGGTGGAAAATCTTCTCAAAAACAACAAGAAAAAAATACTCCACACATCAAATAATCATGTCAACTATCTCCGTATCACCTTCTGGTAATCCACAGTTTAATGTTGATCTTTGGAAAAACCGTTTAAATACTCACATGCAATTTTTGATCGCTATTGGTCAACAAGTTGACTTGTACTTTGCACCAGACAAATTGCAAGACATGGTTAAATTGTACAACATGATGATTCCTCTCGTTTCCAAACATGGATCACAAAATGTTTGGCTTCCAGAGTGTGTACAGTGGATTTTCCATTGCCACTTGTTGCATCCTATCGATTTCATGAAGGATTGCGAGTCAAACTTTGGACATTTGATTTTGTACAATACTCAAGCTCACATGTTAAATTCTGAACAAACAATGAAATGGTTTGAAGAGATGCACCAAGTCAATTTTGAAAATTGTTTGGATCATTATGATGAATTGATTGCAAGAGAGAATTCAACTGTTTTCAAGCCATCAAGAGATTTGATTAAGGCTGCTCTCAACCAAAAGACTTTTACCACTCAATGTAAGCAAGTTTTTGGTGAATCTATTGAAAGCTCCACCCAAATTCAATACATGCTCGACAAGTACTTCAAGTTTATTGTGGCTATCAAGTCAATCATGATTAAGAGTGATGAACAGAGCTCTGAATTGGAATTCATGTTGGTTCCTACATTGGAAATTGATTTGGTTTGGCATACCCATTTGAGATATCCATATGATTACTTGACATTTGTTAAGGAACAAACTGGTTATTTATTGAACCACGAAGATGATTTGGATTCTTTGGATGAAGAATTTGAAATGACCAAAACTTTCTGGAAGAAACAATTCAATGAAGATTACGTGAGAACTAACCAACCAGTTGAAAATTCCATGACCCAAAAGGGAGAATGTTGCAATGTTGCCAAGGAAAATATGAATATTGAAGTATTGTCAACTGAATCCATGACTCAAAAGGGTGATTGTTGTAACATTGCCAAGCAAAACTCCTCTCAACAAATCATTCCAGTAATGAATCAAAAGGGAGAATGTTGTAATTTAGCCAAACAAAATGTAAATATGCCAATTCTCCAACCATCAATGACTCAAAAAGGTGATTGTTGTAACATTGCTAAGGATAACATCAACAGTGAAATTCCAACTCTTGCCATGAATCAAAAGGGAGAATGTTGCAATGTTGCCAAGCAAAACCTCAATGGTGAAGTGCTTCCACCTTCTATGAATCAAAAAGGAGAGTGTTGTAATGTTGCAAAGATGAATTTGAACGAACCAGTTCTTCAACCATCAATGACTCAAAAGGGAGAATGCTGTAACGTAGCCAAACAAAATATTGATAAAGAAGTCCTTCCAGTCGGTATGAATCAAAAGGGTGAATGTTGCAATGTAGCTAAACACAACCTTAATGAACCAGTTCTCCAACTTTCCATGAATCAAAAGGGAGAGTGTTGTAATGTTGCCAAGAATAATCTTAATGGACCAGTTCTTCAACCATCAATGACCCAAAAGGGTGATTGTTGTAACATTGCCAAGGATAACGTTAATCGGGAAATTCCAACTCTTGGAATGAATCAAAAGGGAGAATGTTGCAATGTTGCCAAGATGAATTTGAACGAGCCAGTTCTCCAACCTGCCATGACCCAAAAGGGTGATTGTTGCAACATTGCCAAACACAATGTTGATATGGAAATTCCAACTCTTGGAATGAATCAAAAAGGTGATTGTTGCAATGTAGCCAAACAAAATATTGATAAGGAAGTTCTTCCAGTCGGTATGAATCAAAAGGGTGATTGTTGCAATATTGCCAAGGACAATATCAATCGTGAAATTCCAATTCTTGGAATGAATCAAAAGGGAGAATGCTGCAATGTAGCTAAACACAATTTGAACGAACCAGTTCTCCAACTTTCCATGAATCAAAAGGGAGAGTGTTGTAATGTTGCCAAGACGAACTTTGAACGAGCCAGTTCTCCAACCTGCAATGACCCAAAAGGGAGATTGCTGCAACATTGCCAAACACAATGTTGATATGGAAATTCCATCTCTTGGAATGAATCAAAAAGGTGATTGTTGCAATGTAGCCAAACAAAATATTGATAAGGAAGTCCTTCCAGTTGGTATGAATCAAAAGGGTGAATGTTGCAATGTTGCCAAACACAACCTTAATGAACCAGTTCTCCAACTTTCTATGAATCAAAAAGGAGAGTGTTGTAATGTTGCAAAGATGAATTTGAACGAACCAGTTCTTCAACCATCAATGACCCAAAAGGGTGATTGCTGTAATATTGCTAAGGATAACATTAACAGTGAAATTCCATCTCTTGGAATGAATCAAAAAGGTGATTGTTGCAATATTGCCAAGATGAATTTGAATGCTGACATTATTCCACTCATGATGACTCAAAAGGGTGATTGCTGTAATTTGGCCAAGCAAAATGAAATGTTGCCAATTCTCGATCTTGGAATGAATCAAAAAGGAGAATGTTGCAATTTGGCCAAACAAAACGCCACTTGTGTCCTTCTCAGAGTTGGTCATTTGGAAATTCCAATCCTCAAGCCAGCTTTTGCCTTTTAATTCTTAATAAACATTAAACCTATTTTGTGGCTTTCTTTATTGGGTTTTAGTTATTGATAAAATCAATTTTGTAAACCATGTGGAGCCACGTGGAAGCAACGAAAGAGAAAGTTGGATGATGGCACTTCAACCAAGTCTGGAAATTCAGCTGCCTATGTCCATTAACTTCATTCCAATTATTGCATTTAACAAATCAAATTGTTTGCTTAATAAATCTATAAAACGGCAGTTGGATATTAAAGAGATAAAACGTTGATGATCCATTCTACAGAATTTAATAATTGCCTTAATAGTAGCATTCCATCATCAAACCTTGAGCTTCAATCCACAATGAAACTTTCAATTCTTCCTTCCACACACTCTCAATATTTTCTGCTCGTTCGGACCTTTTTAACAAATTAATAAATTCATCCATCAAAAAAAAATCCAAAACTTGCGCTTCGCATTCATTCACCACTTGCTTTTTTTTTTCTGAAATTTAAAGTGACGGTTGGAGAAGGTTACAAGGGCCTTGCAATTTTAAAGTTCAGATAATCTTCTGTAATAGAAGTAATTATTGTAGATTATTGATTTTTTATTGAAGAAGAATAAGGAGATCAAATGATCGGATCATCGGCTATGCTTTATGGAAGCGTGGAGGAACATTGCTTTTCAAAACTACAACAACAACAAGATCAAGTTGATAATTTATTTAATTTATATAAAGGATCGAAGAGGTCTTCTTCGTTTCCTTCGAACAATTGTCTAAAACGAAAGTTGGATTCAATGGAAGAGGATCAAAAGACGTGTTGTGATGAATTAGTAGATGAAGAAGCATGTTGTTGTTCGACAAGGAAGAATTATACTAGTAGATCATCAACGTTAGCACAATTTGAAGAAAATGATTTGTTTAGAGAAGTAAAGAGAGTTAAAACGAGTTTAACTCTGTCACATTTACAATTATCAACGTCCTCATCATCATCATCACTGGTTGATTCGATGGAACAGGATGAAGATGTTGTTAAAGAAAATGTGCAAAGCAAAATAATTCCATGCTACAGTATTTTGAAAACCCCTAAATCACCCCCTAAATCTAACACTGAAAAGAGTTTATCCAATATAATGATAAAAGAAATTTGGAGGAGAAAACTTCAATCATCCCTAATGAGTCAGTCAACTGGAGTGTCACAATTACCAAGAACTGAAATTAACTTACATAACGAGTACGATTTTGATGAACCTGAGGAACGAGCAGTAATGCCAAATAGTATACCACGAGAAGAGCTAATGAGGAGGCTGAAGACGAGGATTGATTCTGCATCAAATGGAAGGCAGCACCGTTTTGATGATCCTCATTCAACAGGAATCAGTGACGAGTTTGATATGGCAGATGATTAATTTATTGTAAATAAACTAGTGATTTAAAAATCTATTCAACCTTTTCATGGAATGTTCAAATGCTAAACTGTCCAAGTGAAATAAATTTGAAGCAATAGCTTCGTGATGTCTTTGATGAGGAAGTTTACCACTGTCAAGTGAAAGACCTGACATGAAATAAACTGCCAAGTAAGGAGCCATAACAAGGGAGAGTGTTGTAGTTTTGAGACGTGAGAGCATGAGAGAAATGGCTGCAGTGGTACCAACATGTAACCATCCATGAGTTTGTCTTCCTTCTGTCAACATTCGTTCAATATCCAATACTTCACCCAACACAGTTGGAAGGAAAATGAAAAATGGAATAGATGAAAGCAGTCTGGTATTGTACAAGAAGTAGGATGATCTAAACATTAAACCAAATGTTGCAAATATTCCCAATTTCTTTGCTGATTCAACACAAGACCATAATTTCATTGAGTTTTCCTCCTCTCTCAAAAAGATATATTCAGTTGTTTTACCCTTTGAAATCATTAAACCAATAGAACTCAATTTTTTAACATCTGCATAAGGACTATTACTATACATATTTTGCAACATGTTAATGAATGGTAAATTTTGATGCAGTGTCAGGGTTTTAAAAAGGTTTGGATTAGAGTACATTCTTGAAATTACTAGGGCTGAAATCATTTCATTTTCTCTTTCTCTTGTTTCAACAATTAGTCTGAAAGTATCCAATCTGTGCATTAAAGATTCATGAGAAATATTATCGGCTGAAACAACATCTAGCAAACGTCTTGCCTTAGCTTGAATAGCAGCACTTCCTTCATAGAGAATAGAATTGAATATCGTTCCTAATGTTCCGTTTGTACAAATTTCCTTAACAATCTGGGTATATTTTTCATTATTTCCATCTCCAATAGTAATTTCATCTGAGAGATCCTTTCCACTTTTCAAGACATTTAGATGCAAATCCTTATTTTCAGATAATGAAATCAAACTTTCCAAACATGCATAATGTGAGCTTTCCAAAATAAATCCCAAATTCCACTTTAAATCTGAAGATGGACAGGAACCCATAAATGTACTTCTATTCAAGCTAATTAACATTGTTGATCTAAGTATTGGTAAAATCCTTTCCACAACATTTTCATCCACACCATTGTTCTTAATACTTGCATTCAATTCATTACTTTTAGCTTTGATTTGTAAGAGTAGAGTTTCCAATTCCTCATAAATTGAAATAAACTTTCTGTCCCGAGCAGTGGTGACCATTACATTTTCATTGGTGGATGTGCCATCTCCTGGTAAAAGACCATACATTCCAGGAGTGGATGGTCCATCATCATATTCATCATCTCTATCATTCATTTCTGCTTCCATAAGACGTTTTTCCCATTGTTTCATTCTGTTTTGAACCAAATCGTGTAAGTCATCAACAATTTCCGATTGTTGTTTTCGGGATGATGTAATTACTTGTTGGAGAAATGAAAAGGCTGGAATAATAGAAAGACCGAACATTAAAACAGCCTGTTTAAAACTAAATGATGAAGAAGCACCTGTTGAATTATTACTCTTTGAATATTGTCTGTATTCTCCTGATTGATCATTGGAATTTCGGAATTTATAATTACTAAAGATCTTTAATCTTGTTGTTGGTGATGATGATTTAGCAATATGTTGTGCTGATTGAACAATTCTCTTTAACATTTTTTTCAAAGTGCTTTATTAGTTCATTTCCAAAGACAAACCTGGATGCACTCTTGTACCAGCTTGATATTTAATTCTCTTGGCAATGACAACATTAATAACACAACCAATATGCATTAGAATACCAATAAAGAAACAAGTAATACCTGTAATTAATAATTCCCAAGAAATACCTTTACACACAGCACCATCTGTTGCTGTAATATAATTAGCCATATATGTACAACCAGCAACTTCTGCGCCAATTGTTTTAAGTAAGGCATGTGCAAAAGTCAAAACAAAATTGAGTGTTTCTTGTGGGAATGTGGCAATGAAATTTTGAACATTAGTTGTAAGGAGATCAATTTGAGAAAGGATATTTGATGTCAAGGTACCAAATGAACTGACCAAAGTCTTAGCAGATGCAACATCAACAATTAAAGCATCCATATTGGCATTAATAATGTTCAAGGTTTGATTGTAGGAGGCAATTTCTGCCAAGGCTGCCAGTTGAGTATTGTGTTGTAATCTGGTTGCATTCTTGAGTGTTTCACCTTCAACTTTGTCAGAGTTTGAGGCAAGTCCGGAAGGATCAAATGTTTCAAAATTATCATACGTATAGGTAGCTGATATTTTGGCAGTGGTGAATGCATTGAGAGCATTAAGAGCAGCATCAAAATCTGTTGCATTGAAACCGGAAAAACCAGAAAGATTATTCAATGATGAAGTACCATTTGCAAGTTTGGCCCTAGCATCAGTGAGGGTACTTGTATAGTCAACATTGATAGAGCCAATAGAAGATGTGGTCATGGAATTCTTTGCACTTTCGGTAACAGAAGAAATGTTAAAAACTGAAGCTTGGGTGCTGAATGAATCAGTTACAGAAACGAGCATACTGTTAATACCCAAAGCAGAGAATGCATCAGTACCAAATACAACATCAATCAAAGATTGACCATCTTTACAGGTAGACATGGTTGTTAACATTACAGAAACGTTTTGGAATTTGATTCCACCAGTTCCAGTGAGCATACTTGACAAAGCTTGATCACCGATAGATCCAACAGTTTTTGGACCATTTGTGCATACTTCATTGATAAGCATAAATGCTGGAACTTGAATACCTGCCAAAAGAATGAAAATCCAAGCAGTAATAAAGGCCAATGTAGTTGTAATATGTACACACCAAGTCTTTCTGAAAATAATACCAATAAATACAAAAATGTAGATTATTCCACACCAACAGAAGAGGACAATGGAAAGTGAAACTCTAATATTTTCAGCAAGCTTGGAATAAGTCTTAGCGTCATTAACTGTTTGATTGTTTAGGTAGGTGTCAACTGAGGATTGAATTGAAGCAATAGGTTGTTGAATACTTCCCAAAGCGCTACTGAGTGAAGGACCAAATTGGCTTGAAATTGTGTCATTGATAAGACTTTTAACTGAACTAATCTTGGTCTTGATGGTATCTTTTCCAGAATCAATCGATGATTTGGCAGATGTAATTGCTTGCAAGCCAGATGTAATGGAAGGAGAAACAGTTGATTTGATATCAGGAATTTCACTAGAGGCTGGAACTCCACTAAGTTTTGGACTAGCTCTCAAAGTGTCGATACCACTTCTAATATTTACAACTTCCTTGTTGATATTTTCAATGGTGGATGAGTTGAAGGTGCCTAGTTGTGTGATTGTGTTTCCAACAAGAGTTGAAATTGTATCTAGAGGTGCAGTTGCATTCAGAGCCTTATTTAAAAGTGGATCGATCGCATCTGGGAGTCCATTTAATTGAGTGGTAATAATGGCTGGGAGATTACCAACATTTTTCAGGGAACCAGTGACACTGCTAGTAAATGTCAAAGTTTCATCAATCATGACTCTCACGTGTGTTGAACCTTGGGCAGAGAAGATCACACCAATAATTCCCAATAGAATAAAGCAACAATAGAGCACAGCCAAGACAATAGCTGGAGCAATAAGGTGCTTTCTCTTGTAGGCCTCAGATGATGTTGGTACATTTGAACCACAGAACCCACAACATCTACAACAACAGAATATCATTATTGCAATATAACCAATCACACCAAACAGAATGGGGATCACAAGGAAAATTGCTAAGAAAATAGCATACTCTATATATTTAGCTCCATCTAGAACCTCCTCCGAAGACGTTGGGAGGGCTGTCCTCACTGTCTTAACTTGCCCCATAGTAAAGGCAATATTCTGGGCATTTACTGTTGTAAGGATGATAAGGAATACAAATATTATGTACAAGGAAAATCTAGGGACAATTTGAAACGACATTCTCTCTAAATTAGAAGGAGGATTTTTTGTAAAGAAAGGATTGATACGAGAGTATTAAGGTCGTTTTTTTCTGTTAAGAAATATTTTGAAAAACGTCTTTTGTTCTTTGTGTGCCATCACAACTCATCGCTTCAATAACAATTTCTGATGGAGAGAAACAGTTAATGTAAGGAAGAGCGGGAATTTTCGGTTGAAACAAGTTCATTTGTTGGCGGGATTCAAGTGGAATCAACTAATTTGGATTAGTCATCCAAATAAATCCATAATAAGGCAAAAAATAAGGTCCTTAATGTAGAATGCAAGACTTTGACTTGTACTCCACATGCCATGTAGTAGTATTTTGCACTCTATAGAAACTTTTTGTATGCCTCCTTGTGCATGTTGTCAAGCAGTAACCTAACGGCAATGTCTATCAAAATTTGTGTTGAAATCATTTCATTAATGATGGGATGTGAGGGAGAGGAATCTTACTAGAAATTCTCGGATTGTATTAATTGGGGGTTTCTGTTGCTTGTATAGGTAGTGGCAAATAATTAAGAGATACTAAAGGAAATAACCTAATCTCTTCCTTATCCAGATTCGATTTCCAACACTATTTCATGATAGTGAATAATTAAAAAGTTGATGTAATTCCATTCCTGGTGTTATTATTCTGTGCAATCTTTGCATTATTCAAATCCCATATAATATTTACATTAATTAATTATTTGATGAAAATTATTTAATGAAAACATCTCGAAAGCACAAAGCAATCTGGTGGATCTAATCGACGGTAGAATTTTTCAATTCGTGTGATGATTGAAAAATTGTGCCTCTGATAGAATTTAATTCCATCATCATTGTTGACTTGTGTTTGTAGGTAGACGGTGATGAGTTTCTTTTGACACTCCACTAATTCAATAACTTGATTTAATAATTTAGATCCGATTCCTTTTGATCTGTATTTTGCTAATACAGCCAATGAAGCAATGCAAAGGCCGGATGTGTTTGGACAAGCATGAGGATCAGATTTTAGAACACAACCAATGGCTCCGACAGCTTCATCTTTACCAGTCTTCGGATTTTTCACAAAAGCAACAAATGAATACTTGTCTTGCACCATTTGACTATAGATTTTAGCACTAAAATTTACAGGTAATACTATGCCATTAATTTGAGCCATGTCTAGTGTCAAATCATCATTTAGAGGCAGAATAGTTATCTCACCTACAGACATTTTTTTAATGATGAAGAAATTTCTTTCTTCCTTTAAAAAATAGAATATTGTTAGTGCAGCACTGGTATTAATATTTAATTAACTCAGCAGAATATTATTCAATTCATGAAGGACCATACTCGTTCCTAATGAAGTATTTTGAGATTTAAGAATTGGTGATTCCATTGGTAGACTCAAATGAGATGGAGGAGATTCAAGTTGTGATCTTCTACGGGTTGGAGTTGGCTTATTCAAAACACTTAAATCTAATGTTGGTACAACTGCCTTTTGATTGGCGACTGAAGTTGGAGGTATTTTAGGATTTTCTTCTTTTGAAGGTTGTTCCTTGACAGGTTTTTGTTTCTGCTTATTCTTCTGGCTTAACATTTTTTCAATTTCTTGAGCATCCTTGAAATCATTGATAAACCTTTCATGCACATTTTCCATTCGCTTAGTTACTGCATGCTCAGATCCTAGTTTGTTAATTGAAATAGTAAGAGCCTTTTCATGAAACATGGCTGCTTTTGAAATTTCCATCAAGTGTTCCAACTCTACAGCAATGTTATTGTGAGCAACAACAATACTTGAATAGAGAGCATCGTGTGATATTAATGGCGATCGCTCCTTGTTCGAAATGCCTATCGATTCATTTTTCTGGAGGGAGAGTAATATCTCAAGGGCAGTGTTTGCATGAGCTAGGGATTGTTTGTGTTTTCCAAGTTTTGATAAAATTGCTCCAATATTGAGGTAAGAGTCGGCCAATCCCACTCCATTCTCTTCAACAGGAAGATCAATCTCGATAGAGAAGGCTCTCTGAGCAAATTCAAGAGCCTCTTCAAACATATTCTTAATTCTGAAGACAAAACTGATATTGTTCAATGTCATTGATTTCATCTTTCTGATATTATCGAACTCAATTCCAAATTCTAAGTATCGGAGGGATCTCTTTAATATTCCAATACTTTCATCTGGTGTATCCCTATAATTCATTGAAAACGAATTACATAACAAGATGAATTTTTTACAAGCGTCCTCAGTCTTAATATCTGATTTTCCATAAAGATCTACCAATAAATTCAGCCTCTTCTCCCATACATCAAGGCATGAGAGTGGATCTTCCGAATTCTCCAACTCTTTGGCTTTTTCTTCTAAATTTACAGCTTCTTGTAGCTTTAATCGTGTTTCTTTCATTAAGGCTGCATGATTAATTTCATTGAGAGTATCATTGATATTTTGTTTTATACTTTCTTGTAGTTGAAGAAGTGATGTAGAAAGTTCCTCGTTTTTTCCGATATTAATGTTTTGTTTTTTGTTGTTATATGTCTTGTTATCAGACTGTTCGTGATGAGTCTCAATTCGCGGGCTGATGAAATCCTTCTTTCTCTGATATTTTCTTCCAGGAGTCTTCTCCAAGAAAGCCCTAGCTTTAAATATTGGTTTTACAGGAGAAGAAGCAACTATACGATGTCTATTCTCCATATTTTAATATTCCACTCTCCTTTCTATGATTTTTAAAATTGTGTTAAATATTTGTTGCTGTTGGGTTTTTTGAAGAAAAGGCCGTTCAATGACGTTATTTTTTGAGAAAATGGAAAAGGCCAAAATTCTCTTCATCATCCTCAGTTTGAAACATCTGATCAAGTTTAAAATTTCATCGTTATTTATAAGACTTGCAGTTGTAAGAAGTTTGGCGCCATTTCAGTAAACATTGCCAAAAAATCAAAAGAAAAAAATTGAAAACATAATTTTAGTTTTCTCATCATCTTGAATTATCAAACAACATCGGAATAGAGGGTTGGAATGTCGAATCAACATAGGAGACCAACATCTTCTTTTCAATTACATGAGGACTCTTATGAACCGAGCTGGAGTCAACAATTTAGTCACAGTACGAGGACTTTTAGACAAACGGATGATTATTTAAATGATGTATATCCAAAACGACCAAATTCACAAACATACTTGGACAAAATTCGAGAAAAGAAAAGAAACACTGTTCTTTCAGATCCCACTGTTTGGGCAAAAGAAACAAGGGATCTCCTCAAAAAGGATATGAGTATTCCTTTACCAAGGAAAATTAAAAGAAGAAATGTTGGAGGAATACCCACCAATACAATTGGCAGAAGGATTAAGGGCAATTTGTACAAACAAGCCCCAATACTACCAAAGGAAAACCAATTAAATCCAGCCCTTCCTCTTCCACCAATAGCAGAATCAGAGTTGGATAAGGGTTTAATTAATTTAATTAATAGAAAGTTGGTACCATCATTCATTGATTTGTCACCACTTGTAAATAACGACGAGAATTCACCAATAACTGCTTCACAAGCTGTTTTAAATCCCTATCACTATCAATTAGTTAAGAAGAATGTACAAACGGAGGATACTGCAAACTCACATCTTTATAGAATGGAGAGTGGTCCACCAAGCCCGGAAAGAGAAATACCCTACACCACCAGATCAAATCCAACAACAAGGAAAAAGGAACCCTCAATAGTTCCATTCGGAAATCAAAAAATTTACAATCTCAAATCAAAAGATGCCACCGTTTATATGCCTAAAAATTATATTCAACAACCAATTGATTCAGTTCTTGATCCAACTGAGGAACAACGTATCAACTCATTGCTTGAGGCAACAAATGATAGAAAAAAGCAACAATATTTGAGAACCTATATTGACCTTATGGATGAATACAGTTTGCATCATGTTATTATACGTCATGGATCATTACTGGATAATACTCCAGAATATTTGTCATTCTATAGAACTTATCAATATAACTGGAGTAGAATTTATAGCGTTCTTTCCCTATTGGAAAAACTACTTCGAGACTTTACAGTTCCTCTGGCTTACGTAGATGGTAAGAAAGTTGTTTTCTTAGCTGAAAGAACTATAGATCCGAATAATAGACAATTGATTGATTGTTTGGTTAATGCTGAAAATGTAATTCCTTACATAAAACTTCCAGATGTTAAATTCATGGGAAGAAATGGGCAGAATAATGCAGCAACATGTATTCAGAGAATTTGGAAAGGTTATATACAAAGAAAAAGGTTTTCAAGACTCAAGTACGAACATAAAATGGCCACAAGAATTCAATTTTGGTGGTTCCTTAGAGTTAGATTATTCAGGACCAAAGAAAAAATTCAGAAAATTATACACGACGAGGAATTCAAATGGAAATCAAAGATGGATGAATTCAAAAAGAATTGGGATACCATTAAGAAATCAAAGAGGACAATTATTCACATCAATTCTCTTACATATGATGAATCTGTAAGAACAACAACTCCAAAATTCAAATCATCCCAAAATTCTCAACTCTTCAGAATTTTGGATTTATTGGATCCAAATGTAGAAGTAGTATATGTTACATCTGAGCCATTGGATAGTGATGTATTATCATATGTTTGTAAATTATTGGAATTTGGAGGAGTTGAGGAACCAATGAGAAGACTCAAAGTAATTACACCAGAATCTAATGACAAATATCCAGATTCGACAAGTTTATCATCTCTTGTTTATTATTCCCAAAGAACAATGAGGCATTTGCGAACTCTTGTCATGGGTAAGACGGCGTACCTTGTTCCAGGTCAACTCGGAAAAGACGATTTAAGACTTGCTATCAAACTTCAGTTACCAATTTTAGGATCAGATCCTGTTAACTCTACTATTTATGGAACCAAGTCAGGAAGCAAGAGAATTTTTGCTCAAGCAGAAGTGAATATGCCTTTTGGAATTTATGATATTTATGAGGAAGAAGACTTGATCTCTAATTTATCGAGGAAACTAATGGAATATCCACAATATTCTCGTTGGATAATTAAGATAGATAACGAATATGGAGGAAGAGGCCTTGCTTTCTTGGATGTAAACAAACTTTCCTCACTCAAGGAGAAACGAAGAAATGAACCAATGTTTGCTGAGAGGTTAAGGGCCAATCTTGCAGAAGAACTGGGAGAATACATGCCGGAGAGATTGAACATTGTATCGAAACATGTGTATCCCCAATGGCCTGATTTCCTCAAAGCACTTAAAGATTGTGGTGGAGGTGTTATTGAAGCTGTTCCAAACAAGATTATCGGTTCTCCTTCTGTTAATTTGTTCATTGAACCCAATGGAGAAGTTAATATTTTATCTGTACAAGAACAGTTAGTCAATTCTCAATATTGCACCATGTCATGCTCTTTCCCTCATTATTCTGCGCCATATGACGCACTGAGAGAGGCATCCTTCTCAGTTGGAAGAGTATGTCATTCCAAAAAGATATTCGGTTATGTAACGATAGACTTTGTAATATTTGTTGACGAGAAGGATTGTGCTAGAATGTGGGCAGTAGATCTAAAGTTAAGACTCACAGACAATGCACTCTCACATAGAATGTTCGAATTGATTACCAAATCAAGATTTGATAAGGACAGTGGACAATCTCTGAGCTCTGAAGGCTTAGAGAGCGAAATTAACAATAGAAGCTACATATACAGTGGAATGATGAGAAATCCTGCAATAAGCTCTTGGCATCACTCTTCCTTCTTCAGCGATTGCAGAGTGAATGGTTTTTCCTTGGACGGATACGGAAAGTTTGGTGTTATTTTCCAACAAGTTGATTCATTACTGAGAGGGCAACTTGGTGTTTTATGTATTGGAAAGACTGCACGAGAGACATCTACACTATTCTGCAATTTAGTGAACTATCTAATAAGTTTGATACCTAAGGAAGATCGTTTACCAATCGGTTATGATTCCAATCTGAAAATCTTAGAAGAAATTGTTTCAAACCTCGTTCATGGTAGTAATGAATAAACTCATTCCAATCCATTGTACTTTTCCTTAAAATCATTATTCTTGTCCTATTGTTATAAAGAGTCATTTTGATGGATCATTAAGTGGCATCAAATAATTTTAAAAAAATGAACAAAAGGGGCGTCGAATCACCTGGTGTGGATAGACTTCCCTCACCGAGTGTATTCGGCGATAAGGAATACAAGGTTTGTATTTTTGGTGGAATTATATGTAATGATGAAATTAAATAGATAATAAGGGAGATTGGGAGTGGATCCTTCGGAAAGGCTTATCTTTGCGAGAAAAAGGGAAGAAAGTATGTCATGAAGAGAATAAATATGAAGGAATTAAGCGATGAGGAAAAACAAGGAGCTTTGAATGAAGCACAAGTACTACAAAAATTAAAACACGACAATATTATTGCCTATCATGAATACTTTATCAGTTCGGATAAGTTTCTGAATATTGTGATGGACTATGCTGATGGAGGAGATCTCTTTACGAAAATCAAAACTGCTCCAACTTTTTTACCTGAAGAGGTAGGTTTATTCAAATTGTTTCTTCTCAAACTTATTCTTTATTTTAATAGATTATCATTGATTGGTTTTGTCAAATTGCATTAGGTTTGAAACATGTTCATGATTGCAATATTCTTCATAGGTTAGTTGAATACAAACATATTGTTCGGATCTAAACACAATTTTAAAGAGATTTAAAAACACAAAACATTTTCCTGACAAAAACTGGAAGGGTAACAATTGGAGATTTCGGAATTGCTAAAATTTTAAATTCTCAAACAGAGTTTGCTAGTACTGTTATTGGAACACCTTATTATTTGAGCCCTGAACTTTGTGAGGATAAACCATATAATCAAAAAAGTGATGTTTGGGCTTTAGGATGTGTATTATATGAAATAACCACGAGAAAACATGCTTTTAATGGACAAAATTTGCCAGCTTTAGTTTTGAAGATTTTGAAAGGAAACTACCCTCCAATACCTTCGTTTTATAGCATTAATTTATCATCATTAATTTCCAGTATGCTCCAAAAGGATCCAGAGCTAAGACCAAGTATTGGCGAAATTCTTTCTCTTCCATTTATTCAAGAGAAGGTGTTACAAATTATAAGAAAGAAAGATTCACTGAAAGTTCTGCAGCAACCAGAGCCAGTGAAACCAAAACCAATATCTCCAAAGCAACAACAACCTTCCCAACAACCACAGGTTCAGCCACAACAACAAGCTCAGCAACAAATCCAATCCCAACAAAATCCTCAAGGCCAATCAGAAGAAAAATCAAAATGGCTAGAGGATAAACAGAGTGAGTTGAATGCTATGTTCAAACAACTCCATCCTTCCAAACAAAATCCAATCAATACAATCAACAGGCTTCAAATACGAAAACAATTAGAGGAAAAGGATGAAAAAAAGAAGGAGAAAATGAAAGGAAGAAAGGAATATTATGAGCAAATTTTAGAAAAGAGAAAGGGAGGAATTTCAGTTTCTGCCAGTGTCCAAAATCAACCAATGCAACAACCTCAACCAGTTATTCCACCAAGAGTTTCAATGCCTTCTAATCCTCAGAGAAACCTCCCTCAACAACCATCGAGGTCTGTGGACGAGAGAATTCCAAGAGCAGAGGAACGATCTAAATCAGTTTCAAAGAATGTGGAAGAATCTCCAAGAGTTGTCAATATTGCAGGTGAAGATAAGATGGTTTTCAGATTGGATGAAATTAAGAATCAAGCCCATAAGAGACCATCTAAACCTCCACCAAAACCTCAACCTGTTGTTATTTCTCAAAATCAACCTGTCTATCAACAACCTCAACAACCAGTCCTCTCTAAGGAAGATGAAAGAAAGGAAATTAAAAAGAAGCAAGAAAAGGAAAGACAAGAATGGCTTGTTAAAAATGGAGTTCAACCAGATGATAAGAAGAAAAAGTTCTTGGCTGAGAAACAAGATGAAAAGAAGAAGAAAAAGGAAGAAGAACGAAAGAAAATGTTGGATCACAAGAAGAAAATGGATGCAATCAAGGGAAGAAAAAATCAAATCAGAGTCATGTTTGGTTTGGATGAATCAGAAAAGACTCCTGAACCTGTCTCTCCAGTTAAAGAAGAATTTGAACCAACACCAGAAGACATTCAAAAGAAGAGGGAAGAAGAAGAAAAGGAACGGGTGAGAAAAGAAAAAGCTGACATGGAAAGAAAAAACTTTAGAGACTTTATTAAGAATCAAAAAAAGAAAAAGAAGGAAGAACCTTCACCATTTGATGCTGTAATCCCATCAAACGACCAAGACGATGACGAAGGAAGTCTGAATAATAGTGTTAAGCAAGAAACTGTTGTAATTGTTCCAAAGAAACAAGTAACTCCAACTAAAGTATTCTCTCCATTAAATAAGACAGCCAGTAAGGAAGTTATCATTCTGGAACCAAAATCAAAACCTGAAACACCACAAAAAGAAAAACCATCTCCAAAATCCAGTCCTGTTAAGAAAGTTATTGATGATGATTTGGATCTTTTACCAACCAGAGAAGAAAAGGTTGTTGAACAAATTCCTGAACTCTGTCTTACTCCTTCCACTCTTGATCGTGAAGCAGGTTTAACACCAGAACTCAAATTCCATACACCAGTTAAGAAATCAGAGGATACTTCGCAAATGTCTCCAAGTGATTTGGAAATGTTAAGGAAAAAGCAACATGAATTGAGTGTTAGAATTGAGGCTTTAAGAAATTATTGCGAGCAAAAATTTGGAGAAAAATCATTCATACAAATTTATAATTTGTTGAGAGATTTTGAATTCAAAGAGAATGAAGATGAAGACAGCCAAATTCAAGAGGGAATTTTACAAATTTTAGGAAACAACACAAAATTGCTTCCATACGTTCAAAAGATTCACCAATTGATTTTCTGTGAGGACTTGTTCTACGGATAATAAAATGAAGCAAATTAAAACAAAATGTTTTTTATTCGAAACAAAATCGCAATCAAGCTAAAAATCTAATGGTCACTCTTAACTGGCCAGAAGATGTCCATAAAAATTTCCAAATTTAAAAGAGCAAATCTTCATTAGTTGAGGTCCATTGATTTTCATCAAAACATTCTTCTTGTTCTGTTGAGAATAAATCAGTGTGGAATAACTCTGAAGCTTGAGCATCTTCAAATTGTACATCCAATTCACCACCTTCAGTTGTGAAACCAGCATCCATTTCAAAGAAATTATTTTCATCAATTTGTTTGTTCATGAAAATAACTTGATTTGGATAATAGGTTGGTGTATAAATTGGATAAGCATAAGGAACAGAGATTGCATCAACAAATGGAGCAGCATTATGAACAACATATGGATGATAGGTTGGCATGGTTTGAATAACTGGAATGACTGGAGCAGTCATTGTGTTTTGAGGGAAAAGAACACCAGCTTGTTGAAGTGATTGGAAAAAGTCAATTTGCTTTGGTTGAGGTGATTCTGTTGACTTTTCATCTGGAGTCTTCTTTGTCTCTTCATTGTTAATGATTGGAGAACGTAATAATACAACTGAATTACCATTCATATTCATATTTGATGGTGATTCAAGTAATGATGACAAGACATTCTTTGGTTCTTGAACAGCAGCTGTGGAAGTTGAAATAACAGTTGTTGGACTGTTTGTTTGTGTGAAATTAACAATAGTTGGAGTCTTAATAAGTGGAGAGGAAGATGATTCAACAACTTTGGCAGTAACACTTGTTGTTGATTCAGTCTTCAATGGAGTTGGTCTCTTCTTCTTGGTGTATTGCATATCTTTGGTGGCAGAAGATCTCTTTCTCTTTGGTGTTTGAGATTGAGTGTTGGCAGTAGCAGAAGTGCTTGTTGAGGCAGATGGTTCCTTCTTATCCTTTTGCTTCTTGATAGAACGGAAAGCTTGATTAATATCAACACCACCTTCAACAACTTCTTGTCCTTCCTTTTGCATCTTTCTCTTGTAACGAACTCTCTTATTGGAGAACCAATTGTTAATTTGGAGAAGGGACAAAGTTGTTTGATCGACTAATCCCTTCTTTTCATCCTCACTAAAACAGATTATTAGAATATACAACAACAATGAATTGTAAACATACCTTGGATATGGATTTTGAAGATTAGCAAAGAACCAATCATTCAATACTTTGGTAATTTCCTTTGGGTAACCTTTTCTCTTCTTTCCGTGTTTTGACTTTCCATCAGCCTTGTCGCTTTCACAACCAGAATCACTTTCAGAATATTGATGGAGAAGTGATGGGGAATCAAGAATCTTATCTTCTTGAGTTTCAATCAATGATGATTGACTTGTTGCAATAGTAGTAGTTGATTGCATTGTAAATTATTGTATAGTACAGAGTGGGTGAATAGTATAATAATACAGTCAATAATGGAATACAGGGTTTATCTGTTCTTCCTTTCGAATATAAATTCAGAGTGGTATAGCACTACAACAGCAATGACAGCAGTATAAGTGTTATATGGTACTGGGTTTGATTATTAATGGGTATTGATTCAACTCGATACACACAATCAACAAATCGTTCTTATTTGGATTGTTTTTTTTTCTAATGTTGTGTGAAGTGTGTGGGTAGCGTTTGTTAAATTGGTCCACACTTTGCTGTTTGTTGGTGCTTGGCAGTGAATCGTTGTTATCGTTACGAGAAAACCAGCCCATTTGTTGAATGTGTCCCTTCTTCAGTTTTGCTCACTGAACGCAATAAAGCATCACATTTCAATAGAACATGTACCTTTTAAAGTGGGCGAGATACATTTAAAATTATTTCGTTGTAACGACGATACACTTTTAGAATTAGAATCCCTTGTTGATGGATATGCCCAACTTTCGACCAATAGAAAACCTTCTTCCAAAAGGGTACTGGTTTCTTCAAGGCATCACCCAAACAAAACATTTGGAAACCAACTAATGTCTGAGGCAATCAAATTGGTGAAATTCGGCAAGCATTTCCTCTTTGTTAACCTCAGAAACATTCAGCACTGAAGTGCCTTGGCTCGTAGTGCTTCATTCGACCAAAATTGTTTTGGTGCACCTGTGTCCTGTTACTGAACAGTAGATCTGGTTATTGTTGAACGTTCGAAAGATTGATGATTCAACATTTAAATTATTAAACAATTATCGAGCTCAATTCAAGCTGTTTCAGCTTGTTGAATTGAGCTTTTAATTGACTTTTTTCTCTTTCACTAGGTCTCAAATGTTTCATTCTCACTGTTTTCATCTTTTTCCTTGCTAGTTTTCTTCTCTTCTTCAATAATTTAAAACATTCATTCTCAAATTCTTTCAAAAACTTCTTCCTCTCTTGTTTGCTGTTGATAGTGATGGATTGTTTCTTCAGGAAGGCGTTGTATAAATATTCGAATCGGTGTGAAATGCTTCGGTTTTGAGTGATGAAAAATTTCCAATCATAGCGAATCCGATCAAGAATATGTGGAGGGAGAACAGACCCCAAAAACATCGAACTACTGTTGTAAGAAGTTGTCGGAAACTGTAGTTGATTCGAATACGGTATGGAGGTTGTTGAATAATTATTGTTGAATAAACCTTGATTAGTGCTGGTGTTACCCACAGTTGAAGTATTGGTATAGAGAACAAAATTTCTCAAGAAGGGAGGCATCAACTTGTAGTCGATATCTGTTAAAATCCAATAATAGGGTGACAGTTTTGGATCTAATAAAAAGAAGGATGGGGGAACAAACTTGGAAATGACCTTGATTTGCTGTCTATACATCTCTGATTTAATTTGACACTTCTCTATTGTATCAAGCAAGTCTCTCATTAAAATGTCTTTTGCAAGACCAAATTTGTTTTTAAAAACAATTGGGAAAACTCTTTTCTGGAATGTTGACTCATTCCCAATGCCACTAACTACAGTAGATGAAGTCATCATCATGGTTTGATTGCCTTGTGTTAGTTTGTTGAGGTAACGAGTATAGTTTTGATGTAAAAAGTCAATCTTTCTTCCAATCCCATTCAAAAATTCAACACTGTATTGTCCTTTGATTGGTCTTGGTTGAGAAGATGACAATGATGGGTTACCTTCTCCATCATTGTAGGAACCAAATAGTTTCTTTATATTAATGAAAGGAACAGGAACTTGGAGTGTAAAATACTTTGATGATTGACTTGCTAGAGAGCCTGTTCTAGAGCTGAATAGCTTGTTCATGATTGGTTTCAAAAGCCAATCAACACCCTTTCCAGCCAAGTACAACAATGTGCTGATGAAGAAGAGTAACTTGAGAAGGCTTTGAATCTTGTCCACACTCATCATGATGGACTTGTTGTTATTGTTAGAGATCATCTGTTATCAAGGATCTTATTGTTGTTGCAACAGTGATAATGATACTTCTTGTTCCCGAGTCTTCCTTGTTTTCTTCTCAATATATATTTGATGCTACTTGGATGAAAGCAAGAACAGTATCAAAACATTTTCTTTGGGCAAAAATAGCCTTGTTATTGAAGAGTAGTTTTGGCGCCAAAAAATACGTGACGAGTGTGGCTTACCAACACACACAAAGAGGCTTGTTGCAAAAAGTAGTAGTAGAAGCCTTGTTGTTATTTGATGAGGAATGTCCTTGATGATGCAATGATGATGAAGGTGTTCCTTTGTTCACGTCTTGTTCAAGCCTTGTTGTTGCAATGCACGAAAGATGACAATTCTATTGTTGTTGTTAATGATGACAACAGTTTATATTGTTGTTATTGTGATGATAATGATGAATGTCCAGACTGATGAAGTAATGATGACAAAGTTGTTGTTAATAGTACTACATTCATTGAAATGTTGCACAACTGTGTGAGGGAGTCTTGGTTACAAACAGAAATTTGGTTGAAGACTTGTCAAGGTCTTTTTTTCTGTCTTGCTGATTTGACAAGTCTTCAACTGTGGTGTTTCGAAAAGTTTTTCGCGATTGAAGGGTGACATTCAAGAGGAGAATAATAGAGCCCAAATTGACGAGTTGGTCTTGGAGACAACTTGTTATTAGAAAGTGAAGTAATTACGTTTGGTAGTTGGAAATATTTGAAAAACGTTACAATCTTTACAATACAATTTGCAAACAATTGAGAGATGAGTATGTGTTGTAACGTTTTTTTTGATTGAATTTATTGGAAATTAAGACAAGTATAATTTTGGCTCATTGACAAGTGAATTTCCAAATGATAAGGAAAACAGATTGACCAATAATACTCTTTCAAAATGGGACTATTTGCATGAACCCTTTTGTGGAGCGACGTTTTGTAAAGAATCTTGAATCTGGATACAAAACATGTCTTGACAATATAAGGCTTTCCCTACAATAGAGATCTCGGCTGATTATCATCAGAAATTCATCATGCAGAACTGCAAGTCTAAAGATTTTAACATGCTTAACTGTTTTTTATGGATAATAATAGAGGTAAGAACTGTTTCTGTCTGTGTGTTGAACTTTTGAAAATTTACTGAACAATTATTAATAACCACATCCATTGAACTATTTTCCAATCAGACAAGTTCATCCACCCTAATTTTATGGTTGAAAAGTAGGGCTTGTGGTGTAATACTAACACATCATTGGCGGAGTTAGCTCTTGCTAGTGAAGTTGGATGGTGAAAATCCTCCCAAGTACCTTTTTACTTTTCGAGGGGAAAATACATTAACCTTAATATATTTTTTCCTCAACACCCAAATGTTTTTTTTAAGAGGGAAAATGTACTAATTTTGCTTTTCCATAGTAAAGTGAAACTTTGAAAGAACCTGATATTTAGTGTCACTGAGCGATGAAATGCAATCTACAACTTACCTTCGATGTGTTTCTTCCTGATTTTTACCATTCCTCCAATATCTCAACACCAGATGAAATGAATGGCATGGATACGATAGTTTTCATAATGGATCAATTTCTTAGTGAATGTAAGCTGCAAGAACACCACTTCTATCCTATCTTCTCAATTTTAATAGATGTACTACACTTCCTAATAATTAGATTACTCCTTAATTTTCGAATAATGTTGGTCTTTAGGTAAAAAATTCCTTCTTTGTTTCATTTAAATCTTGCTTTGTTTCTTCCATTGGAAACAACTAAGCAAGAGTTAGACTCAACAAAAAAGAAATTAAATGTAACTATGCAAGAGTTAGACACAACTAGGAAAGATTTATATGAAACAAGGAAAGAATTAAGTATTACCACAAAAAAATTGGAAATCATAATTAAAGATTTTCATCAATCTTTTAACTGTTAGCTAAACTTGGGTTGATGTTGAAGAAAAACAGCACAGCTAATTGAAGTTACTTTAGATGGGGAACAATGTAAAAAAGAAAAAGAGGAACTTGAAGACATGTTAATGATCCTCTCTCGAAGATACGAGATGTTAAAGAGAGAGCTTGCCAACAATGCCTGTAAATGTGGCTGCAACTGTAAATGTTCTTCATGTAAATGCTCAAATCTCCAACAATAGCTGGCAACATTTTATTGTAAATAATTATACATTAAACATTCAACTCTAAAATTTGTTAAAACCACGAATTGAGATTTGACATGATAAGGATATTAATTGAGTAGATTTAGAATTTTCTCTTGTTGAAGAAAAGAACGAGATTTCCAGGTCCCACAGTTGGACCTGGAAGTTCTCTAACTTTTTCACTTGGATTTGATTCATTGTTGAGAGTGATGATTTCATAGAATTGTAATATACGAGACAAGATGGTGAATGCTTCCTGTTATGGAGAAAAATACTATGAGATTATTTTAAAGATTCTACTTACATATTGAGCGAATTTGTAACCCTTTAGAATAAATTGTAAATGAAATGATTCGAATTTTAAGAATTACTTACAATACCTAAAATGGAATATTGGTAAAATAATGATGATATATTAACAAAACTTACATTTTCTTTGACCCATTGAAAATGGAATCCATGTGAAATCGGTGTGAGTCTTTTGACGTTCCTCAAAATCAGATGAAAAGCGTTCAGGAATGAAATCTGATGGCTCTGTCCAATTATTTTCATTGGCATGTGATCCAAACAAATCAATTGCAACAATTGTTCCTTTTGGAATGTTGTACTTTCCAATGGTGGTAGATTTCTTTGCTACTCTAAAGTTTGCAAGAACAGGTGGATGCAAACGCAAACCTTCCATGATGCATTGATTGAGATAGTTCAATTTAGGGAAATCATCATAGGTTGGGTTTCTTCTTGATTCACCAACTCCAAGAATAGAATCAATTTCTTCACGAGCTTTTTGTTGAATATCAGGTCTCTTTCCCAACTCGTAACAAATCCATTGTAATGTAGTTGAAGTTGTCTAAAATTTCAAATAAAAAGTTCATTACAAAATTGTTAAACTCTAAAAAAACCCACCTCATGTCTATTTCAATAAATTAGGACAAATAGTTTTAAAATTCGAATACAAACCCAGCAAGCGAAAAGATGAATGCATCTGACTTGATCTCATTATCTGTCAATACCCCTTTTTGAACTAAATTGGCTTCAATTAAACAACTCAATAAATCTCTTCTGTTCATTCTTTCTCCTGAACTTCCAAATTGTTTTTCAATTTCATGTTTTCTTTCCTTGATAGCTTTTCCAAACTAGTTCTGAATTTACTTCCATTACTGGCAATTTCAGAATCAGAAGACTTTTCAAATATTCCAAAATCCAAATCAAATCCAACACGTCCCAAAATGCTCAATGTAATATCACTGAAATCACTCTTGATATCTCTTGTTAAATATCCCTTAACAGTTTTTCCTCCAATTTCCAACTCTTGTTCCTTTTTTCCCCATCGAGTAGAGAACAATTCATCAACACACTCTGACGAATATTCACACAAATACTCCAAATTTTGAGATGTAAAGGCAGGCGAGCAAATTTGGTGATGACTTTTCCATGAACTTGAATTGGCATCCAAAATGGTCAATAAATTATCACCAAATGTCTTGAATACTTCGTATGGTCTGAAATATTTGGGAAAATTATTTCCCTTGGTAATGATGACTTCCTTTAACATTTCCTTATTGGAAATATAGACAAGATTTCTATCCATGAGTGAAACTCTTGTAATTCCATTCTCTAAATCTCCCTTCTTTCTCATCAAATCTAAAATTGCATGATGATTATTGACAAACATGTATTCGGAAAAGAATGGAATTCTCCAAAAGAAACTCATGACTTGCCATCCACCTGGAATGTGTGAAACTTTTTGATAATTTAAATAAATTTTAATGGCAACATAGCACAGAATGGTCAGTAGTGTGATCACTGTGAGAGTCAATATCATTGTATTTTTTTCTGATGATGTCTTTGACGTTTGTGAAATGATGATCAATATTGGAGATCACGGCTATTTTGGAATGCTTTCTTGAATGGAATGTTTATTCCAAAATTCAATTCAGGTTCTATTCAGTCACTCAAAATAATTCTGAAGGAATAACAATTTACTATTAAATATCATCCAGATCAAGTTCTTCATCATCCAGTCCAAGTAAATCGTCATTGGAAGGAGTTACATGTTGTTGGAATGGTGGTCTTGAAGATTTGGAGAAAGAGGGAGGTTGAGATGTGAATGGAGGTGAATCTTCAGCATATTCCGAACAAACAGAGGTAAGGTCATCAATATCTCCCAATTTTGATTCAAAGTTTTCGAGCTCGTTTCTTATTTGATCTATAGTTGAAAATTCATGAAGTTCTTCATTTCCGAACGACATTAAACAATTCATTGAAGTTTCCAAAGTGGCAAGAGCATATCCTGCCTCTCCCTTAATTGCGTATTCAGGTAAAAGTTCACTCATCATTTGGAATTTGACAAACAAATCCATAATATTCGACTTGGCAACAACGTAAATGAAAATTGGAAGCAAATCATCAGCACCAACAATTATTGGTGGTGTAATTCCATGCTCATATCCATACTTTTGATAATAGTCATTGACGTCTTTTGAAACTTGATTCATAGCTAAACAAATAAAGTCAACCTTCTTGGTAAAGGATGTGGTTTGATCGAATTCTTTGAAAATTGCAATGGTTCTTTCGAAAGGATACCTCTCCTTCTCCAAAGTAAACTTATCAGGAAGCTTGAGTGCTTGGAGTGTTATTGTTGAGGTACATTTTGAAACCTTATCGTTCATTCTATTATTTTCTTCTCCATAAACAAGTAAATATAAGAATAACAACTTGGAATAGATTCCATTTCCCCACATGGTATCCGTAATGGTATCTGATAAAGAATTAAAAATGTTAAATCTTTTAAAAACATACCAATAACTATATCTTCATAATTTTGTGAAGGCATTTCCCAATACTTTCCAAAAAGTACCATACTCAATTTGTCAATAAATAATTGAATATCATTCACACATTTAGAAATTAATTGTTTTGGATTCAAATCTGGATTGTGAATCATTTTGGAAGGATTACACACCTCTCCAAAATATTCATAGAATTTAAGGCAAATTTGGCTTAAAGTGTGTGCCGGATTAGCCAATGTGAATGAAACGTGTTGTCTAATTTTTTGTTCGGTTATAGAATCGACTGGCATATCAGCCATATCATTTCCAGCAGAGACAGACAAGATTGGATTTAATATTGATGGCTTGGAAACTGTTTCCAGAAAAACTCTGTCCTGTTCTATCAGTATTGGATCCATATTTTGATAATTAAAGTAGGTATCAATGAATTTCGACCAATGATCCTGTTCCTTCCATCTAAATGTACGTTTCTTATTCTGAATTCGTTCCAAGAAGGACTCAACATTATTTCTCATTTCTGCTTGTCTAGCTCTTTCTATGCTTGTTTTTATCATTTGTTCTTTCATTTCTGTTAACCTTTGTTTTTCATATTCCTTTCTTTTCATTTGTAGCTATTTTGTTTAATATCCTAATCTGGTGTAAATTCAAACTTACAGTTTTACTAACGTCTTGCTTGGTTGTGTGATTTGTGGCAGTTTGATTTGCACCACTAGAAGATGGAGTATTTGGAGAAGTATGAGAAGTACCTGATGATGGTGATGTAACACTAGTAGTTGGTGGTGGAACTGTCGTTGATGCATTGCTTTGTGGAAATAGAGGTTTGCTAGCATGTGCCAATGAATGATTTGGTAATTTGGATCCAGAATTTGTAGGAGAAATGGTAGGAGGTTTCTTTGTTGGAATATTATTGGTTGATGATGTCGATGAAGGAGGAGAAGAGGATGTTTTGCTATTATTTGAATTAAAACTCGATGATGGAGAAGTATTAGCAGTTGTAGTTGTAGCAGTAGTAGTAGAAGTAGTAGTACTATTATTATTGATTGAATTATGTGTCGATTCCTTATTAAACATTGCAGAAAGTGAAGCAATTCTCTCCATAGACTGTTCCGAATATTTGATTAATTGTATCGATTGATCGGATAATACATGTTGTTGATTAGTAGAACAAGTCTTCATTTCTGCCTGAACAAAACTCGATATTTGCTCCATATACTTTAAATAATTGGCTAGTGCCATCCAGTGTTGCTGCTGTTCATCGTGGGTGATGGCCATCATTAGGGTCTTTTTAATATCATTCACGATGAGAATGGGTGGCGTGGCAGCAGCAGAACTATTGTTCGGCATTTTTTTTTTAATTGTTGTTACTTCTTATGAATCAATGTCGACTGAAAATTTCTATTTAGAAAAAAGGAAGATAAATTACAGTACATACAATTAACGGATGTTTCATTATCGATGTTGTTACAATAGCTGCTTTGAATCGATTATTATTAGTATTTTTTCTGGAAATATCTTAATTTTTTCCTTAAATTCCAAAGGAATGGGTAAGGAACTACAGAATATGAAACAAACTAATTAGAAATGAGTTTAGTTTTAAGGATGTTAATAAGAGTCATGTGTTTAGAGGTGAAATGAAATTATTCGAAACAGTCATTAGAGTAAGTAAGGAGGATTATAATGAATGTCGCGTAACCGAATTTTATAAGGTCAACCCCTGAATAGTTTCCAATAAATATTTTGCTCAATGATTCGGCTAAGCCAAACATTCGAATAAAATTGTTTTCACAATTGCATACGAAACCCATTATTGTATCCAAAGCCTCTGAAATATCTTTTGTTCCGTGCCAAAGAACATGAAAAGTGTCAATCTTTTTTACCCTCCATCCATCAACGTCAACTGTAAAACAACAATAAAAAAATGATTAGCACTTCAAGACCAAGTCTCTCTGGTTGGACAGAAATTTTCGATGAAAAACACCAGAGGTTTTATTATTTTAACCCATCAACTAATGAAACATCGTGGACACAGTAAGTAGTTTGGTTTCGTACACTTTCGTCAACTTTCGGATATAAAGTCCAAAAGAACAAGAAACTCCAGCAGAACAACAACAACAAAATCATTCTTCTTCAACTTCTACAAATACAACAATAACAACAAATGAACTAGCACTTTCAACACTTTCTTCTAGATTATCCGAAACTGATAAAAAAAAGAAAATGGCAAAAAAGAAAAATCAAAGACGTTTTGCAAGTATAGCCGATCAATACTATCTCGTTTTCAAGAGAGTTAAAAAGTTAGAAGATGAGAAACCTTTAGGATATGATTCGTTAACAATCAAGGATAAATTTATCCTATTTCAATTATCACATTTGACATCTGTTAAATCAGGTACAGTAAGATTAGCAGAAATGGAAAAGGAAATCAAAGAATCTGAAATGTTATTTTCATGTCTTAGAGGAGACACTCAAAAATTCACAGAATTAGTTTCCAAATATCCAAAGAAATTATCTGAAACTCTACCAACGTCCAAATTGAATATTTTACATTTAGGAGTAGCAAGTGGAAATATTCACATTGTAAAATATATAATTTCTCTGTTACAGAATATGAAATCAATTTCAATTGATCAAAATACTTTTAATGGATTAACTTCATTGCATATTGCTTGTTTATTTGGTTTATTTCAAATTGCTAGCTTGTTAATTGAGTTTGGTGGTGCAGATACTAATGTTACTTGTAATTGTATTCCAGTTGCTCCTCCTTATTTACAAAAACCACTTACTTATTGGAATAATATTAAGGATTGTTCTGTAAATTCCTTTACACCATTCCTTTATGCTGTGTTTGGTGGTAGTTTGGAAACTGTTATCATGTTTGCCAATTTAGCAAAAGTTGGTGTTAGTATTGAACAGAATAGAACCGGTTTCATTACAGATGCACTTTCATTGGCCTGTATTTTACAACATGTTAAAATTGTTGAGCTATTTTTGAGAGAGGATTATATTTTCAATTATGATCCTAATTGTATTGATGAATATGGTATGACTCCTATTATGTTTGTTGCCATGTCATCTGGAAATGCCAGTAAGTATTTAAATTCTCTATATTAGTTTAATGATTCATTTCATTGTTAATTCACATTCAAATTGTTAAACAATTGAATCATTCAGTTGTCGTTTCAAAACTTGTTAAAAAGTCTGCAAGTATCGTTGGTGTGAATAGATTGAATGGCTACTCTTGTTTACACTTTGCCATCAATAATGGAAATTATGGATTCATCAAGAGATTGTGTCAAGAGAAGGAAGGAAGTGAAGAATTGGCCCTCGTCTTGAGAACTCACAATGCCAAACAACCACTCAATCCACTTCAATATCTGAATAGTCCTGAAGCTCAAAATCAATTTACTCCCGAGCTGAGAAAAAAGACAGAAAATATTCTTAAAGCACATGGTGCTTCTGAAAAGAAAGGTTTCAGTGATATTGTAAAGGAAGGATATTTGACAAAACAAGGACACGTTGTCAAGAATTGGAAAAAGAGATGGTTTATTCTACGTGTTGGAGAATTGCAATATTTCAAGAGTATTCAAAAGCTTAAAGAGCCAACTGGTGCTATCAATTTGGAGAATGGAAGTTTAGCTAAAACTTATACGAAAAATTGTTTTGTCTTGTATGATTCAAAGAATGATAAGAAATTTTTCATTCAGGCTGCAACAGATGAGGAAATGAAAGAATGGTGGGATGCTATCGCATTCTGCATATCTCATGCTGGTGGTCAATAAATAGTTTATTAATATTTGAAATCACACTGCTTACCATAATTAGGAAAAGCAGAAGATGTTAGTTATTAAAAGGATCTCAGAATTTATGAAATAGGGCACATGAACAAGGTATGTCGCTTCTTTCAAGGAACTTCATGTTCGGTTCACTGAATCTCCCCTTAATTCCATCATGTAATCAACAGTTAATCCTCCTTAATTGATTTGGCTAATCGTGAGGATCTTTGGAATGTGGAGTTTCAATATCATGAGCTACGTGGTCTTTGTCTATTACATCCACACCTGCGAACTCGTTACAACCAAAAGAGTACTCCCTTTCAAGTTCCTTCTCTTCTTTATCCTCATCGTTGGTATTTTGTGGTTTAACAGGAGATAAAGGTTTGGCACTTTTCACATTAGCTGAAACTGCTTGCTTTCTAGGAGAATGAAAGCTGTCTCCTCTTGGTGTCTTGCTTGGATGGGAGCCAGCACAGTTAATAACAATCTCTGAATTAACATCCCCTTCATAAATTTCGGATCCAACAGTTCTTGGTGATTGTTGTGAACCCATTGTGTGGCTTCCATGTATTATTGAGGAAGCTCGCTTAAACTCGGCATGATGATCGTTGTGAAGTGTGTTTGTACTGTGAGATTTTGTTTCGATTGGGTGTATTCTCTTTCCGTCTGAAATTTTCTCAATCTTGTAAGAAAATGTGCTTTCTGTAATGGCTGCGCTTGATGTTTCCATTTGAGTAGTTTCAGTTTCCTCAGCTCTTTTGGCATTATTTGCAGCATTCTTTTCTTCCAACTTTTCCACTTGTAATCTTCTCTTTTCCATAATATATTCGTAAGTTGTCTGATTCCTGTAAACTGTTGGTTGGATTTGGTCAACTCTATTATTGTTAAAAAAAGCTACTTACTCAATTTGATATGAAGAATAAAAAGCTGAGTTATTGAGAGAGCTACCATCAACGTAACAAGACCACCTAATGCTACATAACACAAGTGAGCTATAGGATGGCTGAAAGTATAAACACTCAGAACTATTCAATAATAAATAACATTTAGAAATATGTGAACGTTTCCACTTACGTCTTTCACTGAAATCATCATACCATATACTGGAATCAATAATGAAAATTACTTTGGCAAACACTGTGTAGAGTAATAACAGAAAAGTATCGCAAAGGAACACAAAGAACACTTTGTAGTTTCTTCTTCCAATGCACATGTTCAACCATCTGCAATGATGATCAAACCCAGACACACATTTCATACATAATTTACAATGTTTGCTCGATTCATATCTAAAAAAGATCAATTAAGAATTCAATCCAAAACCTACACTATCAATTTACAATGTTGACAAAATACTATTTTCTTCCCTTCATAAATTGGGTCAACACCCTTATCTTTCATAATTAAATGTTCATCAGCTGCATCAAAAAAAGTCAATATTAAATGTGTGATTGTACTCGTCGATCCCATTAAGAAATAAATTATTGTTGCTGGAACAAGAAATTCCACCCTCGCCACAGTGGAAATCATTAAATAGAAATCAAAATGTAAAAGTATCATGCCTATCCAGGCCAATACTTGAAAAACATCAACAGGCCACTGAAGGCCATGTTTCCTCCGAACATTTCTCTTCCGAATGCCTCCCTAATAATACTGTTGATCCAAACATTAATAATCAAGTTACCTACCTTGCAGTCACACCCGAGACACATTTTCTTTGAAAATTATAATTATAATACTCGTAACAATGTTGTATTAATTCATAAAGCGATTTATCTCCTTAAAAATCTTAGCGTTTTTAAATAATACAAAAACCACTCCTCTTTTCCAACAAGTATAATGGTCTATTGCTTATTGTTCTTCTCTTTCTTTGTATACACTCCCAAAAAGATAACACTCGTTATTATTTAAGGTTTGTTGTTGACAACTTTTTTTGCGAATGAATGGTGAAAATAAGGCTTTGAAGTTTTGGACATCCGCATTAGCAATAAACAACATTTGTTCCACTAACTACACAAAGCGCGGCAAATCAGCTTCAGGTGTTAGGACGCACAATTCATTGAGGGCAAATTTTGCTCAATTTTAAATGAAATAATACATCAGCAAATGTCATATGAAATGTATTATCATGTAATTATAAAGATGAAGTTATTAATAATATAAAGATGAGCATCAGAGAGAATAATGCAAAATTCAATAGTAAGAAAGTGTGTTGAGGCAGTTGTAGAAAATTGGCGCCAAAATTTGAAAGGTAAAAAAACAGTAAGCAAAAAAAATGAGTGTTCAAGCAGCTTCAAGCCAGGGCTAGTAGTACCTTCCTGAGGAAATCTCAAATGGCAAATAATAGTAGTAATGTTTCAGAGAGTGTGGGGATGATTGATACAGATCTTGTTGAATTATATACACATTGTGTTTTATGTATTGATAGATATCGATCGGATAGTGGAGGTTATCCACCTGACACTTTTGTTGAGCATTACTTTGATGATATGGATTTAGAGAAAAATAAGAAAGATATGGAATTTATTTCGGAACTTATAGTTGGATTGGAACGATATGAAAACTTTATCAATACGACTTTGGATCTATTTGCAAAAAGAAGTTCTGCTGAGGAATTTTTAATTTTAAACAGAGAAAAGACGGACTATTCTGTGGTTTTGTATATGCTCTATTTTATCTTCCCTGAAAAAGCAACATTTGCATTCCTTAAATTATTTTTCTCTAATGCACTTGTACCTGTAAAGAGACAGCGATTTATTCAATTCATTTTCAATTCGGACATAATTGCTGAAAAGTGTGTCGATGAATGGAGTAAGCATTATGAAATAGCTTGGATAGAAGCTGAAATTATCTCATCGGTAAAGGAAAATCAAGGCACTGTTTTGGATTATGCAGCCACTCTTGTTGATAAATCAAAACCTCAGAGAAAAGCCGATACAGTGATGGAGCCATTCAACTTGACAGAACAAAAACCCAAGACCCTCCCAGTAGAGGAAGTTATTGATTTTAAATTTAAGACAAAGGAAGTACCGGCTACAACCTACCAACCAGAGCATCCAGGTATTGCTAAAGCTCTGGATATGTACAGGGAAGGTAAAAGAGTGCCATTCCTTGACGAAAAGGTATTGGAAAAGAATAGAAATGAGATGAATAAGTTGCGAGAAGAAATGGAGAAGAGTAAGCTCAATAATTCTACTCTCTTCCAAAAGAAGAAGAAAGATGCAGAAGAGTTTGCCAAAAAATACGAGGAAACAATTCCTTCCCCCAAGTTTGTAGTGAAAGACATCGAACAAGTTAGAAAGATACTAGATGCTCCAGCTAATGTCAAACTGAACGCGGCAGCAATCTTGAGAGAAGAAGCCATTGTCAGAAAGAAGCAAGGAAAAGAAGCTGAGTTGTTAAAGAAATACGAGACTGAATTGAGAGATGACTCTGAGTTTGTAAATTGGAAGGAATCAATGAAACTTATGGATGAAAAAAAACAACTGGAAGATATTGAAAGAAAGAAGAGAGAAGCTATGGAAAGTGATCTCAATGCAAGATTAATGAAGGAACAATTTGCAGAGAAGAACACTATTATCGCCTCAGAACAGAAAAAGAAAAGGGAAGCAGATGTTAATGCACTGAAAGAAAAACTTGTCACTTACCAAAAGATGCAAGAAGAAAAAAACAAAGAGTTTGCAAAGGCCAGAGAGGAAAAATTGAAGGAGGTAAAGAAGGAAATTAAGATTGAAAAGAAGAGAACTGCCTATGAAGTGAAAAAACAAAGAGAAGTCAATGAAAAGATAATTAAGAAACAACAAGAGGAGGAACAGAAGAAGAGAGAAGAGTTGATGAAACAAATCAAAGCTTTAGTGAGTGGCTCAAAACGTCAAACAAAAACATTCGATAGAACAGAAACTTCAGAAGTTGGTCTTCTAGCTGAAATGTCTATACAACAATTAAAGGAGGAACTTGATGGTCTTAAGAAAAAACAAGAACAAGAGCGAGAAGAAAAGAAATCTCAAATTATTTCACAAAAAAAGGAAAAGGAAAATGACATGCAGGCAAAACTTTCCTTACTTCGAAAACATAGAGAACAAACGAAGAAGGAACGAACAACCAATAGAATGAAAAAGATTGAAACTATGGAGACTCAAAACAAGCAGGCAGAAGAAATGAGACGAGAGGGAATGATAGCCCTCAGTGAAAAGATTGAGCAAAAGCGAGACCTGAAAATGAAAGAACTCAAGCAACAAGCAGAACTGAAGAATCAACGATTGAAAGAAAAACAAAGACTTCACCAAGAAAAAGAAAATGTTGAGAAGAAGCACTGGGAGAATCAAGAAATAGGTGCAGAACGAGAATGCCTTATAAGATTTGAAAATCAAAAACGAAGTGCTCCTGTTAGAAATCGATCCAAGAAAATAGGTCTTTATAAAACAAGTGACAATATAACTGAAGCCATACATCACGAGGAGGAAACACCAATTAACGAGGAAGTTGAAGATCATCCTGAAGACACAACTCACAATACATCTGCAGCAGAAATAAACTAACAATGCCAAAAATCATTATGAATTTGAAGCTATTTTTCAGTATCAGGTGTCTTCTTCTGGAGATTGAAAGAAATTGTGGATTTTGTTGAACTTTTAACAGAAAGAGGAGTTGATCTAATGGATTGATTTGGAGTCGACAACATTAATTCGTCCTCTTCTAATTCATCCAATTCGATTGTTTCCTCTTGATTCTTTTTCGATTTTTTCGACAAGTACTCTTCATACTTGTTCGGAATGAGTGGATCATATTCATCAGCATCTCTAGTAGAATTATTCATTGAATTATTTAATTTCCTCTTATTGTGTAGTGTTTGGCTTGCATCTTCAGTCGGATCGTCAATTATTGTTCCAATTTTCTTTACATTATCACTTGATGATTTGAAGGGATTACTCCTTGGTGTTTGCTTTAATTTTACAGATGATGGAACCAAAGAGAATGAACTCAATCCTTTAGGTTTAGCTGGTGCGATATTCTCCTCTGGTGTTGCAACAATTAATTGTTTGTTCTCCTCCTTTGGTTTTTCTTCCGAACATGAAACTACCAATGAGTTGCTCACTTTATCTATTGTTGTTTTTGATGGAGTGGCAATCGGAGTGTCTACTGCAGTTTCCTGTTGTTGATTTGATGTTTGTGTTTGTTTTGAAGGAAGTGGGAGTGAACCAAACAGTGACATTTTTTGCAATTATTTAAATATTAATTCATGGTTGACAAATTCTAAAGTATTTATAATAAATTAAAGTTTTCTAATTGAGATACCTCCCACAAAATCGCAATACTTATATGCTGGACTCCAAATTCCACTATCATATTCAGTAGGCAGAACTGTATCACAAACCATTCCCTTTGAAATAACACGAATGGAATCAACTGTTTTTCCAATATTTGGTAATCTCCAAAAGAGTGATTGAGTTTCACATGGAACAAATGAATCAATGAGAGGAATTTGTTCATTGTGAAGAATAGTTGCCTTTCCTTGAGAGTTTGGTGCTGAAAGAAGGGCAATTTCCAAATGTAAATTTTGAATGGTTGTTGTGAGAGGGAGATTGGTATCTCTCTTTGTAGAGGATGGTGGTGCAACACATGGATATTTGACCTTAATGTTAAAATCATTTTCCTTGACAGGTGTCATTGAAACATCTAATGGGAATGCAGCAACTGCAAAGAATGGTTTAAAACATGTCTTGTCATCATTTGGCTCTGCATGTTTCCACATGTTACAAAAATCACTGACAGAATATCTGACTGTAGTTGGGTTTCCATCTCTATCCCAAGGATCCAACATGATAATATGAGATACTTGATTATTTGATGTTTCGTATCCAACAGCAACTCTATAGTGTCCTGAAGATGTTGGACTATCTTTGAATTTCATTAAACACATTACAGGAATATCATTCTTCAAAAATTGATTGACCAAACTATCAACCCAACATTTAGTTGTGGTATCTTGTCTGGCTTGTTCACATGGCAACAAGGTATTTCTATCAGGATAATACAATGTAACCAAACCAGAATGCTCGAAAATATTTGCTGGAATTGATGCAAATGAATTATTTGCCAAACCAAACCAACCATTCTTTGGAGAAACTTCTGGAAATTGGATATAATGTTGACTTTGAGGAGTAGAACTAATTGGTGAAAATCTAGCTCCTCTCACAACATCCAAACTCAATGTTCCTGAATGATTTGAAGTTCTAGCAACATCAATAATAGCTCTCTGATCAATAAACTTTTCTCTATAATAATACGAGAGCACCATATTCAAAGAGGCATCACCACATGAATAATCTGTGATTTGATGCAAATATGGCACGTTCATAATTTTGTCTTTGAGTGGCGATATCATCTTCAATTCTGCTCCTCTCACCACCTCCTGGATTCCGAAGAAGCACACAACAATCATCATGACAATAAATGCATTAATAGGTGCACACCCATCAGAGTGATGACTCACTTTTGGAGACATTTTTTTGTAAGACTTGTCTCAGTCTTGAGCAGTAACATCTTATGTAATCTTCTTCTTTTATTCTCCTCAATAAGCACTTTTAGTCCTTTCTTATTGAATTTTCAATAATAATTATCATCATGAATTTTTACAATGAATTTTACATTTTCAATATAAATATATTATGAATATTAATAACCAGTCCAAGTAGCTATGCTCATACAACCGTTCAATTATCCCAAAATGATTCTACAGTTCTCATATCGATTGTAGAAAAAACAAGAGTTTCTTATTCGTTCGGATTTTTTCTATATCTCTCCGGTTGATCATGACTCTTTGAGTACAGAGAGAGAGTTGGTTTTCTATTTACCATTCCCATTCTCAATAATACGCCATTAATTGTTGCGATTGATCAGAATCAGATATTATTATCAAAGCCTTTAATGTGTTTGTGAATGTTGCTGTTTTTTGTCGCTATTTTGCCTCTCTCTTGTAAACACCATTTCTGTTGTTTAAAAACAAATTTAAAAAAAAAGAAATTGCCATCTGTGGTTGTTTGCGTAGCGAATCACTCTTCTTTGAACATTGAAATTTTGTTCTACTACTCCTTTGTATATTAGTGATACACAACTTTAAATTGGTTGTATTTGTAAAAAACTTAGTGTAAAATATTGTATATTTAAACTTATAGAAATGAAGTCAACCATTAGATCGGGTGTTATTGGAAAGTTTAAGAATCAAAGCAAATTGTTGATGAGTGGAGTTTCATCATCACCACTTGTTATTGGTAACAAGAGATTGATCAACTCAACCATGAATAATTTAATGATGGAAAAGAGGTCTTTTTCACAATGTGCCATTAAATTTAACAAGCCAGATTCCGAGATTCCTGATTCATTCGAAGAATCTTACAAAATGTCCATCGATTTCAAAACTGGTGGTGCTGAAAAGTTCTGGGCTGCTCAGGTAAGTTGTAATCTTTACTGTTTCTAATTATTACCATGTTTAGGCTGATGAGTTGAGTTGGATTACTCCATACACAAGAGTACTCAACAATGACAATCCTCCATTCACAAAGTGGTTTGAAGGAGGCACTATTAATGCATGTTATAACTGTTTGGATGTTCATGTTAATAATGGAAGAGGAGATCGGGTTGCTGTAATTTATGACAGTCCTGTATCAGCCAAATACAATAATGGACAACCTGTTGTAAGAAAGATCACCTATTCTGAGCTTTTGAAAAATGTTCAACTGCTTGCTAATGTTATGAAAACTAAATTTGGTGTTAAGGTAAGTTTGACCAGCTCAGTAATATTAAAAATATTCAGAAAGGTGACAGAGTAGTAATCTATATGCCAATGATTCCCCAAGCCCTAGAGGCAATGCTTGCCTGTCAAAGATTGGGTGCTATTCACTCTGTTGTTTTTGGTGGTTTTGCTAGTCATGAACTGGCAATTCGTATTCAAGATGCCACACCAAAACTGATTATTTCCTCATCATTTGGTCTTGAAGGAATGAATAAGACAATTAATTATAAGGAAATTATTGACGATGCCTTTGTAAAGTCTGGAGAAGCTGCTAATGGATTAAAGTCTCTTATTTATCATAGAGAGAACTTACCAAAAGTCAATCTCCAAGAAGGAAGAGATTATGATTGGGAAACCTTAGTGAATGCTAAGGATAACAAACCAATGAAGGAAGTTGAAGCTGTTTCTTCAACTGATCCAATGGTAAGTAATTTTCAACTATCTCAATTTCTTAAAGAAAAAAGTATCTTCTCTACACAAGTGGAAGTACAGGTAAGCCAAAGGGAGTCGTTCGTCCACTTGCTGCTCACTTGACAACTCTGAAATGGAGTATGAAATCAGTTTTTGGAATTGAGGAAAACGATGTCATGTGTGCGATTAGTGACATAGGATGGGTAGTAGGCCATAGCTATATTGTCTATGCTCCTTTATTGAAAGGTTGTACCACTGTCATGTTTGAAGGCAAACCAATTGGTACACCAGATTCTTCTGCCATTTGGAAACTCGTATCTCAACACAAGGCCAACGTCGTCTTTTTTGCCCCAACAGCTGCTCGTGCCATTAAGAAGGAAGATTTGAATGGAGATCACATTCGTAATAATGATCTGAGTAGTTTGAGAGCATTGTTTGTAGCTGGTGAAAGATGTGACACAAGTACCTTGTTTTGGTTACAAGAACACTTAAAGAGACCAGTCATTGATAACTATTGGCAAACAGAAACTGGTAGTCCAATTTGCTCTGTTTCACTTGGTTATCAAAAGGATTATTCAAAGATTAAGGTAGCTCCAGGCTCTTGTAACAAACCAGTACATGGATGGAATATTAAGATTCTTCCAATTGAACAAGCAGACCAAGAATTGGATACTAATCAACTCTCTGAACTTGCTGAACATAATGAGGGTTATATTGTTGCCAAGTGGTAAGTTAATTGTCAACTTTCTGAATTTCTTAATCAAAATAGTCCACTTCCTCCAGGATTCATGTCAACAGTTTGGGGTAATAATGATAGATTTGTTGATGGATACTTCAAGACATTTGCTAAATATTATAAGGCAGGTGATGCTGGACATATGGATAAAGATGGAAATGTCTATGTCATGACAAGAACTGATGATATTATCAATGTTGCTGCACACAGACTTTCTACTGCAGAAATGGAAGAATTATTACTTAGACTTCCAGAAGTTGCTGAAGCAGCTGTAATTGGTATTAAGGATGAATTGAAAGGGCAAATTCCTATTGGTTTTGTCGTTCTCAATGAAAAATTCAAACATGTTCCAAGAGTTGAAATTGAAAAAAGATGTGTTGAAACCATTCGTAAGAATATTGGTGCAGTTGCTGTTTTCAAAATCGTCATGATTTGTGAAAAGTTGCCAAAGACTCGTTCTGGTAAGATTTTAAGAGGAATAATGAGACACATTGCCGACGGAGAGAAGTATGTATTCCCATCAACCATTGAAGATGCTACTGTTCTTACTGATATTGAAAGAGTTTTGGCTGAACATAATCTTCCAGCTCCATCTAATTAAATAAATTCTAATAATCAAAATATTTGAATATTCGATTGACCATTCAACGATTAACTTGATCAAAAAATAATATTAAATTAATTGGCGTTTTGGATAATTCAATTAATTAAAAAAATGTCGGAAGGAAATACTCCACAAACATTGTCATCCAATAATAACATCGTTGAACAGGAAGTGAATGATTTTATTCAGAGAGGAAATAAATTAGTGTATGAAGGCAATATTACGGAGGCTGTTGAAGTTTTCAGTAAAGCCATTGAAATTGCACCAGATAATCCATTTGTTTATGATATGAGAGCTTCGGGTATGTGGATTTATTTATCATGGCAATAATTAATCATCATTAATTAGCCTACATTTTGATGGATGAATATGAGAAGGCTGTATTTGATGCTGAGAAATCTATTGAAATTAAACCTTCATGGTCTCAAGGATATTTCAGAAAGGGTTTAGCTTTATCACTTGTTGGAGATATGGAAGCAGCAATTAATACTTTAAATGCTGGTTTGGAAGTCAATCCAAAGCATGCATCCATGATCAAATTGAGACAAGATTTATTGGATTATGTCAGTCAAAATAATGAGGAAAATGTAAATATTCTTGGAGGTGATGATTTGGAACCATTTACTGATGATGAAAAACTTCCAGTTACAATTTTGAGTGGATTTCTTGGAAGTGGAAAAACCACTCTTCTCAATCACATTTTACAAAATAAGGAAGGTCTCAAAGTTGCTGTTGTTGTAAATGATATGAGTGAAGTCAATATTGATGCTGAATTGGTGAATCAATCTAGTGCATTGTCTCGTGTTGATGAAAAGATGGTTGAAATGACCGTAAGTATTTCATTAACTACTACTGTGTTAATTCTTGAACCTCCTTCAGAACGGATGTATTTGTTGTACATTGAGAGAGGATTTACTTCAAGAGGTTGGTAAATTGGCCAAGCAAAAGAAGTTTGATTATCTCCTCATTGAATCAACAGGCATTGCTGAGCCATTGCCAATCGCCCAAACATTCTTCTTCCAAGACCAGAGAGGTAAAATGCTTTCACATTACACAAGATTGGATACTTTGGTGACTGTTATTGATTGTTTTAATTTTATGAAAGATTACACAAGTGATTCTACATTGGCCACAAGAAACATGGGAATTAACGATAATGATAATAGAAATGTTGTGGATCTCCTTTTGGACCAAATCGACTTTGCCAATGTCATTATTTTGAACAAGACTGATTTGATTAGTGAAAAGAAATTAGGAAAACTCGAAGCAATTATTAAGAAATTGAATAATGATGCTGTAATTATCAAGTCTGAATATTCAAAGGTTGACCTCAGGTCCATACTTAATACCAAACTCTTTGATTATGAAAAGGCTCTCAAAACACCAGGATGGATTAAAGAGCTTCAAAAAGAACACACCCCAGAAACTGAAGAGTATGGAATCAGTTCGTTTGTATATAGAAGAAGAAAACCATTTGTACCACAAAAGTTATATGATTGCATCCATGATGGAAAACTCAAAGGTATAATTAGGTCAAAAGGATTTTTCTGGCTTGCCAGTGATAATAGCACACTTTATGAGTGGGCAACTGCTGGGCAAACATTTTCCTTTGCTCCAAAATCAGTTTGGTTTGCATCCCTACCTGAGGAAAAGAAGCAACAAATTCCAAATGAGAAGGTTGAAGAAATTCTTCGGGAAACCAAATATGAAGGAAAATTCGGAGATAGAAGACAGGAAGTTGTGTTTATAGGAAGTAATATGAATAAGGAAGAATTAATAGACACTTTGGATCAATGTTTACTCACAGATGAAGAGATGACTTTGGAAATGACTGAATGGGAAAGTAACTATGCCAATCCATTCAAAGAGTTCATGCATCAACACAAACACCAAGACTAACAAGTTCAATAAATGAGCTTATTCACACCTATATAAACAACAGGAGAGAAGACATAAATATTTGGCCCAAAATCTCTTTGGGGTTCTAATTGATTATCCGTTCTAACTCACCTAAGCCTTATTATGAAATTTTGTCTTATTGGAGCTTAAACAAAATATGCAAAGCTACATAAAAGTTCAACCTACAATTTGGCGGCAAAAGCAAACTTCCACAAGAATATCAGGTAACGGGAGAAATATTCTCTTGTTGAATGCAATAGAAATTTTTCTTGCATCGAATATTCTCTCCAACTTTTAAATAAAAATATCTCCAATTCATCTCGTACGAGATTCTACCTCCTCACCATCATCTTGCGCTAATTGTTCTGGCCACAGATTAAATTCTTCATCATCATCTTGAAATTAAGTGGATATTCTTCCAATCTGATAAATCAAATAACCTTTTACTAACTAACGTTTATTGATCATCATCAATTTAGTATATATGGAATTTTTCTTTACCGATGTCTAACCAATTCAAGAAGAATAACAATAATACCAACAACAATTCTGATACAAACCAACCAATCAGATTGAGCAATATTTTAGATCTGCGAGGTGTTAACGATACATTGCCAGACAATTACATCCAACCTTCTAACCGAAGTGGAAATCAACAAAATAATAACAACAATACACCAATGGTAAGCCTGGATAGCATATTGGGTATACGAAATTCATCAACCCTATCTGATAATCCAAATCTCTATCAAGGTCATATTAACTTCCATCACAGTGTACATCATGATGGCCATCATGTAATAGACCATGTTGATCCCGATCTCCACCAACAAGAACAACAAAGATTAAGAATGTTTAACTCTGCTGGAGGTGGTGGAGCCAGTAATGGATTGCCTTCAATACCAAACCTTCCACAAAATATGAGTTCAATTCTTAACACCAATGAATCGTCCAACAATAATAATAATAATAATTCGAACATTAGAAATACCAGTGCAGATCATCCAAATAACTATAATTCATATCAACAATCCTCCAATTCTATGCAAAGTTATACTAATAATAATAATAACACTAGCAGTAATAGCTACTTTAACAATAATTCAAATAACTATATGCAACAACAGTCCTATACTAATAATAACAATAATAATAATAACAACAGTAATAATAACAACTACTTTGATAACACAAGCCAATATTCCAATAACCAAAACAGTAATAACTATAACAACTTTAACAGCAATGGTTTTAATGCATTTACAAATAATAATAATAATGGCAATGGTAACTTTTACGAAAACAATAATAATAATAACAATAACAATAATAACAGAAATAATAACAATGGTGGAGGTCAAGATGACTATTCTCAAGATGTTATTGTTTTGGTTGTTGAACAACAAAAGAGAATTTATCAATTAGAAGAAGAATTGCAACGAGCTCAGGATTATATTAACAAACTTCAAGAGTATGTCACTTATCTTGAATCTGAAAAAGAAAAGAATTCCAAGAAACAAAGTAGATACTGGACTCAAGAAGAACACAAGTTATTCTTAGAAGGTATTGAAAAGTATGGCAAGAAGGATGTTAAAGCTATTGCTAATTTTGTTGGAACCAGAAATGCTACCCAAGTAAGGACACACGCTCAAAAATACTATGCCAAGATTGATAGGGAACAAAAGAAACACAGAGAAAAGAAATTGCAAGAAGCAAAGAAAAGAGTTAGTGATAAGCAAGAAAAGAAAAAGTCGAAACGAAAGAAGAAGAAATATGATGACGATGAAGATAGTTTATCTAATGCAGATTCCTCAAATCAAGACTTTATGGGCAGTAATTCTTCGAGTTTGAGCGACGTAGAACCAAAAGATGATGTAGAACCAATTCTTGACTCGACACCACACCAACAATTGACTGAAACCACCCTTACATAATTGACCTTAAATGTTTCCCAAGAATATTTGGAAACATTGGCACTGAGCTGTTCTCTTTTGTTTTGTGTGTGAAAATATGTTGCTTTCTTAAACAACAGAAAATAAACAAATCTTGAAAATGTTATTTGCTAATAATTATTGGTATTGACTTTTTAATTGGTCACCACTTGAAGATTGTTATCATCATCATAAAATATTTGCAACAACAGGATGGAAAATTTCAGTGATAAGAGAACAGCCAAGATTCTCTTGTTGTTGGAATTTTATTGTGCTTTAAAAAAAAATTTCTCTCAATAGCAGTGAAAGATGTCGTCTTCACCTTCATCATCGTCATCAAATGAAGAGTTTTCATCTTTTAGAAAAGTGCTGATTTCCATAGCTAGTTATAATGTTGAAATTGGTTATAGTATTTGTGGAGGTGTAAGTGGTACTGTGAGTAGAACAGTGGCTGCTCCATTTGAGAGACTTAAAATTCTCTTCCAAGTACAAGATCTTTCCGTACAAAAGCCAACAGGAAAAGATGTTAAATATAATGGTATAATAAGAAGTTTAATTAAAATCGGAAAGGAAGAAGGTATTTCGGGATATTTCAAAGGAAATGGTAGTAATGTTGTTCGTATCGTTCCATACACCGCTGTGCAATTTGTTTCATATGAAAAGTATAAAGAATGGATGATGAATATGAATCCAGATGGCCGATTAACAACCTGGCAAAGATTAAATTGTGGTGGTTTGGCTGGTATGACTTCAGTTATCGTCTCCTATCCTTTGGATGTTGTTAGATGTAGATTGAGTGCACAATATGAACCTAAAATTTATCATGGTATTAATCATGCTCTTAAACTTATTTATCAAACAGAGGGAATTAAAGGATTATATAGAGGAATTGTTCCAACATTGCTAGGTATTGCACCTTATGTTGCTCTCAATTTTACAACTTATGAACATTTGAAAGTTAAGAGTCTTGAATATTTAGGATCGGATAATTTAGGAGTTGTTACAAAATTGGTTTTGGGTGCTGTTAGTGGTACTTTTGCTCAAACTGTCAGTAAGTAATTAATTCAAGTATTATTATTACAATATTATTAATTACAATTTTATTAATTTAATACTTATTAATAATATTAGCCTATCCATTTGATGTCGTTAGAAGAAGAATGCAAATGGTTGGTATGAGTGGAGCTGAAGAGCTGCCAAAGACAATGCCTAGTGCATTCCGTCAAGTTTATCAAAAATATGGTTTCACTGGATTCTACAAGGGTCTCCTTTCAAATTATATGAAAGTTATACCTGTAGTTTCAATTAACTTTGTTGTTTATGAATATATGAAGATTTTCCTTGGTTTGGCTAAGAGTGGAAGTGGTGAAGTTTAAATGGGAATGATAATAATAGGTGTTTAGTTTGGAGATACGAGTAGTTCTGTAAAAAAAAATTGTATTGAAATTATTGTTTCTTCTTCTTTTTCTTTGTAGATTCTTCACTTTTCTCTTTCTTTCTCTTCTTTTTGACAGCGGTAGCTGCTGGTTCTTCAACAACAGGTACTGGCTCAGTTTCACCATATTCTGGTAGAACTGGTCTGCCATAGAGAGACATGTATTTGTCAAAGAGTGGTTTGAGACCTTCAAATGCTTCATGTACTTTTCTGGTTGGCATTAAGGATGCAATTCCAACACCAAGCGTTTCAGCCACAGCATAGTGGTACTCGTAGTCATCATAATCTGAAATTAAAAAGCTTCTATTATATGCTTTTCCTCTCTTGAGTTCTCCAACAATAAATGAATCAAATTTGGAGATACTCTCGTCAATTGGGGCCATAATTTCTTCATCCACTGTAAAGACAGCCGGCGTGGAAGCTAATCTCATTTCTTCTTGATCTTTTCTTAATTTTTCATTTAGCTGAGCTTCTCTTCTTAGCTTTTCCTTTTCTTCTTTTTGCTTTTGTTTGATTTTTTGCTGCTCCTCTTCTTCTCTCTTCTTTTTAATTTGTTCAATTTTTTTTAATTGTTCTCTTAGTTCATTTTCTTTCTTTTCCACTTCAGATGATCGTGAAAAAAGAGCTTCCAAATTTTGTTTTCTCCTCACTTCATAATCGTAATCATAATCTACACTTAATATTGGATGTGTCATTAACTTCTCTTTTGGAATACCCTTTGCTCTTTGTTTTAATATTGCTCGTGAGATGTCATAATATCTCTTCTTTAAATCTTCCACTGAACGTTTAATTGCAGATTCCTTGCTTTTCAATTCACTTGAACAAAACCTGTCATGTACAACAATAAAACGTAAATCAAATGTTTTACAAAGTGAAAATAATAAATCAGTTTCTTCTCTTGTCCAATCACTTTTTTCATCCATAGGTTCTATTATATTTTTATAATCATCATCCGAATATTGAAAAACTCTAGCCTTTTTGTTTAAAACTTCAAAAGGATAATTCAACTCCACAGGTTCATCGTCATCATCATCATCAACTCTAACCCAATGATAAAACACAGCCCCATCATCCCTAGCATTATTTATAAAAGGTTTCCATCTCCATTTATCTGTTGTTTGTACAATCTTTCTCTTTTGTGTTGATCGGAGTGGTGTTTCCGATATCCTAGTGGCTGTTGTTGGGCTTTTAAATGGTGTTCCTTCTTTTAAAGTTTTGGCTGTACTCTTTGGTGGAGTTTGAAGAATTTGATCAAGTGCTGATTTTTTGGAGTGTTGAACACCCAACAAATCGGCATAATCACTCATTTTTTTTTAAATATTTAATAATTTATAATAATAATATTTTTAAATAGTTAAATATTAGTTTGTATATTAATTGAAGCAATAGAAATTGTAATCTTTAGTTCATTGATAATCTGTGAGAATTTCAATAATAATAATATTAATATTTAAAATTGTTTTTTAATAAAGGTTACAAAAAAAGGAAGGAGAACGGAGTTGGGGGAAAAAACAGCTGATTGATCATTCTGATCATCAACACACGTGATCACAATAAGTATCATCAGGGATTAATTTACCCAAGAGTATTTTGACCACTGTATGTTACATAAAGGAAACCATCTTCATCCCTATATCTCTCATAAACATTACTCATTACATCAGTTTGTAATAATAAAACATCACGGCCCACAAAGAAGAAGAGAGATGTCGTTTCATTCAATGATAATCTATTTCTAACAACCATTACGAATTGACTCACAGTTAAATCAGCAGGTACCAGATACTTATTCTTATCAATGGATGGCAAATCCTTTTCAACTGATGATTTTTCGCAAATCACAGGAATACGATCACTGTATTTCTCTCTAACCTTCTTTGATTCTTCCATTCTTTCTGAGAGAGTTTTTTGTTCTTTAAAGATTTTACCAGTCTTGGTGATTGGTTTAACAGAGGGTATTAAATTTGGATCCATTGTTGTTGTAGAGTTATTGTTGTTGTTGGCTATTTTTTTGTGTAAATTTGCTCTCTAATTGGAACTATTAATAATTTCGTTAATGTTCTAATTGGAAGTCGTAATGGAACATGATTGGAAATAGACAGGTTCTTAAGGACGATACATACCATTAACGAATCTTTGGCCGATGTTAGAAGATGTCCTTAATAAAGAGTGAATCAGTGGTTGTTTTATTTACATCATCATTGGGGATTTGATTTCTTCTGGAGATTCTTGATTGAGAATTTCCTCAATATCAGCAGTTCCAGATTGGTTAAGTTGATTGGCAAGATTATGGTCTAGTTGGATGGTTGTAGAGATTTTCTCATCGAGGAAGAGAATGGTTTGATTCTCTTGAAGGAAGAGATTGAGAATGATTGGAAGATAGAGTGATATCATTTTGATATGTTTAGATTCATGATTTTCACTTTCTTGATAGCTGAGGGATTTTGTGAGAATATCAAATTTGAAAATATACTAACCTTAAATTACAAATAAATGTATTTACAGTATGAACATCGGTGATTTGATTATAAGGTACAAATAATTCAGTCTTATTCTTGTTAGAAGGGTCAATAATAGAGAATCCTGTTTCGTCCAAAATCATATACTTTTTGTACCATCTATCATCCTTAATTAAAACTTCCAATGATGAGTGGTCCATATAATTAGGTGTTGAGTCTTTCTTTTCTGTGGTAGTGAACATATTTACAAGTGGACCTACACTATAAGAATAGAGTCCAGAGAGATAATAATTGAATGAGGAGCTAGTAGCATTAGAGGCATTATTAGTTGTTGGAATAATAGATTGTGAGGATGTTTGAGATTGTTGTTGAGCTTCAACCTCTGCAATTGATTTCTTTGAGGTAAAATTTGAAGGTGTCAAACTCTTAATATATGAGAATGGATCCAATTTTTTACCTCTTGCTGAGTAAATGAGTCGCCCATCAGATTCTGTCTCATCTTCACTGTCCTCTCCATATTGAATTTCCTTCAAGAATCCATTCTCATCAACTTTTAATTCAATAGCACGTTCCTTTCTCTTTTTTGAAACGGATCTTGGTTTTGATCCATACATTCTCAATTGATCCAAAACATGATTAATAACCGAACAAGCATTTGTGATACTCTTCAATCCAATAAAATAGTATGAAGTCAAATTAGTTTGAATCAATAAAACTGATTTAAATAAATAAGTAGTCTTTGATGCAAGTTGTATATCTTGAAATGGAATAATAATACAATTAGCATGACTTTTCAATTCCTTTTGTTCATTGGGAAGTTGTGTATATACATCTTCCTCTTCAATATAACCTCCACCACTATTGCCCATCATCATGGATGAATTAATTCCTGGAACACCACTACCAACAGAAGAAGAATTATCAGCACCTCCCTTACCTCCATATTCAAATAATACAAATCTCGGAGTGATATACAAAGTACCACCTGATGGAGCCACTGTATAATTCCAATACTGACAAGGAAACTTTTTAATTAATAAAAAGGCATGTCTATCATCGGCAATATTCACCACATTATTCATCGTTGCGTGTGTGGATGAGTTTGGAGAACCAACTCGGAACGATGATAAGTGTTGCATTTTTTTACTAGTTTTTGAAATTTGAATTAATTGGAGCTATTTTTACAAATTGATGAACGTGATGATTTATCATGTTGTTTTGAGATATTTGACCAATTTAGAGACATTTTCAAAACTATTTGGTAATATTTGACCAATCAGATATTTGATTGGATAGCTGTGTGCATTGTAATATTGTTGTAAATTGTATTGTGTAATGGTTGACTAAAATCTTTTACATTAGTTGACAATCCCTTGTCTTTGAGAATAATTCTCTTTGGTGATTGTAATAAACAAGTGTTTTGGCAAAAATCTCTGCCAAGTATTTTGTGCTTCCCTCTCCAGTCATTGCTGAGCTTTCAACATAGGTACAACAACCTGTTGAACGAGCCATCAATTCTCCTTCACTGAAACTGATTGGTGTTGTAAAGTGTTGAAACTTTAACTCTTTTAGAACTTTTGAACTATTCCTCAAATCAGCCTGGCATCCTATTAAAATGATTGGACTGTCTGGGTTGTAATGTCTAATTTCTGGAATCCATTTGTGTTGAATATTCTCAAAACTTATACTGGAAACAGTACTGAAGCAAGCACAAAATAAATCAGTTTCAGGATAACTAAGCGGTTTTATCCTCTCATAACTATTCCAGTATAATTAAATAGAGAGCATAACCTTTCAGTACTTACTCTTCTTGACCTTCGGTATCCCACAAATAAAAATTACAAATCTCCTTATTATTATAATGGTATGAAACACACGAGGTATTATATGAATGATAGTAGAATTGAGGTGCATAACCGAAACCCAAATAGTGGATTAACCAGGTTTTTCCAATACGTCCATCTCCAGTAAATATCAGACTGAAATTAAATTCAAAGGAGATTGATGATGGTCAACTTACAATCTTTTTATGATTCGACTGTTGTCCTTCTGTGCAAACTTCCTTTCTCAAATCCACACCTTTCAAAAGTTCCAAATCATTCTCCTCAATCGTTGATTTAATTTCCTCAAAATGCTGATAAAGTTCCTCCTTAATGGAATGTTTCTTGGCCACTACTTTACTTCGTTCTTTTAAAGTTTCCTCAATTTCATGTTGAACTTTTTCCTTTAATTCCAAGAATGACTTTCTCTTATCCATTTCCAAAAATACGTACAGATCATACAATTTATTCATTCTTTCGAATATTATTTATGAAACTCAAAATTCCTCAATTAAAGAGAAATGGAGGTGTTTCAAGAAGAAGGAATGGAACTGGTGCATAAAAAGAACCCTAATATTATTTTGTATTGGTTCTGGTTGTATGGTTATCCGTTTAGAATAAACTTAAAAACAGATTGTGAAAAGTGATTTCGAATAAATAAAAAATGAACAGCATAACCAAGGCAAGACCTTGGAGACTTGCTGCAGCAATTTTAGGTATCATCTTTGTGGGTGTTTTACTATTCGAAATGATGCAGATTCGTGTAAAACCAACCTCGAAACCACCAACAATAATAGAAGTAGATCCAGTAACTACTACTACTTTGACTAAACCTAAACAACCAGAAAAGGAATTTACAATCTGGTCAACAAGTTATCGTATGTATTATTAGTTTCGTCTAGTTTCGAATAATAATAATTTTCGATTAGATATTTCACCGATCGAATGCTTGAAACATTTTCTTGAAAACGACTTCCGAAAGAAAACAGGAAGAAAGGTAAAAATCATTAACAAATCACTAAGTGGTCACTGTCACATCCCAAAGACATGTGCCAAAGATTTAAAAGTTTTGAATAGTGGAAATGGAGGATTTACTCCATGCAGAGAAAAAATTGGTGAAAAATTATATGAAGCATACAAACAAGACGATGAATTCGCTTCAGTTGACTTGGTAATGTGTGATCACAATATTGCCATGTGTGAATTATATATGGCATTTGACAAGCCAATGGTTCTTCAAGCAACAACTCGTTATGAATTGTGGAGACATAGTCCAAGTGAATGGCAAAATTTAAATCAAAATCTTGAAAAAATTGTTGCTAAAAAGCACAATTCAATTGTGGCAAATAATTTATTCGATGCAAATTATGTTCAATATTTCACAGGACTTAAAATTCCAGTTTTTGATTCATATTGTGCATATACTGCTGATGAGGGAACTTATAATCCAACTAGAAGTGAATTCTTGATTGGACCATCTAGATCTTCTGCAAGTGGAGCTTTCTTTGAAACAATTAATAGATTAATTTCTCAAGATGGAAATAAGATTCAAATTAAGGGAATTCGTCAATTGTACAGCCATTTCAAATATTCTGACTTGGCCGCTCATCCAGCCATTATTATTATTCCATATCAAGTATCAGTTATGAGCTTTTTCGAATATTATAGAATGAATATTCCAATGTATGCTCCATCTATTGAATTATTAACTAAATGGCATGTTGACACTCGTATTTTGAGTGAAAGAACATGGGGTTTGGTTGGTTCTGGAGGTAATGTTGGAGCTAAAGGATCTCCTTCAGAAATGAAGAAACACCCAAATGCCAATCTTCCAAACTTTGATCCAAACAATGATGTTGATTATACTAGTGTCTTATTTTGGAATCAATACTCTGATTTCTATCAATGGCCTAATATTATTACATTCAGTTCATGGGAAGATTTATTTGCCAAATTGAAGGGAACTACACTTGACGATTATAAGGAAATCAGCAAAAAGATGGCCATGTATAATGCTGAAGTTAGTGATTCCCTTGTCAGAAAGTGGCTTGATGTTATTGAAAGAGCTGAAAGTAAGAAGGACAAAAATCAAAAATCAACATTGACTTTTGAACAAGCAATGAAAAACCATTGGAATATTGATATGAAATGTTAATCTAGATTTTAGTATAAATATTTAATATTTAAAATTATTATATCACGATTGTGTGTCTTATGTAAACTTAATTACAGCATACACTAACACAACAAACTGTGACATCATCTGATTTTCCATGGCGTTTAAATTCTCCTGTCATTTTGCTTAAACCCATGGAGAACGGTGTATGGATTGGTAAATTCTGAGAGCTATATCTCTTGACAGCTTCCTGAACTAATTTTTTAGCAATACTATGACAACTAGTTCCAGCTTTCATTATCTTTAAGATATCTTGGTCAAATAAATTATCAAAAAGTCCATCTGTTGCAAGGATGATAAAATCACCTTCTCGTAATGTGCAACAATTAATTTGTAAATCAGCACTACTTGGATCGTCCTTTATCAGCTCATCACTGTCCAATTCTGGCGGTATGATGGACAATTGATAAGGTGCATTAAAGTAGTGTTGTTGTTCCTTAGTTCTGTAAATAACCTTATTCTTCTGTTTGTTTACGACTGCAAAGCCTGAATCTCCTAGGTTGGCATATGATAATTGGTACAAGTTTTGAGGAAGAGGTTTAAGGAAGAGAACGCAAGCAGTTGTTCCTCCAGCCTTCACTTGATTCAGTTCAGTCATTAATCTAAAAGCTCTTTCTAACAGTATTTTTGGATGAATAACTTGAGGAAGTTCCAATGCTTTCATTACAGTTGATTCATATTCTTTAGGTATTGTGTAATTATTCTCTGAAATGATTTGATTGATTTGGTCTGCACAGAGTAGCATTTTACAATTCCACATTAATTGACGTGATACTAAGGATGGATCAATTTCGAATGCCATCCAACCGCCTACTCCATCTGCAATGCCAAAACTATAAACTTCATGTTTTGTACTATAACAACAATAGTATGCATCTTCACCTGTTGGGTGAGTAGATTCATCACACATTGGTTTTTGTTTGCTGTAAACTGAAACTTTGAGAGCTTTTTCACTTGTAGCTGCTCCACCATTTGGATCATTTGGATTTGCAGCGTTATTTGCCTTCTTAATTCTATATTGTAAATTCAATTTGTTTTTCGGAATTGGTGGTGGTGAGAGGAGAGGAACTTTGGTGGGAGAGATTGAATCATATTGTTTCATTGGTCCGGTTGTTGACTGTACATCGAAAGAGTTCTATTATTTCAAATATGATATTCCACCAACATTACCAAAATATCAAATAATTGTTTGGATAGGATTTTCAAATATTTAGCAATGAGACAACAGTACTTACCTTTGATAAGGTCGCATGTGGTGTAATGTATGAGGCCTCAACATCAATCTCTTCTTCATCTTCAACATAATGTGAGGCTGTTATTGGAGTTAGGGGTTGCTTATTTGAAAGGGTTAGAGGTGCTATTGGACGAGAAGATGGTGATAGAGATTGAAAATCTCTTCGCTCACCATCTTTCTTCCTTCCCAATGGTGTAAGAGGTTGCTTATTGGAGAGAGAACCAAGAGTGCCCGAATTTCCAGTTGCATTGACACTGAAAGAATTCCTCATTGGTGCATGATGGTCTCCAACATTTCCTGCTGATGAAATTGATCTCTTACTATTACCTCCTCCTGTAGATGAGAAGAAATGTATGAGAGGGGATGAGTTAGGTTTTGGTGAGGTAACTTTTGGATCCAGTGCTCCTGAAGAATTTGTATTTCCACTACCTGTTGTTCCAATACTACTACTAAGAGAATTTAATTTGTTTTTACCTCCTGGCTTGGCAGAGGATAATTGTTTTGATCGAGAAGAACCCGATGGTGTACTCGAAGAAACAATAGCAACAATTCCACTACCACCCGAAGATGGCGAACCACTATTTCCAAATCCATTTACACTACCACCAACAACAATACCACTACTTCCCACACCTCCACCAAGAGGTCGTGCAGAGAAGGAAGGAGATGAAGATCGAATGCCTGCTGTAGTTCCCTTCTTCATTTTTACTTGTTGGAGAAAATTTTGAGAAGTTGTGTTGTTGCTATTGCTTGGCGTTGCTGGTCTGCCAGTTATTTCAATACCAGGGAATGGTTTTAAATTGTACATGATTTTGGCGCGAAAAAAATAGGAACAGTTGTTTTTTGACTCTTATGCTGCCTTATTAATGAGGTGCTCTTGTACGGCAATTAACTTGGACAGTGTGCTCTGTCCTTGAAGACTTGATATGAGTTTGAGGAAAGGAATCGGAGAGTGAGAGGATTGCTTTTCAATAATAATGGGTCGAGTGTTTTATCTTGTTGCTCCTCTGTTATGATAATGATGGCCTGAGACTGAGGTTCTTTGATTTACCCAATGAAGTGCTAAATGATGTGTTCTTATTCTTTTTGGAGATGTAAATGAAGATGTCTGGGCGGATTTTCAGAAAATTATGATAATGATGGCAAAACACAAGCATTATCAAGTTCAAATATTCAACAAGTTGTTTATCAAGTGACTGGCGATTGAGAGAGATTGAAACAGCAACTCGATTGGTGCTCTTTTTTTAGAGAAGTTGATTGTCTAAAAAGATAGTACTAGAAATTAATACGAAAATGAAGAGATTGTGATCTTAATTGGAAGTTTTCAGTGAGGAGAAAACAATATTCGAAATTAAAGAGTATTCAAAGAGATGTAAACTGGATCTGTCAAGATTTCATTACCAGTATCAAGGTTTAAGTACTGAAACAAGTAAGCAAACAACCAACTGCTACTGCCACCAACACACCTAAGAATGAATAACGATTTTGCCTCTGTGCACAGAAACTATGGGAAACGAAGATGTTATTTTTGGTCTTACATGTTGCAAGTCAACGTCAGCCATCATTACAAAAAAAACGTTAGAAAAAAAAATGGCAACTCAAAATATTATTCATCACCCTCTGTATCCTTCGGTGCTTGCCAGTCAAAGTGTTACCATTGCGGATGGTCATCGTCACTATAAAAACATTTCCGCACAACCAACAACAGTGACAAGTGAAGACATTAAGAGAAAGTTACATGAAATTGGTGACAGTGAAATTCCGAATCAAACACAAACTTCAATTGATGTCTCTGTACAAAATGATAACGGTTCTATCATCAATCAATTATTTAGTAGTTATTTACAACAAACTTCATATCCTACAATTATTGAAAGTGAGCTTCCTACACTTTCAGAACCACAACCATCACAAGCCGATGATGTGTTAATTGGCATGACAGCAATGCACACTCTTGCAAAGATTGAACTACAAAGCTTGTATAATTTATGTGAGGATTATATTGACAGAATGCATCACACTTTACATATTGAAAAACAAAACGCCAAACAAAATGCCAAACAAAAAGTACAATATCCTTTAGTTTATACCGGATCCAGTATTGCTGGTTTTAACAGTCAAGGAGGTAACTTGGCATTTGGTCAATCAAGTGGAGACGATCAAACAGATCAAATGGATCAAAATGATAATGGTTCTGATGGATCTGGACTTGATGATGATTACTCATTATCTGATATGAAGAAACCAGAAGATGTTGTTAAGGAATTGAAGAAACGTTATTCTGGAGAAGTTTTAAATCTTGCTAAAAAGAAGAAGAATTTCTGTAAATCATCAACAGACGTATTAAATGTTTGGTTTTTCCAACATTTACATGATCCATATCCAAGTGATGATGAAAAGAGAGTTCTTTCACAACAAACTGGACTCTCACTTTCTCAAGTTAACAATTGGTTTGGTAACAAGAGAATGAGATATAAGCGTAAAATGTTGGAACAAAATAGAAAGAATGGAAAATCTCAAGAGGACGAATCTCAACAATTACAATTCCATAATGATCAAGATTTTAATTTTAATTAAGTTTTTGTAAATTTGTAAATAAAAACTACCAAGCAAAGTGAACTAGATAACCACAACCAATACCAATTGCTGATCCAAACAACAATCCAGTATTAAGGAAAAAGTTCATCAGGTAGGCTGCCTTTTCTTGTTCTCCAGTTTTAACAACTGATGGACCACTTGCCATACCAATTGAACAGCAATAACCATTGGTCAAACCAAAGAGAGCTAAAATAATACTAAACCAAATTGGTTGAGTAATATAAAGTGGATTAACACAGAAAATAATCACTGGAACAAATCCCAATCTAAGTAAAATTAAAATCCACAATTGTTTGTGAGTAAGCAGAATTGTTCTCTTCCAGTTTGGTAAAGCTCTTCCAATACAATCAAAAATATTGAAAATTGAAAGAGTAATAATTGGATTCCAAGACATGTGAATATCCTTTCCCTCGTTAATGTATCTGATATCAGTAATCAAACCAGGTGTCAGTGAAAATGTAGTAAGGAAGGTAACAAAAATACCAAGACCAGGAGACCACAACTTTCTCATGAGAGACAACCAAGTAATACCAAAATCATTCATATTCACACTAATATCTGGTACTTCTGCCTTTTCAGTAATCAAGCTTTGAGTATCAAGATCTTCAGTAATATCATCACCATCTCCATTTAAATTTCCAATAGAGGCAATACTCTGTGGAGCATCTTCATTGGATCCTGAGAAATTATCTTCTTCCTTC